TTTGAGTTTGTTTCTGGATGGATGGGAAAAGTTTGACGATTGAGCTGATTTATTCCACCTTATTTTGGTGGATTTAAGTAGGAGACAGATCAACATGCTGAAGAATAAATCTAACCTTCTTTGAGCTTACATTATGACAAATTTAAAATTCAATTAAAAACCACAAATTAAAAATCAATAAAATTTCTCGAAACATTAGAAATTCAGCTGAATCCTCGAGTATTTCCCTCCAAGTACCAATCTCAGTTTCTCAAACGGAACAAAATAAAAAGAAATTTACATCAGAAAAAAATATTTTATTTCCACAGTTGAGAGAAGAAAATTAATTAAAAAATGTTGGAGAACATCAAAAGAACATTCCATTCCTGTCTTCGTCAAATTTATAAAAAGTTTCCTTTTTCTGTATTTATTGTTTGTTTAAAGAAATTAATATGTACATGTACAATCTCACAAGATAAAAACTCAATGAAGAAGAAAGATAAGAAAAATATTTTTTGAACATTAGCATGCAGCTTCAAGGCACAACCAATATTAAATAATATTTTTTCTCCGTCCTTAATCTCTGGCTTCCTTATTGCTGCTGTGACCTTCAAAAGGATTTTCAGCCTCGTTATTTTAATTTTGAGGATGAAAAAAGTCAAACGATGAATTTCTTGGAAAGAATTAATTTAATTAAAAGAAGTTTAGAAACTGGATGGAAATCATATCAAAGAAAGATAAGGAATCAGGAATCGAGTCGCACTTAAATTAGCATAAGCGATTTTCAACAAAAATAAGTTTGTTGGGCCCTCTCCTTAAAAGTTGAATAAAATTTAAAGACGAATTAAAAGACTTATCGTAATTGATAGCAACAAACATATACTGAATAACTTGTGGTTCGGGTAGAAACCCAATGCGGAAATATTCACACCGTACCATCAAAAGTCTCATGGATAGACCAAGAGTTGATCATCATAAGTTTAAAAGTATAAAGCTAGCGAGTCAGATGAGCTTTGCTGAGCATAAGTTTGAAGGTATAAAGCTAGCGAGTCAGCTGAGCTTTGCTCAGCATAAGTTTGAAGGTTTAAACTTAACGAATACTCTTTCAAAGTTTTTTTCGTCAAAAGTTGAATTTTATAAAAATCACAGTCAACTTTTGTTTTAAAAAATTCGTAAGAAAGGAAAGTTTTTGGCTTTTTCTGAAGCAACGGCTGTTCTTACCTTGCCTAAAAACAATACAGCTCTTCTATAGAGTAGCACGGATCAAATGTAAAAAACTAGAAGTCTCTACGATGTCTCGTTATTGAGATTTCTTGCTGATTAACTTGCTTGTTTGCTTACAGAAAGCGTATTTTGCGATTTTCTCAGCAATGCCAATTTGAAATCTGTTTTTTTTTTTACAAAATATGTGAAATTTCAGGCACAAACTTTTCATCTTTGAACATGTTAAGCTATATCGCTTCATTTCCTCGCAAAATGCGAAAAATTAATTTTTCAATCTGAACAAAACCAATAGATTCACACGTGAAAACGGTGTGAATATAAAAATAGGAAAATTGAACAGAGTCTAAACCTCCTTTTAACTTTAAAAATTATCCAGCAAAAAAGCAGAATAAGTTTCAATAAAAGACAATCTTTAACTCCGTTGTGAATCCATAAACCTTACAACGCACATACATGCACAAGTTTATTAATAAATTCTTATTGTCGTTTCTCTTTAATAAAATTTACAAGCATTAAAATCCGCCATCAAAAATTCAATCAAAAAATACTTAAAACGCACGTCAACATGAAATTATAAACAATAACATACAGAAAGCAAGAAGAAAAGAACGGCAGTAGAAAAAAAATATTTTTCCAAGTCATTTCAATTGAAAAATTCAACAGCAGATTTCTTCTTCTCATCGCACACGAATGATTAAATTTTAATATTTAAGTCAACAATAAACAACAAACAGCACAAAAAATATTCAACAGTCATCAACGAAAAGAACAAATGTAATACGATATATTTGCGATTTTTATCTGGAAGGCAAATGAATGAAATGTGCTCGTGGGTGGAAGTGGAAATTTACGCATCGGTATAAGGAATCTGGGATGAAATTTATTAGCGCAACAGTAAGTAAAATTTTATTTGATTATGCCATTTTTACGGTTGTTCCTTTGTTATAATTTTCATAAACTTACTTTTTGGGGAGATGAGTAAGACGTGTCGAATGGTTGAGTGGCTGACGTAGTTGATATAGAATATTTTTTTAAAAAAATACAACGTCTTAATGATAAGATTCTTAGAATTATCACGATTGGTCTTGCTCAGTTGCATCTTAATCACTTAATGACAATTGAACTGTAAATGTGATTTTTTTAAATCCTCAAACTTGATATTGGTCTTGAGAGTCTTTGCATACCAGGATAAAAGATAATGAAAATCTGATTACAGATAATGACTTGGTTCCTTTTATGTGTTTAAGACATAACGTGTATCTTTTGCTAAGTATACTAGGATCTGGATGATTTCATTACAGTATCTTGCGCACACGAATTGTGACTAGGTACATTGCAGGAAACATCAGGTCTATAGATGTACTCTTGTCTTTACAATGTGCAGATCTTGCAAATGGTTCGGATTAAACTATAAACTGTAGATTTAAAGGGTGTGGTACAAAAGATTCTATTCTAATTTGAATCGCAGTGCCTCCAGCTCAAAAGACTTGACCCTCTCCATGCTTAACTTTTTTTTTGGTTCCTTTTAAGACTTAATACAAAGTACTTAAACAAAATCAAAAGACATACAAAATAGTAGTTAAACAAAATCCTCAGAATGCGCTTACATTATAACAAGAGGTAAAGAAGTGTCTTCATCTCAATTCCTTTAATGCCTCTAATTTTCATATTTTGCTACTTACGTAAAGAAACGTCACACGATGCTTTACATTTATGACTTTCAAGATAAATAAACATCCTGATAATTTGACAGTCTTCACCCCTCAAGTTTGCAAAAAAAAAGTGTATGTGAAGTGAGATCCCCTCGTGTTTGCGAAAAAAAAAATAATTCAGAAATATCTCAAGAAGTGGGAGGCTGGAATTTTTTGCCGAGGGTTGTCTGTTCCTTGCTATTTTTATTTTAATATCACATAAAAAAAGTTGTTTGCAAATTTTTATTTCCTGGTGCTTCTCACTCCCTCATGAGTATTCTATTAAATGTTCTAGATATTCTCTCATGCCATACGAATGCACAAATAAAAGACAGCAATGGCATGAGAAGAACATCATCTTAAAAAATTAAAATGTATTTCGCAATTTCACTCACTCTTGTCAAGGAGGGATTTTGATTGTTGTGTAATGTAAAGAGGATTATTCCATCTCAATGTCGCTTAAATGATGATTTTATTCACATGTTTATATACTTTCTCTCGCTGCTTCTTTTATTATTATGAAGTCAAGTGTCTTTGTGGAATTTTTTCAAGTGAAGATTTTTTTTGAGATTTTTTGTTGGCAGAATATTTGCGAATTTTTCAAACATTTTTGCCTTGCGAGTTTTTGTACCTCTTGAATTTGCAATCTAATTTTATTCGTACTGTTTGCCTTGAGTTAAATGACATTTTCTCCATGTTAATCAGGTACGTATCCAGAAAATTCATAAGTGAACAAGCCCTAATGTAATCTTCTTATGCTTGAGTAGTGGATTAGCGTTGAAATGTGTTCCCAAAATTCTGATAATTATTTTTTTAACTAGAGCATTAACAGTCATGCATGTATGTCCATTAAAGTGAATTTTTCCATTAATAAAAAATTCATGACACATCATTGTAGATCTCCATGATTGATAACAGCCGACCATTTAGCTAAATGTGATGAAAATTGCTTCAAGTCAATAAATTTCAACCTTTATTTATTTAAATAATAAAATAAGAAGTAAAGAATGTGTAGGAGTCGGAAAAAAAATTATTATTTAGTCGACTGATAAGGGGCCGTTCACTTATGACGTCCAGGGGGGGGGGGGGGGGTCAGCAAGAAAAGAACAATTGAAAATCCTGGAAATCCATTGTTCTTTTATGAAAAATGACCGTTAAATTCGGACGTCATAAATGAACGAACCCTAATAAAAATTTTGATAAATGATTTTATATATTTCATCGCAACCCCTATTTGACTGCTAAAAAAATTCCATGCTGTGCGCGCCTCAGCAACTACTTTTTGTGTGTTGATTTTGATGAAAATTTTGACACTCATCGTAGGAGGTTTCATCACTTTATCTTGTCAACACATACATTCATTTTCTATGACATAATTTTTCACCCCCGCAACCTTTACGCGTTCCTAACCCTCATACTTGTTAAAGTTTTTCACACGCATTGACTTTCTCATTTTAATTTTAATTAATTATTCACATGCGATAACAAATATCTCCTCATTCATCTACATGCTAGCTCATTTTCCATCCACATACAGTTTACAGTTATATCTATGTCATGAAAATGAGTGAATAATTTAACAAAGTTTAAAATTATCATGTAATTCGTCACCACTCTAATATTCATGTCAACGTACTTGTTGTCAGAACAACAAAAACAATAGCAAGGCAATAAATAAATGAGGAGACTTAAAAAAATCTCATTTTCAATTTAAAAAGTAATCAATCACGGAAGCATGTAAATGTTCTTCCTATTCTCCTTCCCCAAAAAATTTCTATGCTGTACAACATTAAACTCAAATTGTCAAATTGAATGAGGGTGATCCATGTTATGTAATGGATTTCTTCAAAGAGTTGAAGTTTAGCCCTGGAGATTGTTTATTTTGTGTTTTATGGATAGAGCATATTTTTTTTGGAATATAGGATGATTGCTGGTAAAGAAACATGAAAGACCAATCCAATTGACCCGAATATTTGACTTTAATTTATGTCTCTCAAGCCTTTCATTCTCTCGAGAGAATTCAGCAATGGATTTAAACATTTTCCGATTGATGTTGTTTGCTTGTTTATTTATACCTGGATTGTGTTGAGTAAATAGACACAATTTTTCTTATTTAAATGATTCTTTATTTAGAAAAAAAATGTTTACAATTATGCTGTCGATTAAGTATAAAAAGTTATTTTTAAGGGAAAATTTGTAAATTTATCTTTTGCACTTATCCTCAACTCACTTCTTTTAAATCTTATTATTTTTTTACTGGATCTCAATCTTTTGACCCTGATTCTTATCAATATCATTAATTCTGGTGTGTTTTGATGGAGTACTTATTCTGACGTATTCTCTAAACTATATCATCCCATTCAGATACCCAAACTCCATCAAAATAAAATTAATTTTAATTAAGTGTGGTTTTAAAATTGAAAAATTATTTATCCGTAATATGAGGCGTCTCTTACAGTCCCAGACCTAACAGGAGTACTTGAAACTCTCATTGTAGTCGATGCTGGGACATCACGATAATTTACAGATTTTGCAGTTCGTGCAGCATAATCATCACGATCATAATAGTAGTTTGGATCACGATAATTTGGTACTGAATCAGCATAACGTGCTGAAGCATATCGATAATTATTTGGTGTTCTTACAACGTCAGGTAAATTAGCATAATAAACTATTCTGCCAGGCTTGCTTACTTCATTATTATAGAGGTATGGACGGTATGGATCAAATGGTTCACGTGACTCCATTGGCATTTCAAATCTTTTATCTGAATAATAGTAATTTGGAACTGATCTAGGAACGTAGTCATCATATTCATTATATTGATGTCTGTAGTAGATACTAGATGATGGTCCAACGGGTGGTGTCATCCTTTGCATCCCTGGTGGTGGCATCATTCCATTCCTTTCATTATATCTGTCATAATATCTATCATATGGATTATATTTGTCGTAGTATGGATTGTATTGAGAAGTTGGTGGATAGTCACGATTATAATAATTTGGTGGATATGGTGATGGATATTGTGGAGGATAATGAGATGGACGATCATAGGTATCATATTTGTTATATGATGGTGGATAGTATCGGTCATTTGGAGGTTTTCGATAAGAATCATCTGAATTTCCTTGCTTGTTGTCATACTTATTGCTGTCATACTTATTATTATTATTGTTGTTGTTATTATTATTGTTGCTATTATTTTGTTGATCTCTATCTCGTTCCCTTTCGCGTTCTCGTTCACGCTCTCTTGCTTCTGGACCATCTGGAATATCATCTTTATTTCCAGAACCTGAACTTTGACCTTGTTGTGTAATGAAATTCACACGTGGTGTTCTAGTTTTGATTCCAACATTACTTGATGATTCTCCATGCGAATCTTCTTCCTCTTTACGAGCTCGTGATTGGAAATCACCATAGGGTGCTTTAACCCATTTATCCATAGTACGGCTATCATCAGAACGATAATGAGCTGGATTACTAACTTGCTTTTGTGGATTTGGTACACTTTCAATCGAGAAGTCACTTCCTTCATTTTTACTTTTTGTCATGTCAACATTATCGAGGTCTTCAACTTCATCACTATGTAATTCACTCTTACTTATTTTATCTGTACTTCTTCGATATCTTCTACGATGTGGATTAACTTTTAAAATTTCCTCATCCTGAACAATTTGAAAGTGCGAATGTAAACCAGGAGATTCTAGTACTTTATATTTCTTCAGAGATCGTTTAAATCGTGCATTTTCGTCTTCTTCTAATGGTAACCGATTCACTTGTTTATTCGCAAACTCTTGTTCTTCTTGATCTAATGGTTGATCAATATACACTTCCGCTGGTCCATATTCATTAATCGGTTGACCTTCATTCCTCTCTATTGCCAATGAATTTGATATAGCAAATATTATTTGCAGTGAATAAATTAGCAAAATGAGGTTCCTCATTTTCGGAAAGGCTGAAAATAGAAGAAGAGAAACTTGTAATAACCTAAATAAATCAAAAACTATATTTTTTGTGCCTAAACTATGCAATTATTCCAATGAACGCGTAAAGATGTCAACTTTTTATCGAAAATTTGTAGGCATAAAAAAAAATTAATAAGTCTAGTTGGAAAAACTATCATAATCATCATTATAGATTCTCTACTCATGTGTTTGTCGCATTAAAGTATCACACTTTGAAAATTCGTAATGGTCGATAGAGGAACGAAAAAAAAATTACATGGGCATAAAATTTTTGTATCCGGTTTCATGTTTATTTCTATGCACTTGTATTCATTTGCTATGATTTTTGTCACCCATAAACAATATTTTATATACACGATGTGGTGCCGACGATGGAATCAATTAAATTATCCGGTCAGTCAGTATAAAATAATATTTGTGTTCATATATTTCTGACTAATTTATGTAATTATTCTCATTCATATATCGCTTTACGATCAAATACAATAAATATTCTATTCTCTTTCCAACTTATTGTGATTGCTGCAGACAACTCTTCTGATGACTATGTAAGTCATGCATTGGTATTTTTGATTTGTCAAATTAAGATAGCGTTTTTCAACTTTTGAACTTTGTCGCATTTTTGTTACAATTTTTTTGGTAGTCAACCTTTTTGTGTACAGTCGGGTATTTGACTTAATCAACGAATCTATCAACCAGCTGGCTAAATTAAGAGGTCTAATATTTTTTTAGAATTTTATAAAAATTAGACTTTTCAATTCATGACAATTTGAAATAGAGTGATTTGAAATCAACAACTGTAGAGCCTTAGTAGACTAGCTAAAATGTGCTTGAATACTTATGCTCTTTTATTCTCAAGCACTACTGTTTAAAAAGCTACTTGGCGCAGAACAGTAATGAAAGAATGTCAGTTTAATGTGCGAACAGAAAAGTTGTACAAACTAGGTGACAGAGTCAGATGGAAAAGCTCCACATAGGAACTTGGTTACAAGCACAAAAGTTTAAAAACTATATAGCCTGTTTCATTAAAGTGATAAGGTCTCTAAGAAGCATAATTTATTCAATTTCCTTGCAAAACTTGGAGATTAACTTCAATTAGGGTTTTCCATCCCGGGGTAAGAATGTACTGAATCCCGGGTCTGATCCCGAGATTACATACATTTCAATCCCGGGATTTAAAAACCTAACTTCAAGATTTGCTATAATTCTCAAACTAGCTAAGATATTAAGTCCAAGTATATGTAAATTTAAGAAGCGAACTTTACTTCCTAGATCACACATTAGATCTCTTAGTATCTTAAATCCTGGTGATATTTCCAAAAAAAAATGAATTGTATAATCTGAAATCAAGGTTAATCCACTTAAGTGAAACAGGTCGATAAACTTGACTACATTTGTCAAATTATTCTTTATATTTTTATATTTTTAAATTTGTGTCTTTCGAATATTCTTAAAGCTTAAAGCTTTTTTTCTTAGGTTTCCTTTAGTTTAATTAATCGAAATGTTTTAAGGATTGTAGGTATAATTGACATCAAATCAAAAGTGAGTCCTCCAGAATTCTTGACTGATTCTTATGAGCTAAAGCTGAAGATTCTTTGTATTATCAATCGTAAATATGATTAGGGTTTTGACAATATAATATGCAATTAGCTAGATTTTGTGTGTGACTATAGTACGACGGCAAAACACCCAAAAATGGAACCTGCTATATCCAGCCATAGGAAGTAGGACACAATTATGTTTTTGGTGGACGTAAATGGACGTAATTGGACTTAATTCTAGCATATGTTCAAAGTGATTGAACACTTCATGCCATCGTACTTCAGTCACACGATTTTGTGAGAACCAAATTAAGAAGATTTAAGTTTTACTCTAGTTAGTAATACTTAAATAAATGACAAAAATGGCAAGCAGCGTGGTTCTCGTTACGAAACTTAGAAAATGGTTTAGCACTATTTGCAAAAATACAGAAAAATATTCAACCTCAATAAACTTATATTTAGTCATTAAACCATCTATAAGTAGATTCAATGACCAAACCAAAAGCTCAGTAATTTTGCGATTTTAATAGAGTTGTAGCGAATTGAATTTCCACAATGGAAAGAATGCATAGATTGATGTCCAGTAAATTGATTTTCATTTCAATGACACAAAAATATTTTCTAAAGCCATTAATCTCTGAAATTGATTGGAAAATGTGTTTCAAGGACGTGAAACACAAATCTCCGAATCAATTTTCTTTTGTTCACGTGACATATGTCGCTATAATTTATCAAGCCACAAGAATAGTTATGCGTGTAATTTATGCGAGTTTAATGAAATAAAATGAGATCGTTGATCCCTAAATTAAGATAAAATTGTTATGCATGAAAACAGATTGTTGAATGTGCTGAACTATATGGAATGTTTTGTGAGATTTTTTTTGTAATCGATGAAAAAATTCTTGTTTTCATATTGCGAAAATTTATGCAGTTTTAAGTGTCGTAAACGATTTTTAAATTCTGTTTCATTACGCAAAAAAAAAGTGAAATGAATTAATTAAAACTCAAAAAATGTTGCACAATGTAGCTGTTCTGTATTCTTATGGAAATTTTTGTTTCCGCTTTAATTCACCTTTATATTAAAAATAATTGATTTTCCAAAACTGGATATCCACTCAATCCTTTTACTGTCCGATTACACACAATATCACAGAATATCAAGAACTTTAATTCCAGAATAAATTTAATTCTTTCAAAAAATATTCAACTGATCTAATATCCCCAAAGTCTGAATTATTACTGACCAAGTCGTCAAATACAGCATAACACAACAGCAGCAAAAAAATGTCAATTGAGAATCAGCGATCCACAAAAAAAAAGTAAATTCTAAAAGAATAAAAACCATCCACATAGATTCACATGTGTTGTGTACATGATTTGACAATATAGAATACACACATGGATAGATATTTAATTCTATTGTTGATTTTTTCAGGTTGAGAACCGTGTCACTCACCTCGGACGCTGGACTTATGTATATATAGCGAAAATCACTGTCATTAAATGTTGTACATACCTATCTATTTAAGACAACTAAAGTTTTAAAATGGGATTTGGAATTAGGAACATGATTTGTGGAACTGATGTGCTTTTGTATTCCTTTTTGACTGAATCTTTTAGGGATCGCTCAAAAATAAAAGTTAATTTTCAAAAACACAAAGTTAAATTCCAAGAAGTTATATTGCTATAGAGCCATTAAGCGTCTCCCCAACCCGTGACGTCATTTATGAACCACCCCTAATAGCGATTTAATTAGCCTAAACTAATGAGCTTCCATAAAAATTCAAAATGATCAGAATTCAGGGCTTTCAATTCAATTTAAGAGATGTCTACATAGCATAGATATACAACAAATTAAAAGGCGCTTTATGTTCCTGAAAATGTGTTTCAAACTTGCGAAAAAATAAAAATCATGATTTAAGCAATTTTAATGTTCATGGATACTAATTTTGACATTCATAATAAGTATAAATTTTATTAGTTATTATTTCCTTTTGATGAGGAGAAAAGCTAGGCGTAACAAGTCTAAAACATTCCCTATCTATTAAAAAAATGTGATTACAAAAATATTTTATACTTAATTGATCAATCAATGATCAATCAATCTCAATGACATCAGTTTCATTCAACGGTGGTACGTCCTTCTTTTGATTTGTTTTTAAAAATTGATTAATTACTTGATTTTTCTTATCCTGGTTAATTGACTGTCCACGTTCTACAGACATAAGAATTGCTACACGCTTTTTGCCAGAATTTGCAGCTTTTGACTGAACTTGTGTAGATGTATTTGTTGTTGGTTTGTTCTGAATTGGTGTCTTGGATGTTGATGGTTTTGGTGACTGTACATTTTTCGGTACTGAGACAGGCTTTGGTGAACTTTTTACAAAACTTGTTATCTTAGATGAAATAATAGGTTTTGGAGATTCGGGAACTGCCATTGATTCCGTAGACTGTGGATTTTCAGTTACTGAAATTTTCTCATCAGTTGGTGTCACTTCTCGACTTCCTTTCTTTGAATCTGCAACAGGTGGCTTAATCTTCTTTTCCTTTTCTAAGATATAAGTCCATTGATTTGGCATTGGAAGTTTTTCGTCACCAAAATACTCTTTAATCACATCCTCTTTTACGCACCAACATTTCTTTCCAAATAATGGTCCTTCTTCTGGGCATGTCTTGTACATTGATATTTCATTTAACTTCTCTTCAACACTCTTAACTTGAAACTCGTGAAAATCAGACAATTTGTGATAATTCTTTAAACGATACGCTTGATATTCTTTAATAAGAAATTTCTTGCTATTGATATTGTAGTTAACAAGTCTAATTAATTCCTTAACGCTCTCGCCTTCAAGCTTTATACGAACTTTAATTTGTGCTGGTGTTTTTGGCTGCTTTGTACTTGACTTTTCTTCAGTGTGATTATCTTCTTCTGATTCAATTATTTCTGGTTCAAAATCTTCCATTTTAATTTCATCGCCACTTGAAAACATTTCTCTAGCTTTTAATATACGCCAAATTATGTCTGAACAATGATATTTTGTTTCCAAGTTTGCATTCTTTGATCCACCGTCTTCATCTTCATCTCCATTCATCCAAATACATCCAATTAGTCGTGGCTTAATCTTTTCAGTCTTTTTCTTCATTTCCGCAGCAAATTCTTGTTGTAGAACTTTTAATTTTGCCTTTTGAGTTTCTGGACTATTATCATCCATTATTTCGTCATCATTCTGCTTTTCATCTTCACTTAAATGTCCATGAGGCACAAAGAAATCGTCGTCAAGCTCATAATCGTCATCGTCTTTTTCTTTTTCCTTTTCAGAATCACTGCCATGTAAAGATTCGCCAGGTTCCTCTTCCTCCCATTCATCGTCGGAATCAACTTCGTAATCAAAGAATTTCTGAAAATGAATTTATTTGTAAAGTATAAGAAATGTTTGAATACCTCACAATTTTGTAATTTTTTTCGAAACCTTCAACAGTTTTTGCAAATTTATGTAAACAAAGTTTTAGAAGCAAATTACTAGAAATATTTTTATATGTGTATACTTACAGCATCTTGTACGAATGGACGACGAGCTGTAATTGATTTGCTTTTCTTGCGCCAGGTTCCATAATAAGCAGGACGTCTGTTTTCTTTAAACAATAACAATTTGGCACGATATTTGATTTTTGAATGAGCTTCATCTTCTTTAATATCTTCACCAACACCTTCCAATTCATCTAAAAATTAAGGTATACATTTATTAAGGGACTGTGTAACACACAATTGGATAAACTTACCAACAATAACAATATCATCATCCTTATCTTCTTCAGGCCAAGTTTTTGTAGATGATTTTGGGACATAATCGACACTTTTTAATTGTTGGATATACAATTTGCTGCGATCGATCTTACTTCCATCAGATTTTAAGATTTCATCTAAACATTCTTTTTGTGCCTTAGATATTTCATTTCTAATGCGAGGAGCAAGTCTCATTTTTCCATGTATTTGGAATGGCATGAAATTTCCAATAGCTACATCAGAGCATTCAGCACTTTCTTTCGATGCGTCATCATCAATTTGTGGATCATTTTTCTTCTTAGCAACAAAGAATTTGGTAAAAGCTTGTGCTGCCTTTTTCTTACGTTCTTCATCTTTAATCTTTTCCATTTCTTTCTTTTTCTTTTCCTCTTCACGCGCTTCATTTTGACGCTGTACACAATTTTAAAAACATAATTTTAAGATCGGTGATTATAAAGCTGTTTAATTTAAAACAAACCTTTCGTTCTTCTTCTTTTTGACGTCTTTCCTCGTCTTTCATGCGCTTTTCTTCTTCTTTTTGCTCAGCAAGGCGCTTAATTAAATAAGAAACTTCAATTAAAATAAGTTTAATTAATTAAGTTCAATTACAAACCTTTCTTTCGTCCTCTTTTTGACGTTTTTCTTCTTCCTTCTTTTCCAATTCAGCCAGACGTTTTTTCTAAGAATGTACAATCGTTAATTAAATTAGATATATAAATAATAATAAAATAGAGAATAATTACCTCTCTTTCTTCCTTTTCACGTTTACGTAGTTCCTCTTTTTCTTCTCGTTCTTTACGTTTAGCTTCATCACGCATTTCTTTTTCCTTAATTCGCTGTTTTTCTCTTTCATCCTTTTCTTTTTGACGCTGTAATTCCTTTTCAATGCGCTTTGCTTCTAGATCTTTTCTACGTGCTAAAGCTTTTGGTGTCAAATTCGGTGTTGTTTCAGTGATATTTGGAGTGTTAAGATTTGTCGGTGACTTTTTTTCATCGTCAGTAAAAATCTCAACAAATTCGTCGTGTAGATCCTTATTTGCAGAATCGTCACTTTGTGGACTGTTGTCAACGAGCTTTGAAATTTCTTCAGACAATTCATTATGGTTCGAAACTTTTGGACTTTCATCGGACTCAGATATCCTTTTTTCTGGCGATTCGTCCTTTTCAGACTCGTCCAAATCAGTCTTACTTTCATCAAAAATTGAAGTATCAGCTGTTGATACCTTATTCAAAACAATTGAAACAGTTTTACATTCTCGTAACATTTGATCCATTGACAGGTCAAGACGATCTTTAATTTCTGCTACTGAAGTCTCAACGGGTGATCTTTCGTTGTCATTGTCATCAGAAGCATGCATCTTGTCATCAATTTCCATAACTTCAGTTTCTTTTGTCTCGAGAATTTTTCCATTTTTAGTGCTTTGATCTTCATCTGGATTGAGATTTAATGACTTTTTGATTTTCTTTGATTTTTCCCTTAAAACTTTTTGAGTGCTAGCCTTTTTCTTCTCAGACTTTTTAGTACTCTTCTTATTCATTGCGCTTTGTATTTCTTCGTCATCAAGATAAACAATAGAATCGTCTGGATGAACTTCGATTGGTTTAATTACCTGCTTTCTCTTAGAACATGATTGAATCTTAATACGAAGTTTCTTCTCTTGTGGCGATACTATTTTTACAGCTGTTGGAGTTGTATCTGTAACACTCACAATTGACTCATTTAAGGTTGTATTTACAGCACTAATTTCTTCTTCACTACTGTCGACAATTTCTATTGGATCTTGTTCTGCAATTATATTTTCCTTCGAATTTGTACGTCCGATTTTGGAAGATCGAATGTTGTCACCATCATTTGATGGTTTTCTTTTACGCGATGTGACTGGAGTCTTTGGAGACGACTTTTCTACTGGAACTGCAGATGTCTTGTGTTCACCAGATACTTTTGGAGATGTTGATATTATTTGAAATGGTAATCTAGACTGTTTTAAACTCTTTTTCTCACTCATCTTAAATGAATTTATATTAATACACCTTTTCACTAGAACTTGATACTTTTTAAATTAATAATAAACTTAAACAACAATAATTTAAGTTAATTTTTGATATTTTAACTTGTTTAACCTTTTAAATTCCCTCCAAAACTGATTAAGGGCTGGATCTTTAGATTATTTTCGTAAGTAAAACAAATCCCTGTCTGTCGAACCCTGCAATAACGGTCAAAATTTAAAAACAACAAACGGATTTTTTGTGTGTTATATTTTTCAATTGTTCATTAATTTAAATGGATTTTGACGGTGCAAAAGAGAATATTCAGCCATTAAGAGGTGGTAGACGTGCTGATCGTTTAGAGACAGTGTTGGGAGGTGAAAAGGACTTGCTAGAACACGAAAGAAAGTAATTTATTGTAATTCTGAGATTTTTTTTCCATGCAACTTACACTTTTTGAATTTTAGAGAATTTGAGAATGCTATTGAAACATACAATGGACATGATCCACTGGATAATTGGTATAATTATATATGCTGGATTGAACAGTCATATCCAAAGAGTGGAAATGAAAGTGGTCTACATGAAGCAGTCTCTAAATGTATCCTTAAATTCGAAAATGATATGCGATATAGGCAAGATCGAAGGCTCATAAAACTTTTCATCAAATACGTAAGGAACTATAGTTCACATGCCTAATATTCTATGAATATAATAATAATGTTATAAAATGATTCTAGATCGATACACAAGATAATCCTCATGAGCTTTATGAGCAATTATTCAATAGTGGATTTGGAACAATGGTCGCTGACTTGTATATTGCTTGGAGTTATTATTATGATGCAGCCAATGACTTTAAGAAGGCTGAAAATATTTTCCAACGGGGATTAAATGCTGGAGCACAACCATTTGATGAATTGGCGCAAGCACATCAAGCATTTACAGTTTCTGTCACACAAAGAATGCTTTACGACGACGACTCATCAAAGCAGAAATTTCGAGTAACAATGGATGAAAAGAGAAATGCATTGACTACTTTAAGAGCTTATAATAAGAAGTTTGTTGGTAGTGTTCGTCTTGGAAATGCAATTAAGAGTGACAATCCAGGCAAAGTGCCTACAAATGAAAATGCAGGAATTCAACATCAACAACGAATTGACATTCTTAAAGATGATGCAGGACCTTCCAATAATTCTGAAGCAGTTTCAACAGACGTAATTAGTATTTTTAATCTTGCTAAGAAAACTGAAAATGTGCATGAAGCAGGTCAATGGAATAAAGCAAAATCAAGCAAGAATAATAAGCTATTTAATGAGAAATCAATTGGAATTCAACCAGGTTTTTCTATTATGGAAGATGAGGCACTTCCACCAATATCCTATTCGAAAAAACTTTATGAACAAGGATGTAATTTGCCACCAACATTTGTCTCAACAAATAAACCACAAAGTTCATGGAATATTCCGATTGTTATAGAAGAATCAACGGTACCAAACACCATTCCATGCTATGATAAGTTTCTGTTGTATCCATCATTAGACATTGAAATCTCTTTAGAAGAATCACGTGCATATCGGTGGTTCAAGTCTAATGATAAAATGACAGCTCCAATAATTCATCAGCATTCATCGGTTTTTGAAAATACTTATGAAAATGGCTCTCGAATATTTCCAGGATTTGTCAGTAAAAATATTAAGCAAGACATCGCAAAGTATGAACTTGATTATGACATTAATTGTAGAGAATTTCAATTCCCAATTAAGAAAATGATATCAAAGGATAGAACAACTGAATATTCGATTGAAGAATTACTTGCTGATAAATTCAAACGTGGAGAAATTAAGCTTGTCAGTAACGATGATTTTGAAGAGAGTTTAATTGACGACAATATGGATATGACAATAATAGGAGATCGACGACAATCAGTTTATGTTCCATCAAGAAAATCATTCGTACCTCGAAAATCAATTTTGAGAAAGTCCGTAATGCAGCCAATAAATGAAGATGATGCTAAGCACGAACCAGCTGTTAAATCTAATGAAAATCAGCATCGTGTCCGCTTTGAGGAACCGATTTTTGAGGAAGAACCAGAAGTTGATGAGAAGAAAAATGCGCTTAAAAGGAAACTTGAAATTTACGAGAAAGAGAAAATAAATTCAAAAGACCGAGATTCATCTCCAGAAAGTAAACGACTTAGTGCTGACGAAGAATTCTTTAAAACTCCAGCACTGCCAAAAACTACAACCAAGCCTGTTTTTGAACTAGATGATAATGAAACATTCTCAACACAAAATTTTAATTTTTTTATCAAGTCACAGTCTGTTAGCACACCGATAACCAAAAAGTCTGTTCCACGACTTGTGCCTTTAACTCAAGAAAATTCCCCACAAAGTTCTGATTCACAAGGATCAGATTTACGTGAATCAAGTCCTATAGAAAATACAATGGCTTCTAATAATTTACAGAAACAGTTGTCTACAATTGCAGAAGTTACAGAGACATCAAATTCAACAAAATCTTCAGCAAGTCATTTGAGCGCAGAAACAGAAATAGATTCTCATATGAAAACACCAGCCTTGACACCATTTAAAGCTGTAGTAAGACCTGATGAATGTCCAAAGAATCCACTGAATATTTTTAGATTACCAGAGGAACCGACAGAAACAACTACTTTCATTAAAGGATTTAATCTTCCTAAATTAAAAGATTTACGACAAACACCAATGAAAATGCCTTCATTTAAAATCTTTGATGAATCTTTATCATTTCCATTGCCAACTGAAGATAATGCTATTCCACTGCCGGACGAGTCACTTCAAGTTCCAGATTTAACAATTAAACTTCCAAATGACTCGATTAAAATTACTCAAAGCAAAAAAAAAATTGAAATTCACGAAGACTCAATTTTTGAAGTTCCAAATCTGTCTGATACAATTACAAATGTCGATAAATCTGTACAGCTTGCTCGAACACTATCTGACGAAACTCCAGAGACACAAGATATATCAATGAAACAACCTGAGCATGTTGAAATTCCAGCTACACAGGATATCACGCTTAAGCCACAAGATGACCTGGATGTTCCATCATTCTCAGATTCGACATTGAAAAAGCTCAAAGAGTTTGATCTTACAAATGAAAAGTCTATTAAGGAACAAATCTCAAAACGTGAAGTGTCTATGAAGAAAAGTGAGAGTATTAAGGCACCAAATCCCAATATTAATGACAGCTTTGAAATTCCTGAATTAATTGACATTACTGTTAAGGACACTGAACATTTTGAGATCCCAGCGACACAGGAATTAACAGATGATTTAAAATCTCCACAAATTCAAAATTTGTCAATTAATGAAAATGAACACGAAGAATTCCCAGCTACACAAGATATGTCACCAGAGCATGAAGAAATTCTGACAACTCAAGAAGTTTCAAATAAGCAAGGACGGTTAATTTCCATATCAGGCATTCAAGATGCTTCAGCGCGATCAACTGCAACTAATAAGATGCCGTTTTCTGTGTATGAAGATTCTATATGTGAGGTGCCACAAGTTGCACACAAACCATCAATAGTTCAGCCTTTAAATCAATCAACTGCCAATATGTCACGAAAGGAAAATTTAATAGTTCCACAATTCAAACGAACCAATTCAGACGAGTTCCTTGATTTGTGCAAAAGTTCGCCACAATTAAACTATAAGCCAGCACAAGTCATTGGGAATCAACCGAGAAATATAATCAGTGACTTACCGAAAAATGAGATTAGTGACCTGCCAAGAAATGAAATTAGCGACTTACTTAAATTCTCAGATGCTAAATCGAAATTGTCACTTGAAGCCACTTTCAATGACTTGCAAATTAATAAGCCATTCAAAAGTCCTAGTCCAACAATGAATATTTTTGAAGCTGATCTTAATACTGAGAAATTCAATTTGCCACTTAAATTCGGCATTAATTCAACCGTTATTGGAGATGTCACAAAGGTTGTTCCTGTCACAAAGAAACCAGAATTCAATGAATTCTTAGATTTGAGTATTGAAATGAATGAAGACGAATTTGATCGTTTGGGAAAGAATAAATCACAAGCTGCTGAGAAAAAGGTACGTCTTAACATCTTTAAGAGTTGACAATTTGAATAAATCTAATTTTTTATTAGCAAGAAGATGTCTTCAAAATGCCGATTGTGCCTCCACCAATACAGAAAACAGTCGATCAGCCCCAAACCAGTAAACAACAAGAAAAGAAAAATGAATTTGAGATTTTCCAGGATGATGAAGAAGATGATGATTTAAGTAAAAGTATTTACCATAATCTAAAAAAAGACCAGACAATTGTCGAGTTTGAAGATGTAGAAACTTGGGAAGATGAAAAAATGTGCAGCTTCATAGGCGACGGTCCAAATCGTTATGAATACACAATCATTCAGAATTTCGATGAATCATTGTCATTTAAATTAAGAGATGCTATTGTGAAGAGCAAAGGAAATCCATTTTCTAAAGATGTTCGCACATTGATTCTTGAACAATGCAATTTCGAACAATATCTTGAAGATCACATTGATTCCTGTTCTTTATTAAAGAATGTTCCTCAATTAAAAACCGGAGGGACTTTACAGTGTGGAAATGACATGTATAAAGTGGCTAAAATTCTTGGAAAAGGTGGATTTGGTTCAGTTTTTGAAGTGCGCAACATGAAGAACAATGAATCGTATGCAGCAAAGCAAGAAAAACCACCAAATCTATGGGAATATTATATTTTAATCGAACTAGTCTCTCGATTAAGTTCAAAGAACATTAATCACATGATTCCAGCTTATATGCATGTCTACAAAGCTATTGTTGCCAATAATGCTAGTGTCTTAATCTCGGAATATTCTCCACATGGATCACTCATTGATGTTTGCAATAAAATTAAGCAAGGCACGAGTAAAAACGTTGATGAATATATTGGAATGATTTTTACAACACAGCTCTTGTCTATTATTGATTATCTCCATTCATGTCACATCATTCATGCTGATATTAAGCCTGACAATTTTGTTTTGATGTCCAAGTACGTAAAATGTCTAGTTTAATTATTAATCTTTTAATTCTTGTTATTTTACTTAATTTTCTTTAGAATTGCTATTGGAATGAAAGTTCCATCACTGCAGCTAATAGATTTTGGATCTGCAATTGACATGGATAGCTTCGATAAAGATGATGAGTTCACTTATGTCGTGAAAACAGACAATTTTACATGCTGTGAGATGCTTGAGAATCGGCCATGGACATATCAGACAGATCTTTTTGGTATTTGTGGGACAGCTCATGTGATTCTATTTGGAAAGTATATGGAAGTTGAAAAGAAGTCAAGCAATTGGCAAATTAAGACAAGATTCCCAAGATACTTCCAGAAAGATATTTGGGATATATTCTTCAATACTTTACTTAATGTTCCAGACTGTAAGACTATGCCGAATCTTCAAACGTTGAAGCAGCACTTTGATGAAGAAATCTCATACAGACAAAAGTATATATCAGATAAAGTGGCTGAATTTAATAATGCTCTGCTTAGTTAGAGCCTGTCGCTATAAAATATGATGTAAAAATCAAAATATTTTTAAGAATATAATTTTTTACCATAGACATGCCTATTTGCTAAATTTTATAATATAATAAATGAAAAAATATCTATTCAAACTATAATCAATAACTTTTTGTAATGACTGAATGAAGCCTGATCGAACCGTTCAATTTAAATTTGATTTTTCGAACATCATATAAGTAAGAAGTAATTAGAAACAGCCTCAAGCGCATAATTGATGCTTCACACTCTGCTTGCTTTTATGGTTCACGAGCAAATACAGAAAACACAACTTACGTAGAAAACCAACCAAATTCCACGTCTCTTTTGATAGATTGATTGCTGTACACAATAAAGAAGAGATTTTTCGTTTAAAACAAAAATTAAACAGAAAGTCTTTTGCATAGATCAAACTTCAGCTTAAGTTTCTGTCTTGGGTTTTAAATTGCTAATCAATAGGCAACATCCAATCGAAGTTTGTTAATTCCAGAAATTCCCGAAGAGCAACAGATTTTTCTTGGTTCCTTTAAGTTTTTGAAGATGGTAAGCTGGAAATTTTATGCAAGGAATGTTGAAATTCAGTCAGGTTTTATTAGTATATATAGATAAGCTGAATCGCAAAAAGCAAGTTGATTCCCAAATTTATTTTTTTTATATTCACGTATAACTACACAAGAATCGTGCAAAACCTAATCCATAGACCACCATGTGGCATTGTTCCTAAACTCTTTTATCAGCATGCCAAAAATTAAATTGATAAGTTCATAATAGATTTAAAAAAATTGGATACCAATATATTACCAGTAATAAGGTTTAGCATCAATCCCTTACTTTTTAAATGCAGTCAATTATCGTTATGTATCATCAACACGCATAGATCTACCAATAATCTCTTTCGAAAAGCATTGGTTCACATATTTGGTTCAATAAATTTTCTACTTTTTTTTTCTCTCTCCGATGCTTCTCGAATGTCTTATTTTACATTCTTAGTTTTAAGCCATTCAATTGCTTTATCATAATCCATACCATAACAATATGTGCGAATGATGATTTTAAAACTAGATCTCAACATCACATACTAAATCTTCAAAAGAATTGAGCAAGTCATTCAATGATGTAGATGCTATTTCAGCTTCAACATAACTGCATTCTACTGAATGACGTCAAGTACGAGATTGTACATGACCAGACTTGGCATGGAAGTTTCAAAATAAAGTTGGGAACAATTTTTAAAAAAGTCTTACTCACCTTAAAAAATTCAAATTTAAAGAGTGTAGATCAACCTTGTGTTTGCACCATTCTTAGTTGAGCTACTTCCGTATGTCGACGATCACGCATAACAACTCTTTGCATTTTTAAGATTTTAGATGTATTTTCACCATGAATCATCAAATGCCTGTTGACAAAATCAGCAACTTGCTCTTCTGTATCTTCGTTTTCCACTGCATGATATACTGGACTTTGTCTTCTTAATTTTCTTTTTGGAAAATCTCTAACTTGATCTGCTGCTCGATGAATAAAATCTGATCATCGCAATTGTATCTTTCCTGTGTTTTCATGAAAATTTAAAGATTAAAAATCTTATTACCATTTCCTTTCGTCTTGCTTAGTTCTTCTTTCGTCTTCTATCTTCTGCTTAATTTGTATGTGGTTGACTTCTTCCAGCATAAATAATTTAATTTTCTTGATTTTATCATTTGGTTCGTTTCCATATCACGTAACAAATTTAAATGAATCCTTTTTGCATTGGATATGTTGATGCAGCAGATTTAACAGCTTAAAATTCGGTTCAATGTCCAAAAATATTATTTTTCTTTGAATTCTTCTAAGATTGAATGAGAAAAAAAAAATCCTAGCAACCTTTGAAATTTGAACAATTCTGAATTTTTTTCAGTTTTGTTTATACAATGGAAGCAACAAGATCATTCGAGTTGACAACGGAGGACATCAAGGAGTTGATTCAAAGGATGAATCAAATTTTGGAGGAAGAAGAACAGCGAAATGGGAGCAGAGGTTCAATCATCGATAGCGAAAATGTGGAGCCTCAAGTTGAGGAAGAGGTAAGCATTAATTTTATATGATTTAAATCACATTGTATGGGGATTCTTTTTGGGATTTTATATCACTTGAAGGTGAAAATTTGTTTGGGAATTTTCAGAAGATTAATTAAAAACATTAAACATTAATCATGGATATCCTTTCTGGCTTTTGGATATTGTAGTATGCAGATGTTGGTATAGCTCAAAATGATAAAGCATGAATGGATCTAGCATCATATGAGGAACTAGTCAATTCCAGTCCCTTTAAAGCATTTTTTGATAAGTTTTCATTGTCAAAGAGGTATACGTTTGTATTCCTTAGCCAGAGGTATGATTAGACACTGGAACTGCCCAGTTCCTTTACATCCCAAAAAAAATTTTTTGTTTCCTTTTAATCAAGGAATCACATCTTGGAACAAAAATTTTTTGAGGAACCGACCGGTTCCTTTAGTGCCTGAAGACTGAAAATGCTCAAAAAAAGTGCTTAATTCTTTAATAACTTAATATTTGACATTTTTAGTCTTCAGGCACTAAAGGAACCGGTCGGTTCCTCAAAAATTTTTTTTTTGTACCAGGATGTGAATCACGATTTAAAAGAAACAAAAAACTTTTTTTTGGGATGTAAAGGAACTGAGCAGTTCCAGTGTCTAATCATATCTCTGGCTAAGAAATACAAACGTATACCTCTTTGACAATGAAAACTTATCAAAACATGCTTTAAAGGGACTGGAATTGACTAGTTCCTCGTATGATGCTAGATCCATTCATGCTTTATCATTTAGAGTTGTACCAACATCTGCATACTACAATATCCAAAAGCCAGAAAGGATATCCATGATTAATGATTAATGTTTTCTAATAATCTTCTGAAAATTCCCAAACAAATTTTCACCTTCAAGTGATTTAAAATCCCAAAAAAAAAAATGCCCATACAATGTGATTTAAATCATAAATCACAAATAAATCTTTCATACAAAATGATTTAAATCATAAATCAAAAATAAATCACTTGTGTAAAATGATTTAAATGAAAAATCATTTTTCAAATCATTTTGATGATGATTTAAATCCTTACCTTTAAATTTTGAAAAATTTAACAAATTTTTTTTTCCAGGAAATGAACCAGTTCATCAACAGTATGCCAGCTCTCATTCCAGATTATGAGCTCGAGGATCCACATCTCCTGGATAGACACTCTTCGCCAATCATTTCTGCTCCAATTCCTGAGGAATTGGAAGGTGGATGGCAAGATGAATTGAAAGGTGGATGGCAAGATGGATTGGATCAAGAGTTGGATGAAGGCTATCAAAATTTGTTGGACCAGAAATTTTATAGCGACTACCAGCCATTGGCTTACGAGTTGCTGTTCGTCGGACGATTCCTCTCCAAGGATTTTCATTGTGCGGTTGAAGAACCTTCAAGAGATTTGCCTCTTAAGCTGTTGGATTATGCATCTCATGCAGGTTCAACAGTAAAGAGGCAAATGAGGAAGTTTGTTCGACTGTACGATGTGGAGAATAGACGAATGCAAATTTCGACGTCCAACATGTTGAGTAAGCATCGTGAGCTGAAGCTTTTGCTCATGAAGTATGCGATTTCGCAAGAAATCGAAGAGCTTCAGCAAGATCAAGAAGAGCTGGTTCCTCTTATTTTGTGCTTGATGCAATGGTTCAAGGGAGCGTCTTTGGAAGTCTTGGAGGGTCTAGAGGAGTTGTTGATTGTGTGGATCAATCACTTCCATGACATCATGCTCATGAGAGAAGTCGGGATCTGCTTATTTCACCATCCCGTACTAGCATCGGCACTCCAAGGATTTGTTTCATCACAAATCAGTTCCCATTTCGCTGTAAGTAACAAATTCATTACATGACTCTAGTGAATTCAAATTCAACTAGCTGGAGTTCTGACTATTAATATTAATAAATCTTTTTCATTTATTTTAGGACTATGAACCTCTTACGATTGCATCGGACATGACGTTTTCTGTGCCATCAGCTGTTGATGGACCATCGAGCCGATCCAATCTGGAAGAGAAGCCCAAAAAAAAGCGCAGGAGTTTTTGGAAGACTCTTAAACGAATGTTCTGTTGTGCGAGCAAACCTGAGGAGCACGAAGCCGAAGAGCTTCAACGTTAGAACGTGAGTGAAAGTAGATTAGGGGTTAAGGGTGTGAGGGGGTAGGGGTTGGGTAGGCGAGAAGAGCATTATCAAATCTATATGGGAGTTGCGCCCCATTGACGCCAAGGGAAGGGTTTGGGTGATTGGGTGAGGGGGTAGGGGTTGGGTAGGCGAGAAGAGCATAACCAAATCTATATGGGAGTTGCGCCCCATTGACGCCAATAGAAGGGTTTGGGTGATTGGGTGAGGGGGTAGGGGTTGAAATTGTGTTGCGAGGGGGAAGGGGTTGGATAGGCGAGAAGAGCATTATCAAATCTATATGGGAGTTGCGCCCCATTGACGCCAAGGGAAGGGTTTGGGTGATTGGGTGAGGGAGTAGGGGTTGGGTAGGCGAGAAGAGCATAATCAAATTTATATGGGAGTTGCGCCCCATTGACGCCAAGAGAAGGGTTTGGGTGATTGGGTGAAGGGGTAGGGGTTGAAATTGTGGTGCGAGGGTTAAGGGTAGGCGAGAAGAGCATAATCAAATCTATATGGGAGTTGCGCCCCATTGACGCCAAGGAAAGGGTTTGGGTGATTGGGTGAGGGGTAGGGGTGATTGGTAGTTTTGTTAACGTAAGGGGATTTTTCTTTTAAACAATCTGGACATGAATGAACTACAATGGCGCGTTCGAGTTTTTTATATAATTTTTATCGAACGAGGCTTATCCTCTATAAAAAGGGCTTTGAACTTTTTAGGAATTACAAGAGGGGGTTGAGGGTGGGCTGTCCAAAAAAAAAACATTACTGTCAATTCGTCCGTCCGTATTATCCTGTTTATTAATCCATTTCTTTTTCAGCTCTTACTTTACTTTGGTTTGGGTGATTGGGTGAGGGGTAGGGGTGATTGGGTGAGGGGTGATTGTTGGTTTTGTTAACGTAAGGGGTTTTTTCTTTTTAATAAAATGGACATGAATCAATTTCAATGGCGCGTTCGAGTTTTTTATATAATTTTTATCGAACGAGGCTTATCCTCTATAAAAAGGGCTTTGAACTTTTTAGGAATTACAAGAGGGGGTTGAGGGTGGGCTGTCCAAAAAAAAACATTACTGTCAATTCGTCCGTCCGTATTATCCTGTTTATTAATTCATTTCTTTTTCAGCTCTTACTTTACTTTGTATTTCGTGAATTTTTCCAATTCTTTCACAACAAATACTTCCGGGCCGTTGAGAGTCATAACAAGATCTTTGCCCAATAAATCCTGAACGTGAGCTCTCTATTCATGACTCCAAGCCATGCCTTACGGTGTTACAGCTTGTTCTTGTTGGTTTGGAGGGGACGTAAAGGCCAGTGGTACTGAAATTCGTTGACTCAAGGCGGTTTTGATCTTTATAGAGGCGCTTCCAGATGGGTCGCACACCCTTAATGATAGATGCATCACGGCATTTAATGTAACCCGGTGATGTGTTTAACTTACAGTTTTTGTCATAGTTGGGAAAACTATGCTATCCTGTAAGTTGCAACTAAGTCGTCTAACGAAAGTTGTTTGATTTAAGAAGGAGCGTATCACTGAGGAATTCGACCAAAAATTGATCATTAACCAGGGACTCGTTCTGTTGACCTTCGCGAGGTGAGTCCTGTGATCTTTTCTATTTCGGTAGAAAAGAGGCTGACAAACAGAAGTTGTGATTTGAATTGGAAATTTTGGAGTTTCAGAGTTACAACTTTTTTGAATCCGAATTTTTCGTGTTTTAATATTTGGAACTCGAAATTTTCGTGTTTCAATTTTTGGAATTCAAATTTTCGTGTTTCAACTTTTGGAATTTGAATTTTTCGTGTTTCAATATTTGGAATTCGACTTTTTCGTGTTTCAACTTTTGAAACTCGAATTTTTCGAATTTCGATTTTTTGAACTCGACTTTTTCGTGCTTCAATATTTTAACTCGAATTTTTCGTGTTTCAATTTTTTGAACTCGATTTTTTCGTGTTTCAATTTTTGGAGCTCGAATTTTTCGTGCTTTAATTTTTGGAATTAGAATTTTTCGTGTTTCAATATTTTGAACTCGAAATTTTCGTGTTTCAACTTCTGGAATTCGAATTTTTCGTGTTTCAATATTTTAACTCGAATTTTTCGTGTTTCAATTTTTTGAACTCGAATTTTTCGTTTTTCAATTTTTTGAACTCGACTTTTTCGTGCTTCAATTTTTGAATTCGAATTTTTCGTATTTCAATTTTTGGAATTCGAATTTTTCGTGCTTCAATTTTTGGAATTAGAATTTTTCGTGTTTCAATATTTTGAACTCGAAATTTTCGTGTTTCAACTTTTGGAATTCGAATTTTTCGTATTTCAATTTTTTGAACTCGAATTTTTCGTGTTTCAACTTTTGAAACTCGAATTTTTCGAATTTCGATTTTTTGAACTCGACTTTTTCGTGCTTCAATTTTGTAACTCGAATTTTTCGTGTTTCAATTTTTTGAACTCGATTTTTTCGTGTTTCAATTTTTGGAACTCGAATTTTTCGTGTTTCAATTTTTGGAATTCGACTTTTTCGTGTTTCAATATTTTGAACTCGAAATTTTCGTGTTTCAACTTTTGGAATTCGAATTTTTCGTATTTCAATTTTTTGAACTCGAATTTTTCGTTTTTCAATTTTTTGAACTCGACTTTTTCGTGCTTCAATTTTTGAACTCGAATTTTTCGTGCTTCAATTTTTGGAATTAGAATTTTTCGTGTTTCAATATTTTGAACTCGAAATTTTCGTGTTTCAACTTTTGGAATTCGAATTTTTCGTATTTCAATTTTTTGAACTCGAATTTTTCGTTTTTCAATTTTTGGAATTTGAATTTTTCGTGTTTCAATATTTTGAACTCGAAATTTTCGTGTTTTAATTTTTGGAACTCGATTTTTTCGTGTTTCAATTTTTGGAATTCGACTTTTTCGTGTTTCAATATTTTGAACTCGAAATTTTCGTGTTTCAACTTTTGGAATTCGAATTTTTCGTATTTCAATTTTTTGAACTCGAATTTTTCGTTTTTCAATTTTTTGAACTCGACTTTTTCGTGCTTCAATTTTTGAACTCGAATTTTTCGTGCTTCAATTTTTGGAATTAGAATTTTTCGTGTTTCAATATTTTGAACTCGAAATTTTCGTGTTTCAACTTTTGGAATTCGAATTTTTCGTATTTCAATTTTTTGAACTCGAATTTTTCGTTTTTCAATTTTTTGAACTCGACTTTTTCGTGCTTCAATTTTTGAACTCGAATTTTTCGTGTTTTAATTTTTGGAACTCGATTTTTTCGTGTTTTAATTTTTGGAACTCGAATTTTTCGTGCTTCAATTTTTGAACTCGACTTTTTCGTGTTTCAATTTTTGAACTCGAATTTATCGTGTTTCAATTTTTGGAATATTATTTTTTGGAGTGACAATTTATGAAATTTAAATGTTAAGTTTGAAATTTAAAATTTTCAAGTCGTGGATACTCAGGATTAATACTGAAAAATCTCAAAAATCCTTTAAAAAAAATCCCTGAGCCAATAAACGTGGAAATGTAAAAACCCTTTTAAATCCCTGAAGCATTTGATGAATAATACATCCAATATTCGAATTCTAATTTTTGAAATACACTTACACACTAGGCGTGGAAGTTGTTTCAGTTGTCAGACAGACAAAAATTAGACATAAAATTTTCGAAATTTGGCGTGAAAATTGCGCTACAAACACCGCAAAAAAAGGTTAAATTAGAAAAAGTTTATTTTGCAAATTTAATTAAAAGCTGATTAAAACTCATTAAAACTCAAGATATTTTCAGTGAAATTTACTTTAGACAGTTAAACATGGCGATACCTGGATCGATTGGAAAGGATAATTTGGTAAATAATTGAATATTTGAGTGATTTCATAAAATTTTAATTTAACAATTTTCTAGAATATCAGCTTCAGACTTAATAGCAAAACAAATGTATTTGACGGTTCCTCGAATGCGTTAGTAAATGCAAAAGTGAATATTGTTGGATCAGCAAGTAGCTTTGGACTGGTTTTTGTTGGATCATCAAATGCTGAGATTTTCGTGATTTGTACGAAAGATTTGGAACTTCCAACAGCATTAGATCAAAATGCTCCAGTTCGTAAAATTCCTATGCCATCGCCTGTTACTCAATTAGCTACAAACTGTGACGGATCAATTCTGGCTGTTGATGTTAAAATAAATGGTGTTCCTCACATCCAGATGTATTCAGTTCCTTCGTTTTTAACTCCTGTAAGTTTATTGAAGACCATTAACATCAGGAAGTTACTTACTATGAACATTTATTATTTTAGAACATTCAAAAAATCAGCGAACTTCGTCTGTCAGCCGATAACGCGAATTCAACTCAGTTGTGTTGGAATCCAGTAATAAATTCAATCCTTGCTGTTTGCACTGAAAGTGGAGGACTTAATTTGTATTCGTTTAAAGAACAAGGAGTTGCATTTCACAATATAGATCCATCATTAAAGGCAAAGTGTTGTTGTTGGTCACCAAAAGGCAAACAGATCGTTGCTGGATTCATGAATGGAAGAATAATGCAATTTAATATGGAACTAAAGCCGGCTAGAACAATAGAATGTCCACCAACAATATTTCCAGGCGGCAACTTTGATGTGATTGCTATTCAATGGCTTTCCACTTATCAATTTGCTATCGCATTCCTAAGTCATCAAGAGGCAGCAAGACCAAGTAATAATTTTTAATATTATAGTTTGTTCGATTTTATTATCTTTTATTTTGCTTAGATAAGTAGTTTTTCCCCCAAAATAATAACTAGACAAGTTGAGCATCAATTCTGAAGCACATGTGAGACTTTTTATTGTCACCAACTAAATTGACTTCAATTTCTGTCTTCATTGATGGATAACTGCTCTTAATTGGTGCTTCGACGTAATAAACGGCTTCGTCATTAACATTTAATGGACACTTTCCTTCCTTCAAGTGAGCACATCCATTTTGATGCTCTACCGGTAGATTAATTGGAACTTTGAGGGTCCAAACTTTTGCAGACAATTGTGGAGTTAAAGTTTTAGTCGTCTCACTAGCTTTAAATCTGATTTCTGCTGTTAAATCACTGCCTTTACGGAATTTACATGGCATCTTTTCACAACCTTTGAAAGTCACACTTTTTGGAGCTTTTAGAGATGATGAGCCTTTAGGATTTATAATAAGTTGCTTGAAAAAAGAGTATTATTTCATCTTTAACGAGATCTTACATGATTTCACTTCAAGGGAATGACCCACAGCGCACAATGTAGCTAAAATTACCAAAAATGTAAACTTCCTCATTCTGTAAAACTTCGTATCTTACTGATTTGATACTTCTAATAATCGTGATTTTTATTCGCATATCTTATCAGCAAATTGTCAAGCCTTTATCAAAAAAAAAATAATGATTCATGAATTAAAATAATCAATACTTCAAAAAAATTTATTTTATTGGCAGCAATGATATAAGCAGGCAGTATTTTGACAAATTTACTTACTTTTTGTAATATTTGCTGAATTTTGTATTCGTTCTTATAAAACGTGTAAATTTATAAAATATTAAATACTTTCTTCCTTGATTTAGTTTTACACATACTCAACGCACCAAAAGCCGGTCCTCCACAATACATTGTCTACAATGATGTTTGCTACAGCACTTCTGAAATTCGACCAAGCAAAATGTACTTGCAATACATTCAACAATGGGGGATGTTACTTGTTGCGTCCGCAAATTGTGTTGATGTGAGCTTTTTGAGAATTTGTAAACCAGGTGATATTCCAGAATGGATGCAAGAATTTCCAAATGATCAATTTCCAGCAGAAATGCCACTGACACCTGAAAAGGATGAATCATTTCCTGTTGGATTTGAATTTGAGACAGCATGTACAAATAAATTATTACAAGAAGATGGAAATCCTTATCCTGTAATGCCAATGATTCATTTAGTATCGACATATGGTGTATTATGTTCATTTTATATCCTTAATACAACATCTACTTATGTTGATGTATGCTCACCACCACGTCCAATTGATCCAAGAGTCCAGAGCTTATTTACAGTCAATGTGTCTGCAAATGTAGTTAAAAGTCAACCACAAAGAAGTGTTTTTCAAACACCGACAAAAATAGAAGCACCTGCACCAATAAGCACTTCAACCCCAGCAGTACTTCCTAAAACAAATTTATTTGGATCAGTTCCAAATGCATCACCATTCAGTTTAGCTCCACAAAGTCAATCAAACGCATTTAGTGGATTTTCTATGCCACCAAGTTCACAACAACAACAAGTTAAGCCACAACCAGTTACGATGCCATTCCAAATGCCAGCATCAAAACCTGTAATTGCTCCTACTCAGCCAATAATTCTACCAGTTCAAGCAGTTCCTCAGAATCAACCATTAATTACTGTCCCACCGACTTATAATCCTCAAATGACACAACAAAAAACAGAAGTTAAAGAAATTGCAGTAAGTGAAAAATTGACAGACGCTGAAGATGAGCTTATTTACTTAAGAATGATCCAGGATGAAATGAAGGCATTCGAGCTTGAATTAAACTTTATTATGGAAAAGTCTAAATCATTAAAGGTTAATATTGGAACAAAAGAAGAGTCCGCTGAAATGAGACGAAAATTAGAAGAACTTGATGAATTAAAAAAGGAAGCAAATGAGACAGTAGAATCATTAAGAAGTGACATACAGACGAATAGACTTGGATTAACTGAAATGTTCTCAATGGTTTACGAAGCGAAATCTAAAATGGATCAAGCGAATAATGAAAGATCCATTATAAAGCCACATAATCAAATTCAGGATCGTTCAATTAAAAGAACCTTAGATACGTTAAAGAAAATGATATCGCAATGTGAAATGCAGATTCAAGTTGTCATTCAATTACTCAATAGCCAATGGGCAAATTATCAAGACAGTTTGGGACGGAATAAAAAAAATAAGATGCATGTGCCTAGCTTAGAAAGTGTATATCAAACCTTGACTAAGCAGCAAGAAATCGTTTACAATTTAAGTGCAAAAATAAATCTTTTGAAGACGAAATTGGGGATTTGTGACGATGTTAAGAAGCAAAAGAATGCGAATGTTAATAACACAATTGAGTCATTGTCAGACTCAATCATTTCAATGTCTTTAATCGATCAAGTTCAAAATGAAAATTCTAAATTGACTTCGAAAAAGCTTAACAATCTTTTAAACTATTTAAATAACAGAGAAGTAGTTACAATCAAGCCACAACGACCGAAATTGCCAGGATTGAATTCTGAAATTGTTATTGAGAAGAAAATTCAGGCAATTAAGAATTTAAAGAGACCGGAGCCTAAAAGAGCTTTGGTGCCACAGCAAAAAGAGCTTGTTCCTCAGCCAAAACCAATTCCAGTAGTTCCAAATATCCCGAAAACTCAACCATCAGAATCTGTCTACGACTTTTCATCAATGCAGCAACAAAGTGCTCAAAAACCACCAATTTTCACTCCAGTTACGAATACTGCAACGCAACCTCAATTATCATTTGCTAAAAAACCAGAAGAACCGACGAAAACTTCGGGCTTTTCTTTTGGAAGTGCTTTACAAACTGTTCCACAATCAAATTTTGGACTAAGCTTAAGCACATCAACTAAATCAGGACTGAATTTAAGCACATCCAGTAATCCAATGAATTTTGGAAATTCCTCAATGCCACCACCTTCATTTACTCCGAGTGGATTCGCTACAAACTTAAGCGCTGAAAAAAGGAAGGAAGATTCAGTGACAATTACGAAAATCCCACAAGCTGTTCCAAAAACGACTGTAGAAGCTAAGCCAATATCGAATGCAAATTTAACAGTATCTGCAAACTTCTCCGTTCCATTGCCGCCAAAAACATCACCGTCAACTGTAAAGGAAATATCAAAAGTAGAGGAAAAGAAGAAAGAGGAACCTAAACCACTTACAACAAATGAAACTGCTTCCTTTACATTCTCATTGCCTGGAAAGAAAGAATCACCGGCATCGAATAAACCAGCTTCTGTAATCACTTTTGGTAACTCTCCGTCGACTGCTTCAGACAATGTAAAAAGTGCATTTTCATTTGGTTCCGCACCTAATGCATTCAGTTTTGGAACTGCTAGTAAAACTAACGAAGTTAAGCCACAAGCTTCAACAACTAGCTCAACATCAATATTCTCAGGAGGTTCATCATCATTTGGTTTTGGAGATGCTGCTAAAGTGACATCAAGTGGAACCACATCAATTTTTGCGGCTGCATTGTCAACGCCTCAAATCCCAAAAACTGTCGAAGATTTAAAAGTTTCTCCATCCTCAGTTCCCACTATTGCAAGTTCATCCAGCAGTGCTCCTTTATTTGGAATTGGTACATCAGCTGCACCACCATCAGATAGCAAATCATCGTAAGTATCCTCAATCTTATATTTTAAAATTTTATTTCGGTTTTCAATAATGATTAAATTTTTTTATCTCACAGATTCTCGTTTGCTAACTTTGGAGCTTCAATTACAAGTACAGTATCAGAACCTGTTTCTTCCATTACGACTCAAAGTGCCACAGTTTTTGCTCAAAAAAGTGATACAAATAAAACGCAAGCAGTTTCAAGTAGCACGCCTGCAGATTCAAGTACAATAACTCCACCTCCTTCAAATGTTGTCCAATCTTCAACTGCTGATTCCGTTCTTCAAGGATTAAATATTTGTTCTCCTATCACAACATTAATAGCACCTCCAGCGCCAACAAACATTTTTGCATCGCCACTTCCACCAACTAAAACAGAAACATCTTCATTTTTCGGAAGTAGTTCATTTGCTACTGGTTTTGGATCACCTAGTGTCGCTACCACTAAAAGTACAATATTCTCAACACCTACATCAACTGTTACTACAACAGTATCAAGTTCGACGCCAGTTACAAGCACTACACCATCTGAATCAATTTTTGGACAGGCAGTGAAAACAACGCAAGCATTTGGAGGCTTAGATTTAAGTACAAAGTCACCTACAAATACTGCATTTGGACAATCATCACTTGTTAAGCCTGATCAATCAGTTTTCGGACAGAATTCAGTTACTGTGACTTCAACGCCGGCCACGACAGAAACGTTTAGCAATATTTTCGCTGCAGCAGCTGCCAATTTAGATTCAAAGCCTGCAAATACTTTTGGAAGTACTCCAGTATCATCACCATCTAATATTTTTGGTACGGCTACAACACAAGTCTCTTCCTCTACATCAAATGTTTTTGCAACACAACAATCCCCTCAAGGCTCGATTTTCGGACAGACACAACCAAGTCAACCTTCTCAAGGATCAATTTTTGGACAGGCAGCTGCTACAACATCAAGCAATTCTGTTTTTGGACAAGCAACATCAACTACTCCAAGTGGATCAGTTTTTGGTCAAGCTACTACGACAGCTTCGACAGGATCTATTTTCTCTCAAGGATCATTTTCATCGCCAAATACAACAGGAAATATTTTTAGTGGAACTTCACAAACTCAATCGCCATTTGGTGCTGCACCATCAAGCTCAGTTTTTGGATCAGGAAGTCAACCAAGTCAACAATCTACATCCATATTCGGTGGTTCGAGTGCTTTTGGACAAACTGCATCAGCACAGCCAAGTTCAAACATTTTTGGAAGTGCTGCGCCAAATACACAAACCAGTCCATTTGGAGGAAATATTTTCACACAGAATCAAGCTCAATCCTCATTTGGAGGAAATGCAACATTTTCTAATAATTTTGGACAGAGTTCATTTGGATCTGGTGGTTCTATATTCACTCAGCAACAGAATCAACCAGTTTTTGGCGGTGGTGCAACTTTTGGAAGTCCGAAATCTAATATTTTTGGAGGAACTGTTCCTTCTCCTCCACAAAGTCCTCAACAAGGCAATAACATTTTTGAGCAACTTGGTCAGCAACAGTCAGGAAATTTATTCGGAAGTTTAGCACAAGCCACACAGCCACCACAACAGCAAGGAGGATTTATCGGAAGTGCATTTTCAAGTTGGCGTTAATTTTATGTTAAGATAATTGTGGAACTAATTTCATTTGTTAAGAAAATAAACTTTACTTCAATAAATTTGTTTAATCTGAATTGGAATCTAGTTCTCTTACATCCAAATGTGTTCATTCCAAAAAATCCAAAACCATGTGATTATCATAAAATTTTATTTTTAACCCACAAAACTTCTTGGAAATATTCTCAGTCATTCAATGTCATATCCACAGCACATTTTCAATATAATTTTCACTTTTCCACAGCCATTGTTTTAATTATTGTTGGTAAAAGGATAAAATTAAGGAACAACTTCTTGTAAAGATCCACGAACATAAAATCAAATGAAGAGAAATTGAGAGGAAGCGAGCATGGCAATTGCGGTGAGGTATGATTTTCACTTCTTTCATAGACAGCAAACTACACTTAATTGATGGCATCCTTATTTCCGCACAATTAACGATAAAAAGGAACTTTATCTTTTCATTTTTGCTGAATTATCTGTTTTCGCTGTGCTTGTGATGAGGCAGGCTCGTTTCGTAACTAGTTAACGTTGACAAAAAAAATTAAGAGCATTAAGAATGAGTTGAAGCTTTGTATGAAGTGGATGTGGTTATGGAAATATGACAATTATGATTTTGAAGGTTTTAGAATAAGCGCGAAGATGTAGGTTGAATTAAGGGTCATATTTACTTTGAGGTAGGGATCAATGAATTGGATCAGAGGAAGCAAATTAAGAATTTGGTGTGAATAAAAAAAAAAATGTTAAGTTCAGTCTACAAAAATCTTCTTTCATTGTCATATTCGAGGACTTTATCAATATTTTTTGAATTTTTAGCATTTGGTTTTATCTTAGACATATCCGTTGACAATACAGTCTTGATGAACTCTCGATAGTCACATAAAACCGTTGAGGTACAAGCAACAAAGAAGTTATAAAAATTTGTAACTGTAATTCATGAAAAATGAAAATTTAAACATTTTTATTTTAAAATTGACATGAAGCACATAAAATAAAGCTGATCTAGTTAAAACTCTTCACGGCTTAAAATGCATTCCGTTGAGAGCAAATGCTGAATATTTAATAAAAAACCTGTTAATGGAATACTAAGAACATACAGTATGCATTAAAATTGTCAGTTTATGTGCTCGGGAAAATGCATTAATCTATGAATTTTTCATGCTGTTGCGTACATTTTACGTTGACGTAAGCTTTAATGTTATTCATAGTCCCCTTAAATTTATGCATCAAGCAATAAGAGTTTATTTAAAATTTTAATCTATGGCTTTAAAACATCAATTTCAATAAATTTTTAAAAAAAGTTTAAGTGTTCCTCTTTATTATGCAGTTTCAAGACATCAGAACTCACCACAAAATAATTTACAACAAAAAGGATTTTTTTTTCTCGTAAAGGAATTACAATAAAAGAAAGAAAAAGGAAAAAGGTATAAGGATATTCAATCACGCGACTCAGCGAAAAAGCACGGCACAAAAATGTAATTAAAAAGTCATTTGCATATTAAAGGTTTTCACCGAGCAAAGTGTTAAGGATTTCATTTTTTTTCTTCTTTGTCAAACCTTTTCATTTCATTTCCAACCGTATATTGTTGTCTGTGCTGCACATAGGAAAAAATCTTTTCTCCAACTCGCGAGAGGAAGGCATAAATCATTTCAATTAAGAGGAATTCTTATTTCATTTGTTTATGCGACGATGGCGTTTATCCTTTCATTCATTATTCATTAGACAATCCGTGCTGAATATTTTTTTGTTTTTTCCTCTTTGGGATAGTTCACAAATGAAGTTCATCTAAATCCGAGACGAAGACAACATGATTATCATAAACTGTTCGGGACCATTTAAAAAATATGTTGTTCCATGGAACACGTCATCTGCTTCTTTACTTTTACGCTCTTGTTAATTTACAGCAATATTGTCCAAACTTTGTGTCGTGGCACACAAGTGTGCTGTAGTTTAGTCATAAGATTAAGATTTAAGAATTAAGATTTGCCCAAGTTCAGTTCAAACTCTTGTTTTCATGTTGCATGCAAATAATTATTATTTTCACATCCACTGATTAAGTGTTGCTGTTCCTAGTCTCTAATTAGAGCAATGCTTCAAGTATCAATAACAACTAGCTGCTTACAATTCAAACTCTGTTCCAACATTTCATGTAAAGTTTTCAAATCATCCAAAAAAAGATTAATCTCTTCTGCATGCATAGAGCAATAATTTGTTTAAAAGTATTAAAAATAAAGTCATTTGATTACGTTACATTCCAGCTAATTGCTGCTTTCCAATAAACACTAGATATTTTGAGCGCTGCAACATCATAAATTGAATTAAAACGGCGTAGATGCATGCATGCAAAAATTTCCATATCCTCAATTTATGAGAAGCTTTAATTCTAGCTTAAAAGCATGAAGAAAAAAATTTCACACCACAAAAATAAGGTTAAAATTTTTGCAATTTAAAGATTATTCATTTGTGGCTTTATGCTCAAGCATTCATAAAATGGGAATGGGGTGCTCAAACCAAAAGACAGAAAAGCACACAGAGAAAGTTTCTCGTCCACAAAGGAATTAAACCATCTCATTCCATGTTGATGAACCAACAAAGTGTTATCAATTAACATAAATTTAAATGTATGTGTAGTTGTTGGAAGTCAAAGATGCTTTAAATTTTCTCCCTATAGTCTTAAGTGCTGCATCATCATCATCATCATAGTCATCAGCATATTATGGAAACAATTTAGAGTGAGAATATATGAAGAAAGAAATGAATTTTAATTTGTGCTAAATCAAGGCAAAAGAAAAACTTTGCATGTTTTTTAGTTCTTTTCATTGCGAATATGAAATATGGAAAATTATTGTCGACTGGATTATGGGGAAGTGGTTTGTAATAAATTTGCATATTCTGAAGTTTTGTAAACTCTAATTATGACATTGAGTGCTACATTTTTAGATTAATAATTTATGTGGGATCTTGAAAGTTTTTCTAAGTTTCTAATTGAAGCTGGATGTAAAATGTCTAATAGCTCCTTAACAACAATCTAGTAATGATCAACACATACCAATTTAGTGTCTTAAACTTAAGCAATATCAATCTGGCATTCCAAAATAACTTACAGCAAAAGAAATCTAAAATCCCAAAAGATGCTTAAGCTTAATGACATCGTACATGATACATTAAATTGAATTTTTATGATCCTTTTAGCATCAGAGCATTAGCATCACACATAACTTTTCTCTTTATAAATAAAATCTTCTGTCTCATCCCCAAAAAAATTAAATTTGTGGATGCATGTGCCACAACCACCACCAACATCACAAACTATTCTCGTCATGCACTTCGCATTAATGAGGGAAAAATCTTAAGTAAGTAAGGAAGTTGAACATTAAAAGAGATTATAAAGTTCTTAAGCATTGGATAGATAGCATTATACATTATTATAATAAACTTTTGGTGTTTTTAATGTTACGTGATTCTCTTAAGAGTTTCAATCTCTCTTACTCTCTTTCTCACTCTCCATGGATAATTCATGACAATTTTCTTGCTCACAAAAGACGAACATAAGACAATGGAATTATTGTGGGTGATAAATTGAAACCACAAAATCGGTTCTTTTTTTTGTTCGTTCTTCAGTTGCATATTTCTTTTCGTGTACATTTTTATGGCATTGTTAATTTGGCAATTAAAAATTTTTTTGCATTAAACTTCTCTCATTTAAAAAAATTATGCATAATTGATGTTGAACAATGTTATGGCTATATAAAGCCATAATCCCTTATTACTGGCTGTGTGCTCTCAATTCCATAAGACAATTTTGTATTTCATTTGTAACGACGGATATGAATTCAGAATTATGTCTTTTTTCTGAGCATATGTTGCTATTATAATGGTTTCAGAGTCCTCGTCATTTTGGAGGAAGTAGGCTGTTCATATAGGTTAGGGGCCGTTCATTTATGACGTCCACGGGGGGGGGGTGGGGGGGTCAGCAAGAAAAAAACAATAGAAATTCCTGGAAATCCATTGTTCTCTTTTAAAAAATTACCGTTATTTTCGGGCGTCATAAGTGATCGATCCCTTAGGAGATTGTGAGAAAGATCAGGCAGAAAATCACTCGATAAAAAAATGTCTTCAATTTGCTGAAATTTTGTCATAAATGCGTTTTCGTCACATAAAGCCACACAACAACCCTTTCTAAAACATTTTTATGTTTATGCTTCTTCCTCTTACGTACATGGCAGTGGCAAAAAAGCATAAAACTGCACTTCCTGATTCCAAAACATAAAAGAACGACTAAAGAGTTGGTGTGAAAATTAATCCCGTATTTTTATGGCTCCATCTGTCTCTCGTACTTTCATAAAACATTGCATAAACGCCCAACGTTTCAGTTTTGTGTATGTACGAATACAATTTTTTTCTTCTTCATTGCGAATGTAACACTTTGGGATCTGAAGGAAAGCAAAAATATTTATTTTTTAATTTTTATGGCTTTTTCCTGTTGTGCTGAAAGTTTTATGGATTTTTATGCTCCCTCTGCATGCCACATGAAATACAAAAATGTAAAAATCCTGAAATAATGCTTCCAATCAATGGCTTACTTTTTATTTTTATCCTCTATATATCCATAGATATTTGCAGTATAAACTCAGTAGGTTCAATTATCTATTTATGGCGCATGAAGACGAACAAAATTCTTGGTGATTAGTTACAGTAAGAGAAGCTTAAAATTGAGAAAATCAGGAGCGCTGTTTGTTTCAATATTGTAAACAATTAAAGCTTTCAATAATTATAATTTTCATAGTCAAACCACACAAAATACCCTTCGGCATAAATATCTATAATTACTTTTTCCACAGCTGTCATTATCGTTAATTAAGTTGTCACTTTCGGAAGTTTTCAGTAAATAAATTATCAATTTCTGTAATGAACTGTTGCTTTAACTTGTTTCACAAGGTAATTGTCTGTTTATTATCAAAAGTTGTCAATAACTAAATCTTGTTATAAATTGCCGGTTCCTCTTCTTTTTCACTAATAACTCACTCAAGTATTTTGTTGAAATGATGCTTGTAAGAATCATCAATTAAGTATATCAAGATCCAGATGACTCATTACCGTCACTATAAAGCTTAAACAGCCAGTCAATCTGACCAACACAGCAATCACAAAGAATCTTGTTGTCATAAGTTCCAATGGAAATAAAAAAATATTTCACTCCTGAATTCTCCGTGCATTCATTCATTTCATTAAGCCTCCTACTGTTAATTCCCACTTTTTGTGCAATGCTCTTTTTTGCACCACTTACAATGTACAGTCATTTGGAATGATGCCAATAGAGAAAAGGTAGACGGTAAAAAAAAATTGATACGAAGAAGAGACTGCTAATAGTAAGCTCATGTCCTTTTTCCAAGTTTTTTTCTTGGAATTTAATTTGATAAAATAAAAATGTAAAGCACTAATTACACTTCATGTAGCATTTTTGGACATAAGACAATTAAAAGGTTGGCTAATAATCGATTTATGGAGGAGAAAAAATTTAAGAATGAATTTCAATGCATGAAAGTTTTAGATTCTGACTAGGAAAGCATATTTGTGGCATACCATTGATAATATTTTTGCTGGAATGACTCAATTGATGCAAGTCGTTGCTCGAAATTTTTTGACGACACCAACCCTTCCCTAGCTATTCCCCTGATCTAATTAAAATTCTATGACAAAAAATGTGGAATTCCAATCTAGTTTAAAAATCTTTATGCATCAAAATAATCAAAACAGCACAAAAAAAGTTAAAAATTTTAAAATAATAGTTTTTGGCCGGTAAACTTTTCAAGAATATTCATCGAAACTTTCAACGTATTTTTTTTTTCATTTTAATTGCACTTCATTGCATTTATTGACGACATACTGTACGGTAATAATTCACATTTTACACTTTTGTATTTGTATACATATGAATTAGTATTATGTAGGATCAAACTTCTAATCTTCATATCTAGGTTTCAAATAAACAAAGGCTCTCGTTTCGATCTTCTGTAGGCGTGACGTGATACTTTTTCAGGTCCGTTCTAACAATATTCCATTCGTGGGTAATCTTGTAGCTCTCGTTCCTATTTCTCCCGCTACTCTTCAAGTTCCTGACCCGTTCCTTAATCCAACGTTGCCCAAATGCCCAATTATGGCTTGATCTTGTACATTAAGCAGTCGAAGTATCTAAACTTCCGAAAAAGAACAAATTTGAAAATGGCTGGATTCGAATCGACGACCTTCGAGTTACCATCCCAAATTTGAGCCAAGCGCCTTACCTATTCGACCAGCAAGGCACTCAACTGATTTTCGCTTATAAACCCTTAAACTGCTTTAAACACAAAGTTAATGAATCGTGCTTAAAAATTATTTTCATTCTCCACACTATCTGAGTTGAGACTTCTCATTCGTATTATTTACTGTTCCTCATATCATTTGAATCACCAAAATTCTCGAGTTATTTTACTTTATTCGATAAATTATCTGTCCGTTTTATGTTCACTTTTATATGTTCTTTGGCATGTATTTGCGGTTCTCTGTCGGCTCTAAAATACATATCTCTCCCTCATGCCATGACTCGTGGGAACAATGAATAAGAAAACGCGATAATTCTCCGAAATTTTATGCCGTATTTTTTTTAAATGTTGCTTCATTGCTGGCGAATGGAAAAAGTCACAATTTATGGAAAAGTGCTAGAATTTTTGTGTGTTCTATATTCTTCTGTGAAAATGCAACTCTTTTACTGTCTGCTGTTGCAATTATATCAAAATTAAAAATTCTTTACTATGGCTTTAAATTGTTCTCAACTATTGAAGAAATAAAAACAGAAAATTAAATATTCAGGATAAATTTCTTATGCACTGACTTATATACCATATTTTTAGGTTATTTTACACTTCTTATGACCTAATTAAAGTATGGAATCCTTACAAAAATTAATTAATTCATTCTTGCATTACAATCGTTTTAGTAAAAGCTAAATCCAGCAAAAATCTTCGTGTAATAATAAATAAATTTCTAGGTCGAAATCCTTAAAGACAAAGAATCTGAAATTCAATATGTGCGTCATAGCCAACAAATTAATTAATTATTCAATATATGCAAATAATTGCAATTTGCAATTAAACATGCATTTCGGTAATTAACAAGTTGTAAAATGTTTATTTAGGAAATTGTTCATTCTCAGCCTTAATAGCTTGTCTTATGATTTATTTATAGATAGTTTGTCGCTCCTAAAGCACGTTTAGATTGCCTGTAGATAAAACTGGTACATCTTCTTGTTTACTGGATTAAAAATAATATTTTTTAAATCGTCATTTACCTTGATACGTGATTTGATTGAATGTACAGCGGAACATAACTTTTGTTTTTTTAAATTAAATATAAGCCATTATTCAGTTTTAAATTATTTTGAATTTTATCCAAGAAAATTCGATAAATAATTGCGAAACATTAAATTTTATTTTTTACGAATGAATTTCTTTTACTTCTCCCTTAATCGGACCAGCCAAAAAAGTTCATGTAAATGCAACCAGTTCATTAATATTTTAAATTTCCGCCTATAATTTATGTTCTTTAATTTTAAAACTTTTTTTCAAGTTCAATGGCTTAAAGACAGTTTTTGTGTTTCATTTTTATACATTCAACACACAAATTAATTAAACAACAGACATCTGCGTAAGTTTTGTTTAATGAGGCATTATTTTTCATCTTTTATTCTATACGGATTCGATTTGACGTCATGATGACTTAAAAGACTACTCAAACTTACTACTTAACGTAATTTGTTTCTTGACTACATTAAGAGTTTCATTAACTCGGCAATTGGAAACAAACATTCGTTGGCTATGGCTTATAAATGATGGGGAAGCTTCTCAAATGACATTGCCATTTTTAACGCTGAATATTCAATCGCAAAATTAAGAATTAAGAATTGCCAATGATAATTTAAACAATAAAAATAATATTTAACACGTGATATGTGTCGGCAAATGTCAAGATCTAAGTTCAATTATTTTAAAAACAAGTTTTAAAAATTTGATTTAAATCTTTCATTACAAGTCCACAATTTAAAATTTCTCATCAATAAAATACAGCCAGTTGGCATCTCATAAAGCGTGAAATTCAGGAAATCATGATATTCATGTTAAATCATTTGGCTTTTGTAACTGCAACCCAAAAAAAATTATTGCTTATATCGCAATGACTTCATTGCCGTCTTTTTTAATCCACCAAACAAGTTTAACATTTTTTTCAACATCGACAATTTCTTTTGTTCAGCAGCATGCAGATTGAAAGAAATTTATCTCAAGCACTACTCAATACATAATAATATGTACAGCAACAACTCAATGCAACTGAGACTTCATAAAAAAATTAAAGAGAGTCTCTCTCACTTTTCAAATTTCTCTCAGAGAATGGAAAATAAAAGAAATTTTTTGCAAAATACAGTTCGCATGAATGAAAAGTCATTGGTTTTTAAAAACATCTCACGATCTCTAGCCTAAACATAGAAGCAACAGATTGCCACGTTGCACATTAAACAAATTGACATCAATTTAAATGAAAAATCTTTATTATGTGTGAAAATTGACTTTAATTTAATTAACTGCGAACACGAATCATTCCAATGTCTTCCTACAAAAAAATTTCTCAATTGTTAAAAATTAAGACATTGGTTTTTGTTGCTATCGAACGAGTAGAAATGAGAAAATACATTCCGTCAACAATCGTCAAGGTCGTTGTCATAAAAAGTTTTATGAATTGACTCGTGAAGCCTCTCAGTCGCCCAATTCATTTATTAATAAAGTCTTAAATTAATATGTGTGGTGAGAAATTTATATTGTTGATATATGTTGGATCTGATTTTCAATAAATCGTTCATAAGTATTCAGACGACAGAACATTCTCGATGCAATTATTATACAAGTCTAGAAATGCCGTTGCATTTTACACATACATTTAAAGAAAGAGAGAAATGTACCTTCAAATGTATTAAATCATTTTTAATAGCTTGTTTAAGGTATAAATGAAGTGATTTGATCACTTTGATTTGTTGGCTGACTTAATAGGGGAATGACCTTTTTAAGTTTTAGAGATTTAGATTTTCTTACTGCTCTTGTTATAAATACGTTCCTTCAGGGTTCAGATTAATTCAGATTGTTAAGTTTGAATCCATGGAAAGCAAATTCAAATCCAATTTCATGATGTCCAAATTACTAAGGTTTGTTTCACAGATCTAAAAACAATTGAAACTAGAAGATTTTGAAAGTTTTTCAAAACCTAATTTGACAACTTAAAATAAATGATGAGTTTGGATACTTCTTTAAGCCCTTTAGAATACCGACCATTGTTACGATAAGAAGTAATAATCAAAATAGTATCATTCAAAAATTTAATATTTATCCCATTTTAACAATAAGCAATTTCCAGTTGGATGTGATTGAACTCACTCAGACGATCAACACAACCTGCGCCTTAAACACACTCTCAACAATGATCGCGTTTACTATTTTATCTTTGTGTAAGTAAGTTAATTGAAAGACGAGCCCTCGAGTAAAGCGATTGGACGTGAATATCGTATGATCATTTTGCTCATTTTTCTTCTTGTTTCTTTTGCTTTGCTGCTTCACGCTATTATTTCAAATGAAATAAACTTTTAACACATGAAAGAAAATAAATAAAAATTTAAGTTTTTTTGTTCGCTTTGGTGCTTTTTTCGGCAAGTCATGCAAACATCGCGAAAACTACACCCATGCCAAATGCTTGCAAATTTAAAACATCGTACGATGTCAGCTGTTACTTAGAGTTTTAATTAATGCTGAACGAGTCTATTAAATTCAATTAACATTTCACTTATGTAACTTAAAAGGGGAAATAATAAAATTATTGTTGAATTAAAATTCATGTTGATTTATTTATAAAAACTAAGGAAATTGCTGATTGACTGATTTTTCGTTTAATTTATCGTATTTGATCAGATCTTTTTTGATTTTTTAATGTATGTATGTGAATAGATGAATACTTTTTTGGTATATAGAGGAGATGATGACTGAATTTGTTTTGCGAGAATTTCTTTTATTTTAAATCAATTGATTTTATATTATTATTTACTCAAAACTACAAATTCAACAAATTGAATAAGTGAAAATATTAGGAAATATCTATGATTATTTATGAGCATAATTCCATCCTATTAAAGCAATTCGTTTTTTCCTCGAAAAACATAAAACATTTTCAATATAAATCGGAAAAAAATGTTTTTCATATTGATGTGGCTGTAAAAAAGAGTCTGTCAAAAATTATAACATCTTCATTTGCTTCAATAATGAATAAAACGTTGGATATACATTTTGTAATTTTTTATAGTTTTCAATTCAGTGTTGGTTATATTAAATTTAATTTTACGTCAGAAGCTTCCGAATTTTAAAAGAGAATTTCATTTTATATAGGATAAAGTTTCATCACACATATACGTCACATCAGGTGATAATATATTACCGGTAGAAAACCCATAAATTTTCCATAAGAACGAAGTGGGAATTCACTTTTTTTATCTAATCTTAAAAACATGACCTTGGATTTCAGAAAATAATTCAAAATTGGTGTTAATATGGTTTTAAAAAAGATTAAAAACCAGACTGAGATAAAATTCGACAAAAAATCGGAATTTCTGAATAACGTCTTTTATTAGATATTTTGGTTTATAGTCAAGTTTTCTTTCCTTGATTAGCACTGTTCATTTGATGATATCCAACAAATTTAAACCAACTCTGAATTTTGTTTTAATTCAAAAAATATTTTTCTACCTTTAAGATTGTATAATTCTGTCTTAATTGAATGCAGAGTGAAATTGACATTTGCCCTTCGTCTTGATTTATGCCATAATTATTTTTTATCATTATTATGCATGTCTAGAAATATCTGATTGCAAGTCTAAGGAGGTATTGACGTAGAATTCTATTTAATATCTGAAATCTGATAGTTCATTATGAAACTTTCCATTCATTATCGTTGAAGTTCAGATTTCTTTCTGGAAATTTATTTTTATTTATTTTTTTTTTTGAAGAACACGATACACGATATCCGGGTCAAAATGTCATAACACTGAATATTGTACATACTTTTGAAAGCCATTCAATTTCACAAAAAAGAGACTTGAATGAGGAACAGAAGATGAGAGAAGTCAATAATTAAGTTTAATTGTATTCTTAACATTCATTTGTCAATGTAGCACTTAAAGTCACCTTGATGTGCAGATATTTAACAGGACATTCCTGATGAACTTGCTTACGCAAATTGCGTGATAAACAATGAGATTAATTATTGGATTAAAACTTGTTTCTATTATCCTCAAATTTTGTTTATTTATCATGTTTTCAATTAGTAAAGCATCAAATCAAAAGAGTAGTAAAAAGGAACAGAATGACAATTGCAGATAATTAATTTGAGTTTTCAAAGGATCCAACACAAAAGATACTATTCAGGTTTTAATTGAAACTTACTGATTAGATAAAATGATTGCTAAAAGATACAACTCATGCTATGATAATGATCCAGATTTATTTGTGGAAATTCCATCCACACGAATTGTTTGGAAGTTCGAAGAAAATTAACATTGTTTATCAGTAATTATTGAAAACTTTATGGAATTTCCAAATTATTAATACTTATTTTTAGTGTCTTCAAAAAATACAATAAGTTCAAAAGATCCGGATTTAATGGCCATGAAAATTCTAGAATCTTAATTAATTCTTGCACATTTCCTTCTTCAATTCACAATCTACAAAGCTTCAAACATCAAACTTTTGCAGATAGAAAAGTCTTGCACTCAAAAATAACTTTTTGCTTTAGTAATTCAAAACAATACGGAAGCAACAGTTTATTTAATCTGTCTTAATGCTTGACTCAAAAGGTCTTAAAAATTAAAGTGTTTGGATAGGAAATGCAGCAACGTTAAAGGCGAATCTCTTGGAATATTTGCACGAAGCCTCTTACGTGTTTCGATAGTAGACGAAAAATCGCTTGTCATTTTTATCAATTTTTTGTGAGTAATATTTATTAATAAGTTGTTCGTAATTTCATCAGATCATCATTTCAGCTTAGTCAGACGTAGTATTTGCCTTTTTTTCCCTGATGTAAACATTCGAAAACAAATATCAAAAAAAAAAATTTGCATCACAATAATAAATATAACGTAAGTGAATATTTTTACCTTGAAAAATCAGTAGTATGCAAATATGTAGATTATCATTCATTAATAATCGAAAGTTTCATTCATTGAAATATTGAGTCAATGGGTTTTATGGATTGATATTTAAATACAATAAATTACAAATAAATAAAATTATTTATAAATCATTAACAACAACAAAAATAAATATGAAGTCACTTCTTTTCGACGTTAAAGCAGCGAATTATATCGAAAAAAAACAACATACGATAATTTGGTTATAGCCTATTGGATGAAAAATGCAAACAATTTAAATTTATAAAAAATATATTTTTATCTTTTATTAAGTTAAAACTTAATATTTTCAAGGTTAAAGCATGATAAAAATAAATTATTGACACATTTACAGGATATTTTTCATACTCATGTTTGAATATGCAAATGCAATTCTTCCCATAAAAATATTTTAACTTAATAAAAATCAATTTTTAATTTGCAATCTAGATCAACAAGTAATTTAATTTTGATGAAATCAAGATTAATAATTCCCGTAGTTCAGTTCTAAAAAATGCGGTATTTTTGCATATAAAAAATTTACATATAAACAAAAACAACCATTAACGTCATTTTTGTCTCATTTATGAAACATCAGCACTTGTAGCTTGTTCATATTTTATTTACTTTGGCGTATATGCCATGTCATACACTTCTCTATCTATACATTCACAGTATTGAGGTAACAGCAGCACATACACGTGCTTATCGAACCACATGGTTGAGAATAAAATAAAAAATATGTACGTCACCCTGCCTCTCATTTTTCCTCTCTTTTGCTCTGCCTTACACATTGAAAAGGAAATTGAGAGTTTAAAAAAATATATTTTTTAATGCAACATACATAGTAGCAGCTGAGAAAAGCACAAAACATTATAATTTCAAAGTCAGACGATGATTTCGGTTTAGTCGTTCAGAAAACTTCGTACGAGCTTCATCGCTTTTAGAATAGCGAAAATCAGTTTTAAAAATAATAGTTCGAGATCAAAAAAAGAAGAAAAAAAGTTGTCAATTAAAAAAAAAATAGGCTTAAAAATCAAAGCATTTGCACTCAAAGAAGCCAATAAAGTGTCATAGAAATAAATAGAGAATTAGAAGAAAGTGAAGCAAAAGCAAGAAGTTTTCTGAATTATCACATTTGATTGAAGGAACCGAGGAACAATTTTAATTGAATTTCATTCAATTTGTCAATTTGCAAAAGAAAAGAAAGAAAAAAATTGAGAACATTAAAAGAGCAATAAACGAGGTTGTGTTCAATTATAATTAGACAAAAAAAAACATTTGATATCAAGGAAAGGAGTTTAATTGAATTAAGTTTTGCTAGACAAATTTGTGTATATAAAGACATACGACAAGAAAGTTCATCATGTCAAACAACTTACTGCTTATGTTCAACAAGCTCTCATTCTTGCTTACAATCTTAATTACAGGTAAGATGATATTACATATTTGCATAGATACAAATTGAATAAATGCATTGTGGAAGCAAGACCTTCTGCCATTCTGTATCGAATGATGTTTTACATGGGAAATTTTTTTATAGCGTAGGGGAGAATCGGTGTTTGAGTTTTACGTTAGTATTGTAGCTCTAAATATTGTGTTTGCCTTTTTTTAAACGAAATTGTCAAAATTTGCAATTTAATATTTTTTTTTCATTCTTTAAACAAATTTTTTATTTGATTTTTTAAATGAAATTTTTTGCATTAATATTTTTTTATTTTTAAAATAAATTTTTTAAAATTTCTAATTTGAATTTTTAAATAAAATTTTTGCAATAATTTAAGAAATAAAAATATTATCAATCGAAACTAGCTGTCCCAGTTCAAACCTTTATTTCATTAGTGAAATCAAATTAAAATCCATTGTTTATGCAAAAAAAAAATCTATTTAGTTTCGTTCGTTAAACGAATGTTGTTCATAAGTATATAGCCAAACAACATCATACGTACAAAATTTCATAATGTAAAAGAAAGCTCTCGTAAATTATTAAAAATATCATTAATTTTCCACTTTGTGAAAATGAGCAAAAAAAACTTGTGTGCAGAGAATCCCACTTTAACCCCTTTTCATGAGAAGACGAGACGTGATACCCGCTTCGTTTGTTGACAACTGGTACTTTTCCCTTCCATTTAACGAGCACATTAGTTTTTAATTATTTACGTTCTGTCCACGAATTACTTTTTTACTTTATGCAAGACACTTGAGATTCATAAGATTTTAAATATAGAGGAATAGAATAGAAATATAGAGGAAATGAAAAAAATTGTCGCTGAACTAATTAAAGTCAATGCACATATTATCTTGATCAGGCCAGATACTTTTGATGACTTCATTTTGATAAAAGATTATGTTATAAATTTTCTAGTTAAATAGTTGCGGAAACTTTTCCCACTTCTGTGGGATGCAGCAAATTAGACTCACTTTGATAGACATGTGACTTTGGTTTCAATAGTCGTGAATAATTTAATTCTGAACTAAAAGTTGTCCTCGATAGTTTGATTAACAGTTTTAGATTTAAAAATGATAGAATCTAGATGAATTCATGAGAGCATAATGTGCATAAGAGCTTCCTAGAGTTAAGTTTGGATGAGCATGGAAATTTAGCATTATTATTATTATTTATTATTGTACTGTTTTGGAAATTAAGCATTAAAATAATTTTAAAGATCTTAACTGCCTCCCTCATAAATTATTAAAAAGTTCACAAAAATGAAACTTCTAAAAAAAGATTCTTCAATTCCACCCTACACCCCAAACAATCTATCACAATTCACACTAAATAATACACAAAGCTCTCAATTCAATTCAAATTTATAATTCAATAAAAGGATGTTCACCTGAGTTGATTGTGACAACTTAAAATTACATCTACAAATTGGGTCTAAATATTAAAAATATCCAATAAAGCAGAAGAAAAGCCCCTAGAAAGGTAGGAAGCAAACTTTAAATAATTCATCCACAATGCAATATGAACAACTTTTAGTGACAAAAAAGTGGAAGAATGTCCTTAGCAAAAAAAGGATAAAAAGAAACTTCAATTGCTAATTGTGTTTGCACAAAGATCTTCACTAAGCAACCCTTTTTCCTGAGCTTCGAAATATTGACACGACAGAATCACACAAGAAAAGATGAATGAAGAGAAAACGCTTGTTGACATCTTTTTACCTCATCACAAAATCCGTGAAAAATATATAGAATAACATTTTAGCGTGATGTCGCTTGCGGGGAAAATTCTAACGTTTGCTATTGCGGATAAAGTAAATATAAAAGAATTTTTTCTGAAATGTAGAGAGAGAAAGAGATGAAAACTTTTTTGATGATACTTAAAGTCTATTTCGTATATGTCGTCTATTTGAATTCTTGATTCTGCCTTGCAGCAATGTTTTCGCGAGATCTATACAAAAAAAAATCTTTATTTCATACACTTGTTTTTATTTTGTAAAAAAAGTAGCTTGCAAGAAGTATTTTATGTTGTATGATCAAAAGTTTCTGAAACGCATACGATGAAGGGTTAAAAACTTCAGCTTTTATGAAAATTATGATCAGAAGTTTTAATATCTTTAAGTGTGAGGATTGAAATTGACAAAAATATTAGCAAGAATCATTTCCAAAAGCATATTAAGTGCTGATAAGATCTTAAAATAATTTGATCAAAAACTACTCATTGACACGACAAAATCATAGCAAAAATTGCAGCCAGCTTGTTTTCGAAAAATGACGCCAAAAAGTCAACTTCCAACGAGTGCAAATGATGTTGAATGATTGATTTGTAAACAAATTAGGAAAGCATTTTTTTCTCTTATCAAAACCTTTTCTCGAATAAAAAAAAAAGAGACGAGAAGCTTTCATTGTTCTATAATCTGTCGCGTGAACGTAAATATATTTTCAACAATAAACATAAATAAAATTTAAAAGTGTATGTAGATAGAGGTGAAATAGCTGCTGTTGAAAATGATTGAGCAAATATTCCATTAGATACTCATCATATCTTCTACAGCGTGTCATACATATGCTCTTGCCAGAAATGAGATAGATAGAGTTTTAAGATCAACATCTATGTTCCCCGACAAAATATAAAGATTGTTCATATGTGAATGAAACTGAAAAACTTTTTCATCTGTCACTTGAGGTTAAAAGCGAGCATGAAGAATGGAAAAGTTTTCTTGCCTTAATTTTCATCATTTTCTTCGACAAACTTAAAAATTTTCCTTTTGCTGATGACACAATAAAGGAAAAACTCTCTTGTTAAATGACAGCGGAAAGGTTTTCTTGTTTTGCTGAAAAGTTTCGTCTCATCTTGTACTTGTTAGATTCTCTAATTAATTAAACATCAAAAATTAATTGATTTGCTTGCAGCTAAGACATTTCCAGGCTTTGATTCTGCATTTCAATAATATTATTTTAATTTAATTTAAAACAATATTGATCTGAATAATACTATAATTAATTCAAAGAGAAATTATATTGACAACATACATATTGTCGATTTAATGACGACGACGTGTGGATTTTAGGTACAATTAAAGTTATACATGAAGAATAATTTAATAAATTTGATGCAAATGGAAATAAATTCATTTGTGTGACATAATAGACAGATCATATGAATTGAATGGAGGAATTATTGATTTTTATTTTGTCAGGAACCAACATTTCTTGTTAAATGTAGATTTTTAAAAAAATTGAAATTTTGATAGATTTGACCAATTGACCCGACAATCAAAAATTTAAGCTTGAAAATCAACCTTGAAAATATGATTGACAATTGATACGATTGATATTCAATGTTGAAAAATACAATGATAAAATTACCTAAAAGCAGCAAATCAATGAACTATTTAAATTAATAATTCATTGACATTTGGCAAGAATCTATGAAATGGAAAGCTAATAATAATGTCATTGCGGATAAGAGCCAAAAAGTATGGTTTATTTAGAGAAATGTTCTAGAAAACCAACTCGTCAAAGACTACCTTTAAATTAACTATTAATAGAACTGGTTGATGAAAAATTTAAAATCCTGTTTTAAATTTGCCATCTCATTATAGAATATACTCATGACACTTTTTTTGAATATTAATTACCTATTGACATTCTCTCAAATGACGTCAAAAAAATTTTGTAAGCAATAAATAAAGTTTCATGAAATACTTCTTATAAGTTATAACTCTTTGTCCTCTGAATTGTTAAAAAAAATTATTTTGTTGTTGTAAACTTTGCGGTGACCTCTGTGCACTTGTAAAGTCTCGTTTGCAATTTATGAAAACTTTCAAACTATGATTTTGTGGTATAAAGTTTAAAACTTAGACAATAAATCAATAAAGTATAAATTTATAGTAAATTTTTACATATTTCAATCATATTTAAAGTTGTCATGGTTGAGAATGTTTTTGAACTTAGTTGTAGTTATACCGGGAAAAGGTTTGTTGACTTATGTATGTTGAGTTGAATCACATTAAAATAAATCAACAAATTATGTTAAAATTTGACAGCAAAAATCATTTTGTTGTATCAAACGCTTTAATGCATGAAAAAGCTTAATTTTTGAGAGATCAGTCGACATCCGTGAATTCAATGTCCAATTTTCTAATCTTAATATTTTATGCCATGAAATTTGCCGTATCTACGTTATCAATCTCAAAATACAGCAAAAAAAAATCCAAGCGTATAAATTTAGAACTCAAATCTAAGTTGTAAATCACAGATGACTTATAATCTCAGTATTTTGACCTATATGGAGTAAACAAAAATAAAACCAGCTTTTATTGTGGAAAAAAATGGTAATGTTTGAAATGTTATGCATATGACAAAGTTTTACTTGTGCTTCGATAACGAGAATAAGTTGGAGTCAAATTGTTTTCTAAAAATTTTATTTATTTTATATGTTCAAGTTAGCAATTAAAAATTATCAACATTATATATCAAAAAACCCAATGAAATCACTCTGACATGGTTTCACTCATTTTTCTCTAGTTTTCTAAATAAAAAAAAAATTAACAGATTTCATTACATTTGGTTCTAAGTTTGAAACTTTTGAAATTATTTTTAACCGAGTCATTCCAAAAATAAGCATTTTATTTAAGAAAAACTTCCAAAAATAAATTGCAAAACATTTTAAAATAAAGCTCTAATGTCAGGTATCATGGGAAAGCTTTTTTCAAAAATATTCAGCTCTTGTGCCTACCTCAAGGAATAACCCTTATCAAAATGACTATATTTATCAATTTGTAAGAAAATTGTTAAATTTTGTCCCAAGTGTTTTGTGAAAAATCGTCTTTTAAATTAATGAAGGGTTCTGATGAAAGAGGAATGATGATATATGAACATGAAATTTATAATGAGGAAATATTTATTAAAGATAATTGATGTCTTTTGTGACTTTATAGAATCATAACTAAGGTTTAAAAATTCTAGAAAGAAGTTTGGGTTTATCGAAATGCAGCAATTTAAGATCTTTAAAAAAACAATAATTTAACAAGCTTTAATTTAATCATTTCTACCTATCTGTGTAGGCTGATGAAAAACAATATGCAATTGTTTAGAAATTATTCACCCACCTACAGTATCTAATATCTTGATTATCAGATTACAAATTTTAATGAATGATTGACTTAAATAGTGACTAAGTCGCCATAAACATTTTTGAACTAAAAATAACATTATTTATTAATAAAAATTGAGATTGATTTCTGTGCATATATAAAGTTATTAAAATAAATTTAAAAGTAAACAAAAAAATTAAAAATCAAAATTAAGATTTCATTTATTTCATACTTGACTGAAAAAGAAGATTTGAATAAGACTAAAAGTGGTGGTTTTGAAGAAGAATTAAAGAGCAAATATTGAATGTTAATAAGTAGACTTTAATTTGCATATAGAACTAATTAAATATAATGCAGTACATCCATATTGAATCTTGGTAAACAATCTGCTTCCGAGAATTTAATTCAGTATTTAATATCATTAGATGCTGTATTCGCATTTTTTATAAATTGTTAATAAAAGAAGATTAGGATTACAAAGATATTTACTTAGCACAAATGATGATGAATACTAAATATTGTAATAGACAGTCAACATAGACTCTGCTTATAAAAAGACACAATCCTCCATTGTTAAATTCGTATCAATCCTTGCATACAATATTCTTCAATCACCATTAAATTTTACATTACTAAGCTTTTCAATTTTCATTATTCATTCATAATAATCAGCCTTAGAAGCAAACTGTAAAAAAATGTGGATTCTCCTCAATCCTTTTTCCCACACAGATTAAGGTCTAAAATGATATCATTGATAATTTTATCATCAATCATTTTGAATTTTTTTTTTCGTCTTTGCTCAAAAACTCGTCTAAAATTAAAATGATGATCAATTTATTAAAGTAATCAACATCGATGTGCTGTTTTTCAAGAAAATTCAAATTAATCCCCAGAATTAAAAATAAATAAATTGAATCATATCAATTCACAAGGCATATAGTAAAGTGTAGTCAATTATCTTGAAAATGTATCGTAAAAACAAGTGACATTTCCGAAGAAATATTTGTAAAACTGAATGAGTAATTTTAGAGATAATATGAGTAATTCAGAGAATATATTCAATGATTCCCACAATCTTCTCCTAAAATAGTTGTGAGATTGTCAAAAAAAATATTCTATTTTTAAAAATCAGCAATTTAAGAAAATGACGAATTAAATCAATTTCAAAGTTTAAAGTCAAATCAAGTTATTCAAATAATAGCTTACAATGGCTTAACACATGAACTGCCCAACTTTTATTGATAAACATTTTTAAAAATTGAAATAAAAATCATAATCCATCCCATCTGCCAACGAAATTGTCACATTTATTTCGAAATCAATCGATTGATACAATTTTATGCCAAGAAAACCTCAAATCACATATGTCATTGCCAATTCATCATTTTCATACATTTCATTTCCTGATGCTGATTCTAAAAATATGTTATTTTATTTTCAATCTTTTTTTTTATTTTCCGAAAGTAGATATTTTTGCACACACGAAAAATGTGAAACCTCAAAAAATAAAATTGAGAGAAAAAATTATATCACGCGATATTGCAAAATGCACAGTAAAAAAAAAATGAAAAATAAAAATGATAAACAGGTAGTTGTGAATGAGAGAATAGTAAAAAGTAGACGAATGAATATTCATAATGAAAAAATGAGCGACTACACAACTATCAATGAAAATTTTTTTTCTCTTACTAAACATGTGTCTATGATGTCACTAGAGTATGGTGTGATTTTGAATGAATCATTGCGAAAATGTCTATCGCTCTTGGAATTTTTCGTCAAAATGTCACGCCACCACAATATCATCGTATCGTATGCTTTTCGTGTCATTGAAATTTATAATTAATGTGCTATCACCACTATTGTTGATAATGTAAAGTTTTGCAATAATTGTTATCAAATATCTGCGAAATTTAGCGCGAATATTGAACTTGAGTTTTATCTATTGAATTAAATAATATAATTTTTTTATTGTTGAATGGTTGGATATCAGATGCAAGGATTGAGAGTTTTTAGGTTCTTATTCCAACCTCAATGTTTTTTTAAGAATGAAAGAAAAATTTGTGTTTTCATTTCTTTTTAAAATATTTTTTTTTTCATTTAAGCATTTAATAAATTTTGGATATTTGACGTAATATCCTTTTTGAATAAGTTTTTAATAAGATTCGTTAGAAAAAAAGTTCATTTGTGTTTAACCTTAAAGTCACATTATTAAATCTCACAGAACTAATGGCAAAAATCGCTTCTCATCATGATTATTAACAATTAGTCTTGTTGGAAATATAAATCTTTAAATGAAGATACACACAATTTCTGGTTTAATTGACGTAATTGAAATAAAACGAAAGAAAAAAACTGGTTTCTTTTGGGTTAAGATAAATATCGTATGATCAAACGTCTGGTCCAATGAGAAACGTGGGCTCGTCTCACTAACACTAGCAATTGCATTTTAAATCAGACTTGCTCTCTTTTAGAAAATTTACAATTTAATGTTTAGAAAAAAAATACTTTTGTTTGCATCAAAAATTTCTTTTTGAATAGGAAAGAAAGGGACAGGAAAGGAATCAAAACATATTTACTTTATTTTCTTTCTGACCCTAATTTTGAACAGTCACTCACTCTTCTTTAAGACATTTTTTCTACATAATAAGAAGTGACGCTTAGCACTGAATGTGTTAATCGTAGCTATGTGACTGACAACAATATTTTGGTTTCTATCCCAACCTTCATGACGTGCGAAAATAAATAAATGATTTTCATATTAGCACATGCCACGAGTTTCAATGATTGATAAAGTATTTCAAGGAACTAGCAGATATGAGCATAGATCTGTAAATTATTTTTATAAATGATTTAATATTTTTAAGAAAAATAGTCTTAGGATTTTAAGTAGATTGGTTTAATTAAATATTCTTGTGAATTTTCACAAGCTGTGAATGGTCGTAAAGTCACAGTTATGTTTTTGGCTGAATCTCGCTCAATTATGACTTTTCTGAAAAATATGAAGTAGGTCGAGATCGGTGTAACATTATTTGCACTTGTAAAACAAATATAAAGCGTTAAAAAAATTATTTGCGAATTTAAATAAATTCGAATTTTGAAATCTTTTCTCGGTTTTGAAAAACTCTTTTAACTCAAACCTCTAACATACAAATATCCATCTCGTCTTCCTTTTTTAATGTTCCTATTAAAATTTGCTCATTTTATGTGGTTAAGAGAACATGAGAATATGCATAAATGTACATTTTCACATGACATCACCTGGTAAAAATGAAAATTAATTCCACACGTTTGACAAAAAAAAAACTTACGAAATTTTTTTATGTCTGTGAAAATTTTCCTCACTTCCTCTCCACTAAAATTAATATTTTTTTGTGTGTTCTCAAAAGATTTCCCTTGCGAGAAATTTATCTCTTATTCAACATCACATTTTGTGCTCTTTTTTAGTTTGCGCAAAAAAAATTATGAATATTTTAAAAAGCTGAATGAATGGTCAAGATGAGAGCGGAAATTTTTTTGTATAAAAAGTTTTTTTTTTGTCTACCTGAGAAATATATTTCATAATATTTTTCCTTTTGTTGAGCTAGATAGTGTGCTATTAAAAATTACTACTACTAGTTTATTTCCTTAGAGTATAATTTAAAGCAAAGCGACAGTTTTTTTTCTAGGACAAATTTATTTAAAACAATAGAAAAAATGTTTTGGTCGGTAATTGGTGGTTTATGCGCTTTTTAAAGTTGTGATATGATTATATTAAAAAATTATTTCTAAATGGGTTTATTTAAGGGAAAATGCTTTGATCGACAAAATTCTAAGAGTCATTAAAATTTCCAATTTCAATATATTTTGGCTTAAAATTCATTTATTTTTGAACTTGAAAAATATTTAGCTAGTCTACAGTAATTACTTCTAATACTAATCCATATAGACTTCCAAATCTTTAGCACTTAATTTTTAAAAGCTAAAATAAAGTAGAAAAATGATAAAAACTTATCAAGCAATTAACTTTTATAATAGAGTTTAAAAAAAGAACACAAGTGTTAATTATAGCACACAGTTGTACAAACCAGATGCACATCTAAGCAATTAATCAACACAATTGTGATAATAAATAAGAAAATATTTCATACTATTCAAGACGAGACTTGGATGCAATCCAAATGGACCAATTAGAAATCGATTAGTTAAGAAAATATTTGATATTTCCTTGAACTATGTCAATTAATTGATAGAAGATGTTAGGCTTATTATAAAACTTTAATATTTTTAAGTAGATTTTGAAAATTACAAAAGAAAGACGTTTTATTATTTAAATACAAAAAAACCAAAAAGCTTTAAATAATTTAAAATATCAAAACTTTAAAATAGATTAAAAAGTGAAAAATACTTGGCAATTGAACAGCAAAAAAACATATCAAATTCATTTGAGAATTTTTCCATAAGTTTTTAAACATGATTTTTGTTATTCTTCTTCTTCTTCTGAAACAGTTATTCTGTTTTAATTAAAATCCATTCGGTCAAAAAAGTCCCAAAAGCAATTTTAGTTATGTACATTTGATTGCATTACAAGTTCTAGTATTGGAAATTTGCTTTTCTGGATTAAGAAAATGGAAACAGCTATTACCACGTTATTAAATGTAAAATGTCAAATGGAAATGGCAGAATATTCATATGTGAACTGAAAATCCATTGAACATGCACAGAATTGGATCAAATATTCAAATTTTCTATCTCCATTTCTATTTCTCTTTATAGTATCAATTGCAAGAGCACAAACAGAAGAATGTGGTCATGAGGAACTGAATAAATGTTCATTGCAAGTTAACCGCGCAGCAGAATTGAACTTTGCACCAAAACGAGAGGAATTAGCTGAACTCTGTCCTGATTTGGAGAATGGGTTAAGGTGCATTCGAAGCTATACGAGACGATGTATGTCATTGCAGAAGAGGCAACAATTTATGAAATTGTATAAAGGGACAGAACAGATCATCCGCGATTTATGTATTGAGGGTGAATTTCAAAATGAATTTTTAAAGCACTCGCCTTGTTTACAAACCGTTCGCTCACAACATGAGAAATGTGCAGTCAAGTATCAGGAGACAATGGCATCAGTTAATATGCCCAAAGCAAATCATTCGCATATGCATCATGAGCATCACCAGCACAATGATGATGTTAAAAAAGTTTGCTGGTAAGTTAGATGCAGATTTAAATATGATAAATTTATTTAGAGATCAGGAGATTGAAGAAAGTGCAATAAAGACTGATGCTAAAAGCGCATTTTTTTATAAACAAGATTTTAAAATCACAGGATTATTCAATCAATGGCACAGACTTTACTCTAGCACGACAAACTAAATCTCAATCTATACCAGTAATAAAAACAGGCTAAAGATCTAAAATATTGAATAATTTATCATTACAGTTCATTTAGAGAGTATTTGGACTGTTCAGAGCATGTAACACGTCGCACATGTGGTCATGAGACTGGAACATTTATTCGAGGCTTTTTGAAGAAAATGTCAAATACACTGGAGAAGGATTACTGTGAGGAATATTATAAAGAAGGAGTCAATCAATGTCCAAATATATTCTCATCAGCCGTATCTATAGGAAGCATATCAAATGTGGTAAAATCACTTCTATTACCTATACTCATTGTTTTTGTTAATATGAGATAAAGTGAAGGTATTTGTAGTAAAAGCCACACATTTTGAACTCTCAATCTCTACTCCCATCTATCTTTTTTATACATAAACACATACCTAAGGAAAAATGAATGAATAGTATTTTAAATTGTTAAATCCATGGCAATATGTCTATTTTCTACTTTTTCTATTTACATGCTGATATAAAATAGAGTTTTAAACTTGTTTGCTAGCTATCTCAAAAATTTACGTTTAAGTAATTGTTTTGGGATTTGCGTTGAATTACGAGATTTATGCCAAAAAAAGATTGATTCAATATCACTTTTAATATATTGCGTGTGCTACTCAATTAGTTAAAATTTATCACCTAGTAAAAGATTAGCTTTGGTTGCATGCTTCTCAGACATTTGAATCGAAGAGCTTTCTGTCTATTTTTAATGAATTCCTTCCTATTCATGACAAATTGACTTACATAAAAATAATTTATATAAATTTTATTAAAATAAAGTTTGTAAAAGATTTTGTCAATATTAAATCGGAAATTGCGCAATTATTCGAGATGAATCTTAAATATTGAAAGGCTATAAATTATAAAAAAACTAGGTTTCTATTAGTCAAAATAATTTTTAAAAAATAATCTCAGTTGAATTTTAAAATATTTATTTCCTGTTTTTACTCAGAGATCATTCATGACCCAAACAATTAATGCTGCAAAGGAAATATCTGAATTTAGTATCTCAGTGTGCCTTTGAATACCTTAGTTCATATTTCTTTTGTGACAGTAATTAAATTTCATAAAATAATATTATTTTCCATAGTCACGAAATTTCGTCTGATTTTCATTTCTAGTAATTTTAGGGTTAAATACTTAGTAGCACTTATCAGTTAAAATAAATTTATTAATTATAATATAAAAAAATATTCCAGTGCTTAGTTCCAGCAATTAAAAGCTCTTAATATCTGAATAGCTATTGATATATATTGCGGTTAAAAGAACTTTTCTACTATCAAAGTAAGAATGATATTTAAAAATGTTCTTAAATGTTAAATTGACTGTCCAAAAGGTTGTCAGTAATAATATTTTTGGATAATTTTGATGAAATCGATTCCTTAATTGCTGGAGCCGTAAAATAACTTCTAATTCTCGAGTATAATGATAAAAAGTATTAGTCGTTGGTAGTAATGAAATATTATGAATTTTAAATGTAGTCACGAATTAATTATGTTTAAAATTAAAATTATTTAAAAATGTAAAATATTAAATGTTAAGGATATTCAAATGTATTTTAAAAAAATGTATGCAGTCATTCTTGAGATGGATTTAATATGAGAATCTGTTGTTAAACAACAAAATTGTAAACAAATGCACACATTGATTTAAATTGTAGGAGTTTTTGGTAGTTAAATTTTGGTTACATTTCAAAACTTTGATAGTTTTCAATTTCATAATCTTTCGACTAATGTAGTTCTTAAGATAAACTGCTTGCTAGATTATTGATGATTTCATCAAAAACACAATTGTAAAAGTTTCAGTCATTATAACTTATTCAGTGATAAACTCATGCTTCTGTTTGCAAATTAATTGAATTTAAATCAATGTTTTATGATGAAATCGAACCTAATTTTCTTGAATTCATAATCCTTTCCCAATAAGTTCCTTATCTCCAATTAAATTTTCATCTTCAAGAAAATCCATAAAGAATGTTAAATTTTCCTATGAATTAAATTCTTACACAAAATACAAGAATTCCATCCAATAATTAAATACCTAATTGAATAGAAAATAATTGTAATATTGTTTTGTATACTGAAGATCTGTGATATTAAAAAGTTTAGATACATAAGATGATTATAGAAAAACAATAAAATAAATATGTAATTAAATAATTGAATTTTGTTTTCACTTTTTTCTCTTGATATTATTTTATGTTTGATTTTCAGAACAGTTTTGGACATTTTTAAATAGAATTTAGAATTTTACGTTGAGAAGGAAGCTCATCTGTAATCTATAGCTGAAATCTAATTATATTATTAGTTCTACGGTATTTAATTGCTAGTTTAAAGTTAAATTGATCAATTTAAATAAAAACTTTAAAAACAACTCCTTAAAAATCTCGAAGAAAATCCCAGTGCTTCCTGTCAACAAACTTTGAATCCCACAATTAATCATTAACTACAGTAAGTGCTGGAATTATTTTTTGGATTAATCCCGAGTGTATACGCCTTGGTAAAAAACCACAAATCGAAGCTCTCAAAATCCAATAAATTGCCTTGCTAAATATAAAATTCATAAAGGTTATGGCAGCATCATAATAAACATTCCAGTTGGAATTTGCAGCATAGCAACTGTATTATAATATTCCTGTATTAAAGGTTAAATGTTTTTTTTTTCTCAATATTTCTCTCCTCTTAGCATGCATAAAATTTATGCACTTCTATCATAATTTAAATATTTTTTTTTTCGTTCAGAACTTTTAATTCGACCATAACTGGTTTTGGTTAAAGTTTTTTTTTATTTTGAAGTAACTGCATGTGATCGCCAAACTGTGCATAAAATTGGAAATTTTAAAATGACCTCAGAGATAAATGAGTTCAAAAGAGAATATTGAAAAAAATTGGTTGAAATTCATTATTTTTGGGAATTGAGGATGAAAAAAAAAGAATAAAAACTGCCAGACAAAAATACCGAATTTGAATGGATATCTGTAAATAATTTTGAAGTGCTATAAAATATTTCATTAAGAAAATTATTATGTTTCTTGATTAAGTTTTCTTTGAACAAGAGTGAACATCTCTGTAAGTTTCCCGAATAGCATAAGCAAGTAAATCGAATAGTAATAGCACAAGGAGGTTAATCGAATAGTAATAGGCTTCGATTTCTCACCGGCTTGGTGCCAGATTTCAGATCTGACTTGTGCCATTCGGTTTTACATTAGATAGACCTATCTTATCCCATTTCTTAAGAAAATATTTAAAAAAGCAGTCAGTATGCAGGATGTCCTATATTTTATGTTAAATATCTGGTCGCCCTTCTTTCGAAAGCAACATTCAAGACATTCAATAAAATAAGCTGTAAAAATGATTATAATTTTTCATGAACTCTGAATTTACTTCCATCACCTTATTTCCATCATCATTAATTAAAATTTTAATACAACTCGAAAAAAATATCCTTTAAAAGGAAAAACCAGATAAAATAATCCACCAGTTCACCCAATTTAGCATCAAAGTTATAATGTAGCATGAAATATAATTCAAGTGATGATAAAAATTATTGATTCACAAAGACGATGTTCCATTAGCCATGAAAATGTCATTTTCATCAACTTCTTTTGTTCTTTTCTTTTGTCTTTATTTAGAACTTTTAGTTCGTTAATTTTTCTAGTAAGATCTTTTTCTTTACCATGAATCAATATCAAATAAGGGTATGCTAATGGATTTTGTGCCTCTAAAATTATGAAAATCATTCATTTAGAAAAAATTATCACGTCTTAAAAAATTTGCCATGTTTAAAAAACATGAGGAAATCACATTTTAGCTTATTAAACTATCTAGAATAATTTCAAAATATTATTTAAATGCTTGCACACCCTAGCAAAAAATTCCTTGGAGCAACAAAGCCCATGACAATGAAATTGAAAATAACGAAGAAGACTAAAGTTTCCATGGGTAACATGCACACATAGACACAAATTTGAAAAGTGAAAAGGGGTTTGATCAATGAAAAAGTCAAGACGTTTTTGTCAGTCCATAGAGAGATGTTGACGAAGAAAGAAAAGTTACTAATTTATCCATATCAAATAAAGCGGTTCTATCAGCATCGTAAGAATGTGAAGAGTGCGGGACCGGCTATAGACTTTTATCCACCAACCGAATTTCCCCACATCACAATGAAATTGAAAAAGCTACAAAAAGAATCAGAGAGACAAGAAAAAGTCAATAAGGATAATATACGCTTACTTCAGAGACTTGGCTCGATAATGACGACAAAGAGATTGAAAAATTTTTGGGACAAGCCACGTCCCAGCTTCCTAAATCGTGAGATAATACCTCATTTGAATTTCAGATCAACTGCTTCATCCGACCGTCGAGAAAGTGATGATGACGATGATTCAACGGATTCACCGACAATATCGCGAAAAAGTAAGTGTGCCATTTGTAGCGGAAAATTTCGTAGAACAAATAAAGTCATTCCAGAAGAGCGCGTCCCATGGAAACCAATGTCTCCGACGAAAAATATGAAGCTATTGCGAGAAGCTGATATCAAGCCACATAAATGCTGCAAATTTTGCTGTTGAGATAAAATTTTTAAAGAATTCTTTAAGCACTTGATATTTGTGTGTGTGTGTGAGTGTTTGTGTTGCGTGGGTCAATGAATTTACAGCACATATTTTCATTAATATCATCCACACAAGATTTTCTTATATGCACATGTTTTAAGATATTTTTTCAATAAATGTAATTTTTGGAATGAAAATTGCGTGTTTGTTTGTAAAGAAATTTTTCAATATCAGTTTAATTTCAGGTAACTTAGCAACAAAATGTTTCTAATGCTCTTTTTATTCCATTAGAATTTTTGTCGTCACTGCTGTTTTATAAAAACAAGCAAGTGTAATAAATAAGAACAGAAAAAGGAGTATCGTATAATTGAATGAATTTCATTCAATATGGTAATTGATTTATTGGTATTTAATGTTCTTTTTACACCGTAAGTTCTTGAAAATTTGTCTACATATTGTTTATTGTATATTAAACCATCTTGTGGTTATGGTGGCTTATAATAGAATGTTTGAAAAGACAAAAAGACTGTGGTGCTGGGTAGCCACACACGTGGACAAAATGATATGAAGGAACGACACTCCGCTAAAACAAGTAGCGTTAGTCTATAGAAACCAATCAAGGAATAGTTTAACATTATTTTACCGAACAGAGGCTTTGCCAATAATTTTAAAATTTGTAATAATTTGAAGATATATTCGTAGATATGCTGCACAAAAATGTTCATTCGTACCGAGCGGATAAATTTTCATTCATATCGATTATTGGTTATTACTCTATTTAAATTTATTCAAGAAACAATTTAGCTATAGTAAAACGCAAAGCTAAGTATTTTTATGACACTGATTAGCATTATTGCCAATCTCAGTGTGATTACATATAAAGTAATTGACAAGGATTTAGTCATGCAATAAAAGAATGAGAGTCGAGAGAAAAATAGAGAATTTTGGGCTTCATGCAACAGGATATACGTAAATACATAGTAAGCAGGAGGAAGTGGATCTTCTTCAAAAAGGATTATATTGAAAAGACAAAACATAGTCAATAAATTTCCAATACGACAGATTCAATTAGCCAAAAAAGAATTTTTCGTTCCTTTCTATCTCTATTGAATAGCTTTTAGGATGTGCTGCGAGCAAGAGAGAGAAAATATTTCTAGTGCAATAAATAAAATTAAATCCTTCTGTATCCTTAGCATTTCCAGAGAAGCTTTTTCTTTATTGTTTCATAATCCAAATTGAATGTATATATTGTACCATGGCACAGGAAAAAAAAGTATCTAGCATAAAAGGAAAAGTTTCTTTCTTTCGATGAGAAAAAAAAATATTTGATCATAAATTCTCGAAATATAGGTTTAATGGTGGAACTCAGATTCATTAAAAGGCTAACCGCAACATGACCGTAACAGAAGATGTATATTGAATGGAAAGTCTATTGATTACTTTGCCGGAATTTAATTTGTATTGCAATTTGCAGCATATAACTATGTCACTTGAATAAATTGTATATGACAATCAATAATTTTAAGTGCTTATTGGAATTGAAATATTTGAGTTAAATAATTCGTGCTATTTTGTTTATCATTTCTTGTTCAATTACACAAATCAGGATCTCAATAAAATCATAAAAATGAACTTTATATAAATTTAAAAAAATTCTTTAATTCACAAAAATTTAATTCAATTTCTCTTAACCAGCTTCCCACTGTGTATAACACAACATATCAATATCTTCATAATTAATTCATTAATATTTCACAGTTTTAATCATTAAACATTCTTTAAATAATTAATATTCATCAGGATGTCTCGTCTTCACTCAATTTCTCACTTATTTTAAGATTAAAGTTGTGAATTTATTCTGGTTTAATAACAACTCCAAAAAATTTAATTAATTTTGTTTCACAGGATTTTTTTATGTTTCCATCATTATCTGTAGTCATAGAACTAGACAAATGTAAAGTAAGAAAAAAATAAAGGTAAAAACCGGTGGAAAGAAGAGATTTTCATTACAATCACTTTTTTTTGGCTTAAGGAATACTAAGAAGACACGGTTTTGTTGTCTAAACATCGAGAACCTTTTCTAATTTTAATTATGGTTAGTGAACATTGAGATACAATGATCTTTATGTAAAAGAGAAGAAGCTTTTTAAAGGTAATATGCAGATAAATCTTATTATTTGAGCGCAATTTCTAATATGAAGAAGTCAAAAATGGACCAACATTTTATTTTTGTATTGAAATGTGCTTTAAAAATCAGAATTTTTTGTTTTGATATTTTATAGACTTAAAAAGAGCTTTTTTGAAAAAATAATAAATATATAGAGTGAAAGTTATCAAAAAAGTATAGTTGATTAGCTTGACAGCTTTAGACATCCAAAACAATTCTTCGAGACACAATTGTTTATCGAAAAACGTTAGTTGGACAGACAGACAAATAAATAAGTGAATAAATTATACCAAGTGCAGATGTAAGAATCAGAAAAGATAGAATTAAGGCATAGAAAAGGATTTTCTTTGACAAAAAAGAATGAAGCAACCGACAAAAGCACACACAAAAAAGGAGCGAGAAAAGAATGTGTCACTTTGCGGTCACTGTTAAGTGAGTGGAAATTCAGTTTTGTTCCAAATTTAATGAAACCGTAAAAAGATTAATTAAAAGATTAAAGCATAAAAAACGACGGTTTTTTGTTCATGGTATTGTATGTACGTGTGTTTGTATTTGAAGGATCTGAGAAGTATAATGAAATATAAAAAGACATGCAAACAAAAAAGCTCATCTACATTCAACTTTTTTTTTGACTGTCGCATAAAAAAGGAGTGTAAAAAAGTTTTTTAATCACCACTTTTAAATCTCTTAATTCCTCAAAGTATGCGGATATGAATAGAAGGAATTTTTCACTCTTTATTTTACGAGAGAATTTTTTAATGGAACTGCAAGAATGACGTTTTAAACCAAGTGAATTACGACAAATTTTAATATTGACTGTTTTATCAAATGAATAAATGAAAGACAATTTTTTCAAATATTTCAACTGTTGCTAGAGGTGCATAGAGAATTTCGGAAGTGCCATAAAATTTTCCCAATCAGGACATATTAAATGCAGTTTACATGTTGACCACGAGATTAATTTAAAATCATAATGCGCTTAATTATGTCTTTATAGTTCCATTTATGCTTATTGACTAATTTTACTCCACTTATCCTCAACGTGTAAGCAAGTGTTTCAAGCTTAATTCAGATCACAGATAAAATCTCATTATGAGTACAATTTTTTATATCCTCTATTGAAGTTACTTTTACTGTCACTCTTTTTGAAGGAGAGAAAACAAAAGGATTTTTTAGATGGCTTTAAGTTTGATAGATATCCTTATAAGGAACTGTATACAAAAGAATTATTTTTATCATGATGATACCCTTGTAGTAATTTGAAATAATTAGAAAAATCTGATAAAAGGATTAAGCCTGTTCTTATGGCTGCAATTACTTAGATTCTTATATTTAGCGCATGAATGTTTCAATTCATTTTTCATTCCACAAAATCTTAACAATTTATTCACTATTTTGCAAAAGCAGACGTGATTGATGAAACTTAATTTTATTAAAATACGAAAAGGTATTGTAGGAAAAATACAAAGAGATGCAGCTTCCTTCAACTCCTTCTTCTCCTTTAGGAGTTTTAATTAAATTGATTGTGTATTGAATTAAGTTGCATGCAATGTTCATTTTTATTAAAACAAGTTTCTTTCATTTCTATTGAAATTTATTTCTTAAGAAAAAAATGTTGTCGTCTTGAAATTGCACAAGTTTGCGCCATTTGATCTCGTAGAAGAAAAGTTATTTTAAACAAATAATAAAAAAAATAAAGTTCAGAATTCAATCTCAACTAATATTTGCACTAAATTCAGAAATGTTTAAAGATTTTCAAATAAAAAATTGAAGTTTTTGTGGATATAGCTCAAATAGCATATCTGTAGTAGATAGGTCTGAGGATTGGGCTTGCGTTAAAAATGGTTATATGTGTATGACGGATAGCCGAAGTGAGATAAGTACCTCGGTTGGCGAGTGGCAAGGATCTCTGAACGAGTGGTCAGAGATCGCCTATTTTGAGGTTGTGGGTTCGATACCCGACTTATTTTACATTAGCATACACAAATGGCAGTTATAGGGAGATCTACAGTTTTCAAATTTGAAGATCAGTGGTTGGAATGATTGATAAGCTAAGCATCAGTTTAAAGAAACAATGACCATCTCCAAGGACTATGAAAAGCACGCTGTCAGTTAAACTATAAATATTTTGAATTTTTTCCGCATTTTTTTCGATAATGTTTACGAAAGTTCGAAAATGAATTTTTTCATAAATTCACAAAATTTCATATTTAAAGACAATTTTGATTCTGTTTAAGCGTGTTGCTGTAATTATTAAGTGATAATAATCGATTTGCAACAGTCATTGCTTAAATTATGCTTCAAATAGATGAAAAATTTGCAATTGAAAATTTTTGTCATAAATTGTAAACAAACTTGTTTTGTTGACAAAAATTCGAAGATAAAATTTGAATCAATCAAAAAAACATTTTTACAGCCTTATAAAACTAAAATTTGATTCTTGAAAAAAATTATAACGTAAATGAAAATTTCAAAATTTTGCCGCGAAAATTTTCTGACAAAGAAAAGTTGATGATCATCAACTCCATAGTCCTTGGGATCATCTTAGTTCTTATTTAAAAAATTATCATTTTGATGACAGAAAACACAAAACAAATTTCATTTCAAATTTCAATTTTCAGTTCAAAAATTGTATGTCTATGGGAGTAAGGAGGGAACTAGAAATAATAATTATTTTCTAGAAACCATTAGTAAACTACTTCATATATGAAAATTGCTGACAAAAGTATATTTAGACTATAAGTTCTACATCTTCATTCAGCATCAAGCAGAATAGTGCCTATAAAATGCTATAAAGTACTTGAAAATTTTTATTTCTTAATTTTCTTCTCCTCACAAGGAAATTACTGAAACTTTATTACAGGTATTATCAATGATGACTAATGGAAAATCCTTTTAAGGAGCAAAAATAACTTAAGATTTTATTACAAGGGAAGGAAAATTTAAATCATCATCTGAAAAATGATGAAAATAAAAAATTTACTCCTTCTCTTGTTTTCCCGATGTAAATTTGTTCCTTATAGAACGAAAAGTAAAAAAAAAATGTATGTATATAAAAAGTTTATGAGACTTAGAAAGGAAGTTAATTTATCCATGGGGAGAAGTATTTAACTTTTATAATACTACCTAATCGCTTTTGTTACACGTTGTAAATTATGAAAGCTTTTAATAAATTTCCTTCTTTTACTGTTTCTCTTTTTTTTGGGAAAGTGACGAATTTTATGGTTTTAGAATTTATAGATTTACTTTTTCAGTGACATACGAATATGTGATAAATGTTTAAAATACGCTGATGCATTTTTGCGGAATTCTAATTATTTTTATGATAGTCTAATGACATAGTTGAGGGAGGTTATATCCATGAACATATCAAGATTTAAAACTTTTGGATTTCAATTATATTTTTAATATTGAATCGATAAAGTACATCTAATCAATTTAATATTTAATTTCTGCTTAATTTTCGTGCACTGCAACATATAAAAATAATCAATGAATTTAAAGCCACAACAATAAATTTGTATCGACAAATTTAAAGCATTTCCCAAATCCAAATCACATTTTGCATATACTTTCCATTTTTACTAAAGCACAAAAAAAATAGTAAAGTACGAGAGTTCGCTCTCATTCTGTCATTTCTCATTCTCTCACTTTCTCAAAAAAAAAAAAATTATCAAATGTGCAGTATGAATAGGAAAGTTAACAGAGCAGTAAACAGTGAAAATCCTTTGTTTCGGTGGAAATGTGAGAGAGAGAAAATTTTATTTACCCCACAAAAAGGCAAGCTTACAAAAAAAAGTGAAAATTTTTCTTGTTCTGTTGTGCAAGTCGAAGGTTTCCTTATCAGTTGGTTCTGAAGCGTGGAAGAGTGACAAGCAAAAATAGGAGAAAAAGTAAAGAAAAAAAATTATTGAATGACATTTTCTTGAGATCAAGTTGGATATTGTTTAAGGATGTTGATTCAATTAATTCATAAGTGGAACTTAAAAGTGTTAATTTTAAAGGATTAAAAGATGAAAATTATTGTTAAAATTGAGTGCAAATAAATTATTTAAAATAAGGATCAATCACGTCAATTATCTGACAATATTTAAGCACAGATAAAACACAATCATTACTTTCCAGTATATGTCAAGAGCTTTATTTAATCAACAGAAATTGGAAATGTTAAAAGTCATGCAACTATTTTACTTTACATTATTAATGATGTTTCATCAAACAGGTGAGATTCGATCATTAATTTTGTTATTTTCTCCTTCTTACTCTTTCTTCTAGCTGCTATGTTAAAAATGCTAAGGTTGTGATTTTAGCGCAGTTATTTTGAAATAAATTGGAGTGCAATTTAAAATTCACTTTGAGCATATTTAACATTAAAATTGTTTTTCACAATATAACAGGCTTGTGATTTCAACTTTGGTCTGAACCCAAAAGCACCGAAAAATATTTTAAATGAAAAAAAAATTCCGAGAAACTGTTAAATTTTTTTTTAAAATTTTCAAAGTTTTTACGAAGCTCTCGGCCTGTTTCACTAAAGTGGATTATCCTCGATTTCGGATTATCCACTTCAGTTTTTTGGAAATATCTCCAGACGCTTAGGTTATTAAGAGTTCTAATGTGTGATCAAGTCAAAGTACTTTGCTACTTATATTAACATATACTTAGAATTTTTAAATCTCCATTAGTTTGAGAATTATAAAAAAAATCGAGATTAATCTCCTAGATTTGGCTAGAAACTTGAATAATTAATGCTTCTTAACGAAAAGCAAAAGTTTAATGTACCCTGTTTTTTCGTTATAAGCTAGTAGCTTAGAAGAATAAAAAAGTGATTTTTTGGCTCACTAGTAGCTTAGTAACGAGTAGTAGCTTAGTAAAGAAATTGAACTTCAATGAAAATTTTGAATTTTTTAATTTAATTAAAGAAATTTTGCTATCTTCTTGATTTTATTTCATTGACAATGTCATAAGGTATTGAAACTGATACTTTGAAAGTTGAAAAAGATTAATTAAACTTTATTTTTGATAGTAGCTTAGTAAAGATTCCAAAAAATTTTCAATTTCAAAAAACTTTACTAAGCTAGTAGATTAGTAACGAGTAGTAGCTTATAACGAAAAAACAGGGTATACAGAAATTTCAGGCATACTCCACTCTATTATAATCCAAAATTAGAAATATCACACCTACCATAAAATTTAAGATGTTTACAAAAAAACTGAAGTGGATAATACGAAATCGAGGATAATCAACTTTAGTGAAACAGGCCGTCTAAGTTTAGCCAAAGAATTCATGCCCCATAAGAATTAAAAGCAAGTGCAAAACCATAGCGATTGAAAATGTTTTAGACACCACCAAAAACGAGAATTAAACCTCTGTTGAGACTCTTGTCGATTAAGCAAGAATTCGCACAATGACACTCGATTACCATGAACATTAAAAATTTAAACATTCAAAAATGCAGCAATAAAAGAAATCTTTAGAACTCGCTATAATTTCACAATGCCTTAAGTCAACTTCCTTCAGTGATTTCCTTACTATTTTTCTCGCAAATTGAACTTCCCTTCATTATTTACCCATTTCACTTCGATGTGTCCATCAACATCAGTGAAGTGAGCACAGTTGATTTCTAGATTTTTGCTGATTTCACACGTTATTTCATTCCTTTACCATTTCAATTTTCATCCCTGCAAGATTTTTTTTTCTCCTTTTTCTTATAAAAATACTATCAAGATTTCTTTCCAGTGTCGCCGACTTTACAAAGTAGACTTTAATGACTTTTTATTTTCTTGTCGCAAATGATTTTTCCATTTCCTGCTGTACAATTTTATTTTCACATCGACTTTTTACATAAATGCTTACACAATAAGATCTAAATCGCGAAATTCAATCGCTGTAATGTTAACATGTGATAAGTTATTGTATTAAGAAGTAAATACTATCGGTGTCACGGGAATGAGAATTATAAAACTTAATTTTTTATTCCTCACTTCCTTGCTAGCTTACAAATGATTCACACCAGATTACATCTTAATGGATATACTTGAACAATTAAAATATATTTTTCTTTTCTTTTTTATTATTCTTCTTATTGCCTTTTTGCTGCATTTAAGTGTTTTAATGGATGGTTGACATGAATGGTCATTTTGTTTAATCGGACGCCTGGTTAGAATGAGATTTATTTTCATTTTTCTGTCAAACGAAGTTATTTAACAATCTTTAAAGAACTGATATTTTTAAATTATTGACTTTAATAAGGACAATCCAATAAATGCGCCTAAAACTATTTTTCACTAATGTATCATCTACATGATGAAACAGTAACAACAGTAGAAGAATGAAAAATGGTTGAGCAATTTTCTGCAATTAGAAATATTAACATAGAAATGATTTGCTGTGCAATAATTCTCAGGTTTAATGATGTGAATAATTGCGTACAGTGATTTAAGTTCAGTCAATTAAATAGGGGAAAATACCTAAAACTTATTTGGCATGACATTTACTTTCTTTTTTATATCAAAAATATTTACCGAAAATATCATGATATATTTTGTTGATATTTGTTTCGTAGGTAGTTTGGAGGAAATTTAAGAACAATTACGTTTTTTTGTAGAAGAGTTTTTTCATCAAAAGAAATTTCTTTCTTTTTTTGGCACTTAACACACGAGAAAGCATTTAAAATTTCATGAAAATTGAAAGATTTAACCTTTTTAGAATATTTTTTAAAAATTTTCTGAGATAATTTATTTAAATTTTATTGCCTTTATACTTTATTCAGAGGAGATTTCCACGTGAATCTTAAATTATGTATATAAATGGTCCTTTAAATTTTTTTTTTAAAATAAACAGAATTTGTTACATTTAATTCTATATATCAGAAAAAGGAGCATTGGTAGAAATTTAAACCTAAATGACAATTGTTTAAAAGTTTTAATTTAAATCTAGAATTTATTAAGAATTCAACATACTCATTTGCAAGGCTCCCGCAAATTATAATCTTTAAAGCGGGAGCCTTGCTCAATTCATTGTTCAAATATTGTTGGCAATTATATTAATAATGGGGTCGTTCACTTATGACGTCCGAAATTAACGGTCATTTTTCAAAAAAAAAACAATGGATTTCCAGGAATTTCTATTGTTCTTTTCTTGCTACCCCCCCCCCCCCCCCCCCCTGACGTCATAAGTGAACGTCCCCTATGCACTCCGGTAATGAAAGTATTATTATTAAAACATTTTTGTAATCGACTTCATCAAATCTCAGAAATTGAATGCTTAAAATACTTTTTAGACTAATAGACAGTAAAGCAGAAAAATAAGTCTTCTAAGAATTGATTTCTATTTTTAGAAACAACAACAATAATTTTTGAATGAAAAATCATTTATGAAACACTAAACCATAATGTGACAACACCCGTTAACCTTAACATTATGCAAGGCTCAGATTACGCATTTTCTTTTATAAATTTCAAGAATAATATTTTCATTGATCTATTATGTTAAAAATATTTTTTGTCAAAAAATAAAAGACTTAATGGAAATAATAAAAAAAAAGCATAATACACGTAATTTTCATAAATAGAAAGCTTACAAATTTCATTTAATTGAAGCTAAACCGATTCACACACATTAATTTTATTAGAATGAAAAATTTCCTACAACACCAATAACGAAGAAGAGAAGCCAAGAATGGAAAAATGAAACCGAAAGAAAACAAATTTTTTGCCTCAAAGGGATTGAAAATTTTTAATGAGTTATTTTACGCCTTAAGACATTAAACAAGGAAGTGCAAAAATTAAATAACAAGAACAAATACCACAAAAGCCGAAAAGGCAAAAAGCAAACTCCTACATCAGAACCATTCATAGCTTAGATTATGAATTTTTCTATTCATTTAAACTTTTTTCTTCTTATTCTTTTCGTGCTAGGAATATCAGTCACAAGGTAGTAAAACATAAACAGACATATTTTAAGACCCATATACCTTATCTTCATCATCATAATAAAGCTTTTTTTTTGTGTGTGGATTAAACAGTAAAGTGAACGATAATAGATAGCGCCAGCAAACTGAACTGTACTGGTTATTTCCATTAAAATGTAAACCTTTATCATCAATGTGATGCTCAATTTATAATCACATGTGTGGATTTTTGATTATGATGTTGATAAGAATAAATAAAAGGGTTTTAAATTTTTGATTATTTTGACAATTAGGAGGAATTAGAGGAATTGTGGTTTGGGGAATTTCTGATTTTAAATTATCATCGTTGTTCAGATTAAATTTAAAAAAAAAAATATTCTCACAAAATATGAACCTTTCTCTACATCGCATTTTCATGTGTCATTGACAAAAACGTGCCAAGCAGATGAAGGTATTTTGTGTTTATGAAATACTTTTTGTGTATTGTTGAAATTTCTCATATAATTTTGGTAAGGCTATTGTATTAAATTAGATGAAAATGAGTCCTTTTTAAATTAAATTTTTAATTATTTGGGTCTAGTAGAGAAAATTTCTTGATTCATTTATATTTTAGTTTAAATTCTTGTAAACTCACCTTTGTAGTCTTCGAAACTTCATGACACGAGAAAGATTTTGATGAATAAGATCCAATAAGATGATTAGCATGCTTTTCACTTATACTGTGCTCTTAGCACATTTTCTTTAGGAAAAAATGCGCTTATTGGCACAATTATGCTTGCTGGTTACTAAGAGTACTTGAAACTGGAAGCACTTATCTGACTGAATCTTGCTTTTCGGTTCCAAACATGACCAAACTGCTTCTGGATCTTTTCTTGATATGATCAGACTGCTACTGGATATTGGTTTTTGATTATTTCGTCCGTTCATATCTGTAACGGTGACTTTACACTTGATTTAATGTTTTTTGAACAAATAAATGAGTTTTTTTTGAAACTTTACATGCTGTACTTTCAGAACTATTTATTCACTTTTATTCTTCTTTTGTTTTCTTAAACTCCTGAAACAGTCGATAAACCATAAACATTTAGATCTGATCTTGATATTATTTGTATTTTTGAGCACTGATCAAGAACTTTGTTGATTTAGGAACATAAATTCGTTCATAAAAATTATAGTTTTCTACAAAAACGACAAAAACTGAAAGAATCTAAAATAAAATTGAGTTCAAAATTAAAACTTCTCAATTTCAAAGATTATTGAGATTTTATTCATTTATAAAAAAAAAACATTTTGTGAATTTATTTTGTTCTCACTGGATTTAACAATCCTTTTCACATTACAAAATTGCTATCCAAGAATTTGTTTGCACATTAATGAAACCATAAAAGCAGCCTCTATACCAAATAAACATTAAAATTTAAATAGTAGCTAAAACATTTAAAAAAGAATTTTTGTATTAAATTCCTTCAAAATTTTTCCATAATTTGTTCTAATTGCCAAATATATTCCGCTACATCAGTTCGCTTTTGTGAATATTTCATTAGCAATGAAAAATTCAATTCCAACCATTTTCAATCCAATTGAGAATACTCATCAAGTGAAATTTAGACAGAAACAGAACAAAAAAAAATCCAGCTTTACTCAATGAATGAATAAAATTCTTGTTTCTACTGTTTCAGTTTATTTATATCTGAAATGTTTTTGCATGTATATAGGAAATATTTAATGGACTCGAGAGCGTTGACAAAAAAAGCATTCTGTAGTTAAAGGAAAAGTTTTTTTTTGTAACTTTTTAATTTCGGTAAACAATTTTTGTTCTCTCCATTTTCCTCATGCTAATTAGTGTATGTATAAAATGAATGGAATTCGAGTTGCTGTCCATATTAAATGTAATGACATTTTTTGATTATTTTCTTTTAGATTTCAATTTTTTACTAGTTTTAAAACTTAACTTGTATTTTTTTTCCTCTGAATTATTTGATTAAGTTGAGTGTCTATTGAAATTATCAATTTAAGGATCCAGTCAATTAGACTAATTTCTTTAGTTTTTGTTGGAAGATTGTAAATCATTTGTCATTTTTTTCATATGAATCAAAAGATTTTCAAAATACTCAATTTGATGGACGATCAAAAAAGAAAAAAAATCATCAAATGGCCAAATTAAGTTTCTGCTGCTTGTTAAATTTTCAATTTCAACACAAAAAGCATTACAACTTTCGTCTTAATTCATTTAAACTTAAAAAAAGATCTTCAATAAATTTCCTTTATGTAATCCAGAATGGAATTTAATTTGAGAGGCGAGAAATTCATAAATGAAATTTTATTTTATTTTCATTACATTGTAGTTTTTGTTTTCGGTTTCATATTTTCTTGTGGTAGTTTTACACATTCATCCATTCATTCATAATGTTGGGACGAAGAAGTTTTTTTTTGTGAAAAGAGATGTTGTATCTCTAAAAGGGTTGTTGAAATCCTTAAACCAATTTTAATTAAACGAATTTCTTTGTTTATGGTTTATTTCATGATTATGATTATCATACCCTATTACACTTTCAGAAAGTATTGAGTGTCAATTTATTGCTGTAAATGAAGTTCGTAGAAGATGCTTTAAAATTCGAGTTGAATAATTTTTTTTAAATTTCATTTTTCTCTGAAATTCCTAAATCATAGCATTAATATTTCAATTAACTTTATTGCATTATTGTGCATGAAAACTTTTATGCAATCATTACAAATTAAGTTAAGGATCAGAGAAGTAGTTTATCTGTAAATTGATTGGAAGTTTCTTTTTCAACAATGTTTAACAATTCTCAATTGAATAAAAAAAGAAGTCCACCGAGCTCTGATTTGCATTTTATTTATTCTCGAACAAAAACTTCAAAACAAAATTTGTCAGCACAAAAAAAACTGATTTTCAGTACCAAAATTTTCCTCGAGGAATCAATTGAAAAGGAAATTCCCTTAAACCAATGTTTTTCATTTTTATATAATCCTCCTCGACTCATCACATCCATTCCCAAATTGAAGAAATTATATGGGAGCTGGGAGAAATGAATGAATTACGTGCAGCGGAATTAATGAATGAATTTATTTTTTTTTGCCAACCGATGCCCATTGGATTTCATTAATGCTTTCCATTCTCAACAAATAAAACTCTCAATCCTCCCTAGGCTTAATGTTGCGAAAGTCCAATTTAACTTTTGAATTTTTTTTTTTTTCATCACTCTCGAAAGCTAATCTCGTTGTATCAAAACAAAAATATCCTGTTGGGGAGAGAGAGAAAGAAGAAATGAAGGAAATCATTGGAAAAACATAAAATGATATTTGAGTGGGGCAGTCAGAGTTAAAATTGTTAAAATCCGAAATTAAGTTTATTTTAAAATTTTGATAATAATTGTATCTGTCACACAAACCACTTATGAGGGCTCTAGATGATTTGTGATGTTCTAGATCCTAATCGGTTCATAGCCAAAATGAAAATGTTTTCAAGTCTCAAAAATCTAAAAAAATTACACAAATCGGATCTATAAAATTTTTCTTCAAATCATTAAGACTCACGCAAGACGTAGAACTGTAAAGGAGAAAACTTATTAATGTATAATAATTTTTGTGAAAAAAGAAAAAAAAGTTTTAAAAAAATTGTTTATTACTTGTTTCTTACCCTATTCAAGTTTCCATTTCTACTCTACCTTCCATAAAAAATTGTTCTCAGATGAATTTAGAATTTTTATGATAACATTTGCCATGAGATGAATAATCTCTGCATATATCTGGTCAGACACTCTAAAACCACGAAAATTATGGATATAAAATATTGAAATATTTATTTTCTTATCAAATACAGACATCGTACTTTGAGTAAGCAAATTGAACATCATAAACCTCTGCATAATAAAACTATTCAGACGGGATGATAAAAATGAAGAAAAATGTTTGCATAAATAAAAATTTATTTTGTGACATTTTAGGGATGAATAGATTTTTTTTCGGTTGCTTTCATATCAAGTGCACAATAAAAAAAATTAAATCCCCTCCAAGGACACTTTTTTGATTTGATTATGAGAGATAAAATACAAATGCATGCATGAAGACAAAACAGATAAAGTTAAAAGTTTTATTGCGGTGAGTTTTAAAAGGAGTAAGTGCATTTTGAATTGGAGGATATCTAAACAAACTTTAACATGTTGAACTATGAACCATTTAGGCTTAAACCTATTATATTAATCGGCTTCTAAATGCTGGCTTATTAAGATACTATTTTTTTAGATTCTAAAGACAATAGAAACGACTCTTTTGCCTTAATAATAATGTGTGAAGGGCCCAGCCTTTCAGCTGGAGGCACTGCGATTCAAACTAGAACAGAATCTATTGTACCACACCCTTTAGACCTACAATTTATAAGATGCCGTAAGGAATCATCCAGATTCTAGTATATCCTTGTATACCTAGCAAAGGAGGCACATTCTGTGCTAAAGACCTCAAAACTACATCCAGCACACGAACCGAGCTTTGTAACTAGAACGGTGAAATGGAAAAAGAGCTTCGAAAATTAGACATGGCCTGGGATTGAACCCAGGACCTTTGGCACAGAAGGCCAACGCTCTACCATTTAGGTCACTGATGCCACTTCACCGCTCTCTTTTGCCTTTAAAGATCATAAATACCAATAAATATGTCGAAATGATGGTACTCTCAGGTAATCAGATTCTAGAGCTGCTAGGAACGCCATACTTTTGAATTCTAAATCAATACACTACAATTTAAATTTAACTGTTAATAAAATTCAACTTGGACTAAGCTGTGGTACCTTAGGTAGCCTAAGAATCAGGTCGCTGGTGACAGCAATTAGCTGCTTATAGAAAATTTTCTTATTAAGCTTAAAATTACCAAACTGACAAAATTACAAATATTTTCCAGAAAAAAAAAAACAATAATAATTTTTGATTGTATAATCTAAATTGAATTTTCCAACATGCCATAAACTGTTATGGAATAAAAAAAAACTGAACATCATACCGGTAAAGTTTAATTTTCCAACTATTCACTCTAATTGAGTTGAGCCAATGAAAATTTATTTAAATTGTATTCATCATTTTTTTTCTCAGCAAAAGAAGTTGGGAATTCTTCAAAATTGTAAACTGTGTACAGCGGATGTAATTCATTATGCAGGCAATAGCAATGAATATGAAAGAATAATTTATCCTTTGGTGCAGAAAGCTATGAAAAATCTCTCTCATTATACTTTTTTCACACATCAACTGCAAATTCGAATTCATCATTAATCAATAAAAAAAATATATGGTAGATTTATGCATGCATGCCGATGACGAGAAATTGCAGTTTTTTTTTCTGTGTAGTCAACAAAATTACATACTAAAACTTTTTCTATCGTGAATTTTTTTTTTATTTTCATATTTTTACATGCTCGACAACTTTTTTGCACAACCAACGTCATTGTTACCGACCTGTTAGAACTACATGTAGTGCACATCGTAATCAAATTCAGAATTGTGTGAAGGAAAAAGTGATGCAAGGAATTTGAATATTTTTCATTCCTACCTTAGTTGGGCGTGAATGGAAATTTATGATGGATTTGCTATAACAAATGATGATTATGTTGAATTTTTTTTTGCAAAATTGTTTGGAAAAGTTCAGCTGGAATAAAAATTCTAATCCATTCAGCCATTCAACTGCATTCAGTTAATTTAAATGAAAGTATTTGATAAATTTTTCAAATTCTCATTTTTCTCTTGCTGCTATGAGATACTGCGAAATACAGTCCTGACTCTAATAATATTTCATCAATAAGAAACCTCGATAGCCCTGCAAGCATTAAAAAAATTTAAAGTGCCTGATAATGATTTCGTCAATTTTTTCCACTCCCAAAAATAAATTCAAGTGTAAATTTAAACCAATTTGCTCGTATAAAAATTGTTCAATTTTTTAAAACATCGCCCAACTCCAAAAATATGAAAAGTACAAAAAAAACTTTTCTTCGTTTTTGTGCTTTATGTGTATGTACAGTAAACGAGAAAATTACCATAAGCTTAGAAAATTGCTCAACTTCAAATTGAAAATCACTTTTTTATTGGTGGATGAAAGAAAGAAAGGAATGAAAACATACCAGTAAAAATCTTGTATGTACTCTATTGACTATAAGCAAACTTTATTTTTTGGAGAAAAAAAAAATTATTGCTAGGTGAAAAGGAAATTTAAATAAAATTCAATTTTCTTTATTCTTCTTTTTCTTTTTGGTTCTGCAAACAAGCAGTTTGCTTACGGATGATAAGAGAGGATTGTGAGCAGGAAGAATTGTCTAGGTAAGCGAACAACCTCGCTATGATTTATAAGTATCTGACACCTTCGTAAACCAACTCTGCAGCAATCTTTAATTTACGCAATTATTTTTAAATATTAATGAATCATTTAAATCAAATCAGGTGTGCAAAACCTTTACAATTACTTCAGACCACAACAAATATAACATTTGAGCGTGAAGAGCTAGACAAATTGTGTCCCGATTTGAATTCTGGTTTGCGGTGCATCCAAAGCTATACGAGACGTTGCATGACACAAATCCAACGTAACCAATTTAACAAAATTTATCAGGGGACAACTGAGTTAATTAAGGATTTATGTCAACCTGGTGATTTTCAAAAAGAGTTTTTGAAGCATTCAGCGTGCCTGCAAACCGTTCGACCACAGCATGACAACTGTGCTGTCAGGTATCGAGAGGAAATGTCATCAATATTTAAAGTATCAGCAAATCGCACCACACACAATCAACATCAGCAACATAATTCGAACAATGATGATGAGAGTGATGAAGAATTTGTTAAAATTGTATGCTGGTAAGTTATACAGCAATTCCGATTGTAGATTCGACAAAAAAATGGTTTTGTGTGCAGATAGCAACAAGTCATGAGTTAAGAGATACTTTCGTTCATTTATGATGAACTTGATAATCTAGAAAAAGGGTTCTCAAACTGTGTACCTCAACATTAAGTCATATCAGTCTTCAAAGATAAGATGTCTGCAAAACACCAATCTAGTACATTACATCTTAGCATTATTATGAAGTCTATAGTTTTTACCACGTTTTTCTTATTAATATAGGAAACATTGGAGAAAATTCCCGCGGCTTATGTTTTGATCTAAAATAGAATTGATAATATCTGCACACTAGCCATTCTGTTAAATTGCAGTCAAGGCGTGGAAACTATCCTAAATATCATATTTATCCCACATATCCAAAAAATATTCAAAAAATTCCTGAGCATGTATGCACGATAATAAAGATATCCCTACGTATCCTTACTATATTGAACGTGTAATTTCAGGATATGATGGGATATCTCAATTCTAATGCATACAGGCTCAGGAATTATTTTGAATATTCTGGGATATATGGGATATTTGGGATAGTTTCCACGCCTTGATTGCAGTTGTTAAAGCAATAAAATCTCAAAATGCTCTTTTAATCCTTACGACACATTTTTATTCCACCTCTCAATTTTTCACAGTTCATTTCGCAAATACTTAGACTGTTCAGAATTTGTAACGCGAAGAACATGCGGAATGGAAACGGGACTGTTCATACGCGATTTCATACATCGAATGTCTGATACGTTGATGCGAAATTATTGTGAAGAGTACTATAAAGGATCGAATCACTGTAGTAACGAATTTTCATCCGCATCATTGAAAAATTCCTCGTCAGCAATTTTATTTACCTTTGTTGGCATTAGTATTGCAATTCAACGGAATAGTTGAAAAAATGTTTTTATTTTTTTCGTACCTGCTGATGAAAGAGATTTCCACTGAAAAGAGCTTCTGCAAATCGTCGAGAACGAGCAAAATAAAAAAAATTGTTGAATCCGATTTGAATGTGTTTTTTTAAAAGGAAAAAAAGGAAAATTCTGAACAATTTTCTATAATGAATAAATATTTTTTATCCCCCAGTGCTTTTTGGATGATTTTGGTACAATGTTACAGCATATCATGTGAAAAAAATATTGAAATGTAAATTTTAAGAGTAAAAAAGAAATTCAATTTTTGTTGTTGAATTGTAAATTAACCATTCTCACAGAAATTTTGTTTTATTCTTTTCCTTAATAAATTAAAAGTAAAATTTTTGTTGCACGACATTAAATTTTACATAGAATTTCTTTTATTAATGAATCTGGAATTTTATTTGTGAGTTGATTTTAAAATTGTGGAGTGTGCTGTTATTTTTCAGATTTTTTTTTAAGTTTAAAAGGTAATTTATAATAAAATAGAATTACATTTGTGATTGAGATTGACGATTCTACAACTCGATAATAAAATGGACATTTTTTTAAATTTCCACCGTTTCCACGTGTGAATCTATTGGTTTTGTTCAGATTGAAAAATCAGTTTTTCGCATTTTGTGAGAAAACAAAGCAAAATTGGTTATAAAAGGGCAAGAAGAAAAGTTTGTGCCTGAAATTTTACATCATTTTCAAAAAACAGATTTCAAATTGGTTGTGGCATTGCTGAGAAAATCGCAAAATACGCTTTCTGTAAGCAAACAAGCAAGCAAGCAAGCAAGTTAATCAGCAAGAAATCTCAATAACGAGACATCGTAGAGACTTCTAGTTTTTTACATTTGATCCGTGCTGCTCTATAGAAGAGCTGTATTGTTTTTGGGCAAGGTAGGAACAGCCGTTGCTTCAGAAATGGCAAAAAACTTTCCTTTCTTACGAATTTTTTAAAACAAAAGTTGACTGTGATTTTTATAAAATTCAACTTTGGATGAATATTTTTTTGAAAAAACTTTTAAAGAATATTTGGCATTTTCGTCAAGCTTTATACCTTCAAACTTATGCTGAGAGTAGCTCAGCAGACTCGATAGCTTTATATCTTCAAACTTATGCTGAGCGTAGCTCAGCTTACGCGATAGCTTTATAACTTCAACTTATGCTGAGCGAAGCTCCACTGCCTCTCTAGCTTCATATCTTCAAACTTATGCTGAGCGTAGCTCAGCTGACACTCTAGCTTTATATCTTCAAACTTATGCTGAGCGTAGCTCAGCTTACGCGATAGCTTTATAACTTCAAACTTATGCTGAGCGAAGCTCAGCTGCCTCTCTAGCTTCATATCTTCAAACTTATGCTGAGCGTAGCTCAGCTTACGCGATAGCTTTATAACTTCAAACTTATGCTGAGCGAAGCTCAGCTGCCTCTCTAGCTTCATATCTTCAAACTTATGCTGAGCGTAGCTCAGCTTACGCGATAGCTTTATAACTTCAAACTTATGCTGAGTGAAGCTTAGTTGACTTATCAAGCTTCATACCTTCATACTTATGATGGGCAAATCTTGGTCTATCCATAAGACTTATGATAGTACGGTGTGAATATAATCCGCATTGGGTTTCTACCCGATACACTAGTTTATTTGTTTTTTTTTGTTGAATTCAATTTAAATTTTACATTTGAGATTCTCGTTTTTGAACTAATTCAATATTGATTTTTCGTAGTTCTTACACAACCTAAGATTTTGCATTCAATTAATAAGTACAAGTAATATTTAACCTAGCATTTTAATAAAACAATAGGTAAACTGCCAAACCTTGGCATAGCTGCAATTGGTTGAATTTATCTTCTTAAGTGAAAATCTCAACTTTAGTATTTCATGCCTCGTATGAAATTTCTTTGTCCACCACAAAGGAACATACTTTATGAAACCAGTTGAAAATATTCAGTTTTACCTTAAAATCATATCAATTCTCGTCAATTTCATTTGACTAAACTTTCTTACCAAACTTTAATATCTTAAGCATCTTAACTAAAGCATTCTGGTATGTCCATTTGATTATTGAGGGTAGAAACTAAACGAGCAACAAATTTCTGGGAAGGTAGCAAGTCAGGGTAGCTGCCAAATGGTGTTTTTCGATTCCATTTAAACTTTGTTAAATATTTTAAAAAAATTACAATAAAAAAATAAAATGTCACAAAAAATAAACATCAAATTTAAATTGAGAGAGACAAAAAATATTGAATATATAAAGTTCTAATGGAAGCACAAACTATGACGAAAAACAATGAATAATCTCTGAGTTAATTTTCTCTCTTTTCTAAACATATAAAATAAAAAATTATAAAATCACTTTTTCATTTTCATCTATTTTTTTTGGCACAACAAAAGTATATCTAAAAACAAAATGTTTACCAAGGAACAAAAGGCAAGAAAGGATACAACAAAAAAAATTATCGAGTAATTAATGAATACAATTCTGATATTGTTGTTGCTATTTTTGTAATATGGGCAAGAAATGAACATAAAATAGCATGAGTTATTGACATTCTTATACAAAATAGAAAAGTAATGTTGATTCCGTTCAAATTACATAAAACTAATTAGACAGCTTTCTTTGGTATTATTTTGTTTTCAATCTAGATAGATTATCGGCATTTTAATCAGCGCTATTTTGTCTCGCGAGTCAGAAAGTCAATAGTTTTGGTGACTGTTTAGAATGCTGAATAAAATACTTGACAGCAGGTTAGGGGCCATTCACTTATTACGTAACGCTTTTAGGGGGAGGGGGGGGGTCTAAGATTTTGTTACGGTTCAAACAAGGAAATTTTTTTTTCATACAAATTTTGTAAGTGAACAGCCCCTTATTAGATTCCCGAAAAGCACACGGCACCAAAAAGTCCGAGAAATCTTTCAAAATTCAAAACTTAAATTTTCAAAAGAAAATTAAGCTGAATACTAAACTTTCCAATAACTTAAAGACAAAAATGCGCCTCATTTGTTTTCCTCCGACAACTTTATATCCTTCTTACTTCTCGACTGCAAACAAAACATTTCGCCTCCCTTGCGTTTCAAAAAATAATTATCATTAATTAATTAATTTCCATATTAAGATTACGAGTATAGATACTTTTAATTTTCATATTAACTCTCAAAACGAAGATAATTTTGGCTTCAATTCTCTCTGTCTTACCACACTCTATTATCGATATATTATCATTATTATTCTTATTAGCATTAACTTAACCACTAGAATTGCACACTTAATAATCATCATCAGTTAATTAATAATTTCACCGTTCATTTGTGTTGTCATGTTTCATATATGCAGTCAAAGGTGTAATCTCTTTTCAGGTGTTGTAATCGTCAAGCTCAGGTCCATGGTGTAAAGTTGAATCATTCCATAAATTGTATGACATGTATGTGATGCATTATATTGATAGTTTATCAATATTTATAGAGTAAATTGAAAAGGTATTCAACAGTTAGATGCGAGACTTGATGTAATGGAATTATCAAGGTCAAATGGAAAATCACCAAGTGATTGTAATATTTGATAAAGAAATCTATTTAAACTTTGATGCCGTAGAAAGCTGCTATCATCATACATTTCACTTGCTGTACGTGATGTTGAAAGCGCTGGCAACATTCGGTGAAGCAGATGTTCACTATATTTTAAAAGGATTAAATTTTTTTTCGGTATGAGTTGTTGATTTAAGTTAGTTTACATCAATTACAGTATTAGCCGTTCATAAATGATGTTTGAAAAATTAAAGTTCTAAATGCAACAAAATTTTAAATATTTTTTCTCATACAACTCCTACTGCTTTTTAAGATTGACATTATATATGAACACATCCTAAAATGAAGGATGGGACATGATGTCATGTTTGAAAACTTCAAAGTTTTGAGACAGTTTCAACGCATTTTCTTTCGAAGGATCTTAATTTTTTACAATATTTATTACAAATTAAGTAATATTTAAAATCCTGGACAATCTATCCAATTAAGCTTCACTCCTCTATATTAAATAATTTTAAAAATTTCTAAGAACTTAAAAAAATAAAATAATTGAAAAAGTATTAACTGACAGTAAGCGATGCTTCCAAGAAAGTAATTGCCCACAAGACAGACTAGTATACAGAACATAATACCCTATAACATCACTGATGCTCAGAAAATGTAGTATATAGATAATTGACGCATAAGAAAAGTTTACTGACAAACATGACAAATAAGAAGAGAAAAGAGCTTACCGAAGGCAAAGGCATATGAAAAGCTGAAATTTCTCATCTGATCCGATTGTAGAGTTTTTAGAAATTTCATCAACTAATTGACAGTATCCATTCCAGACTTCTATCAACCTTTCATCAGCATGATTTTGTTCATTTATTCCTTGCATTGATGCTATCGTATCTGCTGTTAAATTTTGTTCAAACTCATCCTTACATCGTACTATGTGAAATAATATAAAGATTTTTTTTTCCATAGATAAAATATGAAAATAATTTTAGAATATGATTACTATAGTGATAAGCAGCTTATGTAAAGTTTAGTGCACTAAATAAAGTAAAAAAGCTCACCAAAAAAGTCCCAGAGACAAAAATTTCTGCCAAACAACCGTTGAGAACGAAAGCCGAGCATAAATGCAGCCATTAGAGATTCAACAAAGCCTCCATCGCCACACAACAAATTTGTCAGCACCGACATATCGTGACTGCAATCAACATTATTCATTAATCTTCGTTGATGTCGATAAAACCATTTTACAATTTTATTGACAGAATCACTCAAATTATTTTGAATTTCATTTGGATCCTTCTTCTCTTTCTCATCATTACTGACCGATGAATTTGTAAAGCTCTCGGTCATTGAAGATGGCGATGATGATGGTAATTTATTTACTATATTAAGCGGTGGCTTTTCTATCAATGTTGTGCTAAACTGATCATCCATTGGATCTGTAGTCGGTCGAATTAGCTGTGCAATTAAAAGTCGTTCCATTGAACCATCATCAATGCCTCTTCCAAGCCATCGATTACATGGAAATTTATATGCATGTCCAGTGACCTCATTTCTGATCCATATACAATCCAAATGAAATTTAGCAGATGTCGATAACGTTGATGTGCTTTGAGTACCGTCAATGCCAATTCTCATCGTTCTCAAAACTCCTAAATTTTTATGCTCCATCAAAAGCTCTATTTTATTTAATGCAATTTTTTCTGTCTCTCCAATTGAACCAAAAATCGTTAACCACAGTTTTGGCAATGTTGATTTTCGTGTTAGCGTTCCCGTCCCGGACACTGGTACAATTAAAATTCTATATGGTATTATAGTCATTCCATAAACGGATGTAAAACAGAAATAATCAACGGCATTTAACGTCAATAAGTGATACAGAAATTGCTCCTTTTCTTCCTCATATGTTAGAAAAGCAGTTCGCTTATACATCGACCGAAGTATCGATACATCCGCCAATAATGTTTTTAAATGACGCGAAAGTACTTTCTTCTCTAATGTCAATCGAACGAAAGCCCGAGCGTATCCAATATCTGTTTTAATCTCATGCATTGATAAAATATTTCGAATATCGTACTCGAGTGTATCGGGTAGTTTTGGCAAAACTAATTCCATATTATCATTGCTTAATAATGTACGCTTTTCACATGATTTTGAACGACGAGATCTCTGTTGCTGTGCACGACGCTGAAGTGAAGCTGTTGGTGATGGAGTACTTGATGTTGCTATAAATGACGATGACATGTCTTGTGGCTCCACTTTCAATGATGACAGATCTAAGTATTTTTAGAAATAATTTTTTTATAATTGGAGTTAACAACAAAAAAAGGAACTTTAACTTAATTGACTAAACAATAAATTAATAATTAATTCATGCCAACAAAAAAATCAAATTAATAAATGAGTATTCTAAAAAACGACATTTAAAATGTAAATGGAAAAACCTACAATCCATCCTCTTTCTCATAACAGACCAGGCGAGAGCTTGTAAGTAAAATTAGAGGAATAAATGAATTTAGATAAAGGAATCGCCATTGGACATTAATTGTTATTCCAAGTGGAGTAAGAGAAATGTTTATGCTGTTACATTGTGAGAAATTATTCAGAAACAGAGTTGGTGTGACTGTCGTTGAAATAATAAATTCACAACACCAAGGTCATCAGTTGGGAAATAAGGCATACTATAGAAAATGTATGACTGAAGTATTTCATCATGAAGTGCCCAGTCACTTTGAAACTTTGTCAGGATTAAATCCAAAAATTGCCTTACTTCTTATGCCTGGCGGGTTACTTTGTGTATTAATGCGTTTTGATATTAATGCCGTCTCTTTCAGTCACAACAGGAAATTCATTTAATTGCTATTTATTGAGTTTCTTTAAAGCCATTTTTGACCATTAATTTATGAATTATTTTATTTCTTGCCTCTTGTCTCTAAAATTAATTTCCACAATTTTCAGCATTCCATCTCTGAACTCCAGAAGTAAATGTATTATAATTTGAACAAAGACTTTATTAATTAATTACCTGGTGTGCTAAGCAACTGTGCACCGGAATCTAATTTTCGACCACTCTTCATATTTTCACCATTCTCAAGCGCATTCATTTTTTCCATTTTCTCAAAATAACGCAACAGATGCGACCAGAAGGGTGACTTGATTTGATTATTATTGTGATAATGATTTTTGGTGTGAGCCGATTTCGAGTGCGGTTGGATGAGTCCATGTGACCAAATTTTTTCGAGTAAATCACACAGTGAGGTAATTAATGAATTCTCTTCAACATCTGCACTCCCACTACCCACTTCCATGTCAATTTTCTCCATCAACATCCGTTTAGTTTTTGTTTTACATTCCTGTGAACATGTGGACGTACGATAAAGAAGAAAAAAAAAGTATAATTTTAGTAAATGATAAATGTACAATGATGAGTTCTTTTTTTACCTTTAAAAGTTTTTCAACAAATGACCAATTAGTCTGTGCCACAAATGATGCCGTAAATTCTTCCGCTTTTGAGTTTTTGTCATCAGCAACACTCGATGATATCGTAGCTCCCACACTACTCGATATACTTAGACTTTCAGCACTTCCACTTAAATTTTTATCGATGTCTATCTCTCTGAGATAAAATTTCGTTGAGCTATTTTTCTTCTCGTGCAACTTCCTCTCGTCCAAGTCCAACTTTTTCTTTACGCGCCTTAAACTATTCGGTCTGGTTTTATTTTTTTTTATTCGATTTTATTTTTGGTTTATTTATTTATGTTTGTGGTTAGTAGCGTTATTCATTTTATTGGTTTTATTGACAACACAAGTGTTGCATATTGTGTTTTTTTTTTATTTGAGTTATTGCGAAGGTGAAGCGAGGATAATAAAAAAAGAAAGAGAGAAAAATATATAAAATTTTAAATTTAAACTTCCACCATATGTGAGTCACAGTCACACTTGTTTCTGCATTTTCACATTTGAACTTTGCGCTTTAATGCCATGCTTTGCCTAAATGACTGGTTTGTGTTAAATTGGTTTTAGTTGAGATTTGAGTTGGATAAAGTTTAAATAAAGTGCTGTTCACTTATTTATGTTCGCTTTTTTAAAGGGAGGGGGGAAGGGGGGGTCTAGAAGTTTGTAACAGCTCAAACCAAGACATGCACATGTAGGGAATTTCCAAGAGTTTTCCAAAAATGGATGGGATTTCCGGAAGTTCCAATTTTTAGGAAAGTTTTTGTTTTTCGCATTTTAATGTACAGGGCACGATAGAATAATTAACAACTAAAGTTATTTGTTGATAACTACATGCTAAGTATTGGTTTTAAAAAATTATTTGGAGTTTGCAAGGAAATTAAAGTCTTTTCTAATCTTGGAAAGTTTGGTAAGTTTAAATAAAGCTTTTGGAAGTTTCCTGAGTGTATACGGCTTGGCTCGAACAGGCGTAACTTAGTTCAGCGCAAAGAAAATGCGTTTTAGTCTTCTGTTTAAGTGTTATAACAGAGATTCTTTGACTTGATTAGATTATATACAGAGCAGCTATAAAAAAAATTCTTTACATACATTGAAAGATAACACCATAAATACAAATTTTTATTTCATTAGTAATGCGTGCAATAGACATAAAATTAATCTTAATAAGTGAGACTATTTGTTGTTAGTTGAGTATGAAGTAATATATGGACATCTAAAACTTATCTGACGCAATTAATCGAATAAATAACAGTTTCTTTATGGAGTTATGAGCGATGATGAAGGAAAATTAAATTCTCTTCAGATTAAAATTGTCAATAATCATAAAAGTTAAAATTTATTGCATTCACTTTTTGAAAAATAATATAAAAATAATTAAATAATAAATATGATGAATTAATTTTGAAAAGTCTAACGAATTAATTAAAGCATAGATAATGAAATTTTTTTCGTTTTGAAAAATGAAATCTTTCATCTGCAAAATTGAAAAAAAAGAACAAAAAGAAAAATTCACATAGAAATAAAAATTTACAAAAAATAAAGAAAGAAACTTAAAAAAAAGTATGGCAAATTCTGACTTTTAAACAACACTTTTTGGGCATGTGAAAATTGTGCCTCCCACATTATTAATTGTTTTCAATTCATTGGATAATTGAGGTTGAAATTTTTAAGAATACATTTAGACATTGATGTTTACGGCTACTTATTAAAGGGTTGTTCTCTATTTATGTTACACACAACAACGACCCCATGTAAGAAAGACCTTATTACAAATTTGATCTGAATTTTTCTTATGTTTAAACGTGAACCCCCTTGCCATAAAAATCAAACGTAATAAGTTAACGAACCTTAATGTAAATTTGAATAATTATACGATAATTTCATCCAAAGCCTACGTAGAACTTCACAAAAAGGATATTTAAATAGATACATCGCTAATATAAATTGTTTATTGATCCGTTAAAATTAATTTTTAAATCTTTAAAAAAAGTACATATTAGGATTTAATTATTTGACAGAAGTTTGCTTCGAATACGAGACATTATTTTGTGACAGTAAATATTTACAAATTAGGAAGCTAGTATGATTAGGGTTTATCTGTAACCCTCTTTTGTAAGAATGTAGGTTTGATTTCCACCAGAGACTGATCTCTCAATCTTTATAAAGAGTGGAGTCGATATGACAAGGATTCGGACATTGCTCATGACATTAAAGTTTTATGAACCAAAACTTATAATTTTAAATTGCAAATAATGTTGTTGATTTTTCATAAAGCCTGCAGCTTCAAAGATCAATTAGCAATGAAAAACTAAACTAAAAACTCTAAATCGGTTCTAAATTATCAAAAATAATACAAATTAATATTCATACGCGAAAACTTCATCGTATTTATCAGTATTTATATTGAAATGTTTTTATTGTTTCAATCCAATTAGTGTTTAAATTAGTAGTGTGTCATTCATTTCAGATTATGAAGCAAATAAAATTTACAAATTATTATTATGGCACAGCCATTTGCGAAAAAGCGTTGATAATTAAAGTCTTGCCAAGCTTCAAAAAAAAAAATTTCTTCTTAATGCTAAACTTATGAATTACTTTGTGTATTAACAGAGTCAAAATCTAATGAAAAATCACACAATTAAAAACAAAAAAAAATCCCCGTTTACCTTTCACTAGATGCTTGATTCAATACAGATGCCTCAAGAATTGGAAATGATCGGTAGTAAGCTGGACTATTTCTGAGTAACTCAACAGGTGGTGAAACTTCTAGATCAAAATTCTTTAGTCGCTTGTCTAATAACACTTTTGAACTGTTCATGTGAGGTAACTTTTCAAGATTTTTTGATCGAACATTTATCTCTTCTGCACTGCCAAAATGCTTTCTGGATGATGAAACAATAAAGTTATTAAAATTAGATTTAAAATCCATTTAAATGCAATCAACGCCAAAATGTACTCACTTTAATATTTTAATGCGATTATCAAACAAAAGTAGATTTTTATTCACATCCATATCATTATTTTTTGATGCCTTTGCATCACTGCTGCTGTTCGTCTTCTCATCAAACGATGTCATAATCTTATTATCAATCAATGTCGCAAACATTTGAGATTCAAGAAATTGGGAGAAGAATGAGCGATAATGTGCAGGTTGATCTGATAAAAATGACGCTTTATCGAAATTGTGAAGTGATTCGCGATTTTTTAACCATTCCATTTTATTTTGATTTGGCAATATGACAAATTGCTCATAGTCTAGAAATATTTGGCAGAATCGATTAAGGAATATCTCACGAATTTCATTATTAAAATGAAGATCGTTGTAGTAGTGCTCATTAGATCTCAACAAATTCTCAGTTTTTCTTGTGGTAGACGAACTTCTTGACGAACCTTGATTGTGCTCATTATGGTTCCCTGAACTTGACCCCAAATTATCAAATTCTATAAAGTCATGCAAAGAATGTTTTTTTCTTCGTGATTTTGTAAGTGTTAATGTCGTTGCTGGTGATGTTGATGTTGACAGTCTTTGATACTGCACTGAACTATATTTATCCGATCCAGATGGTTGGAAATAAAAATTATTGTTCATGAGAAGACTTTTTGGGTTTAGAATTGTTGATTCAGACTCATTTTTGTCTACTGTATCATAGCTTCTATCATCAACTAAATTGTATTTGGCTAAAACCTCATAAATCTCATCAATAAAGTCTTGTTGATGCGGAAACGAAGGCAGATCTTCATGTAATTGAATATTTCTTTTATCAATATCTACATAGCACAAACCAACTTTTTGTAAATTAATATCAGCATTTTCGGCGTGAAGACCCATCACAAAAGGAACTGGTGCATCCAAAAAGTGATGTAATGCTGTAGGCAATATTGGTGCATAAACGTGGGGCCATTCAAAAGGAAATAATAATGATGTTATGCATTCGGCAACGATTGTAAGTTTTTGAAAATCTTCTGATATTAGCAACACTTGATTTTCAAGCAACACACTAGTAAATAGATCAATTACATATTTAACACCCAAATACTCGAAAAATTGTCGTAACGGGAAATCAAGTAATGGAAGTTCACTGCTTTTTGGGCGTTGTATAATTATGTTTATTGGCGTTAAATTCGCTTGATCTGGCGGTAAATAAATACGAATCGATTTTCCAAAATCCGGGACTTTAACGTCATATAAAATGTTATAAACATAACTTTCAAGACTTAAGCGAGCTCCAGGAGTACGAGGAAGACACTTGTACAGGTTAGTAAGGAATATTTCAGCTATATGTGAATATGCAAACTGACAAACAAGCGTTATTGATTTGGTAACAAAAAGCGTATCTTTTTGAATGTCATAAAAACTCGTAGCACTATTTGAACTCTTGTCATCTTCAGCTAGACGAAAATGTCTTGGTAATGATCTACTCACTGGATCTGATCTTCTCAACGAGCCCTGACTACTCGATAGCTCTGTGATGTACATTGATTGAAGCGTTTGTAAAGCTGTACAAATACTCTCATTTTTAACTTCTTCATAAAATATTAATGAAAACCCATAACATCTCTTTCCATCATCTCTTGTACTTATGAAAGAATGAAATCTTGGTGTCAAGTCATGTTTTTGTGTACGAAATTTTAAGCCTTGCGGAAGTGATAGCATACAAATTCCGTATGAATCAAAAGGATTCCACGAAACATTTGCTGGATAATTTATTAGTGATTTTCCTTTAAAAGATCTTTCGAGGGGTGGCGAGGTCGTCACACCATCTAAAAGTTTATCAAGAATTTGGTTGAAGATTGAGCTCCGAAAAAGGAATTATTTCTTTGTGTTACCTGTATAAAGCTCAGCTTCAAGTCCAAGATCAACGTCTAATCCACATATCGCAAAGTAATCAGCAAATCTAGGTAATAAGTGATGTTTTTCGCTCAGCGATTTTAATGCTGATGAACCTTTTTTAAATTTTGCGTCCATCATCAGCAATAAACTTTCTAATTTCTTTCCGTTTTTATTCAACTTTAATTATCACATTATTTTGCACTTTTGGAATAGATTTTCTCGATATATAATATCATTCGTTACATTAATAGTGGTAAATATATTAGTTGCACATATTTTAATCGTTTAAAATTAAGATCTAGAGTTCAAATTGACGAAAAATATTTTTTTTTGATGAATCGAAGAAAAGTTATCGAACTCGAGTAAGTCATGAACTTTTTACTATGTAGCACTATAATTTAAAATTCAATAAATTAGTGATTGATCATTTAAAGCTCAAATGGGATTTTAATAAATCTGATATTACCAGCTGTTTAAATTTAAAGAGTTCTTCATAAGTTATAGTAATCTATGGTATACAATATCAAAACAATATAAAAAGTCTTTCCCATTTGAAATTGACTTAAAAAATGATCTAGATATTTGTAAAATAGTCAAAAAATGATATTAGAAATTTCTAGTAAGTATTTTTCAAACTTACTGAATTAATAAGGTATAAAACTTATATAAATGATACTTAATTAAGAAAATGCTTAATTAGATATCAATAATAAGTTTCAATACGATTTTTGAACCTTACTAAAGTATAATAATAGAATCAAAGATTAAAAGAGATTTTTTTCAACTCTAGTTCATTATTTTGTAACTGTTCAGAAATGATTCCTCGCTTAGCCTATTATTCCAAAACTTTTTGATATCACTAAAAAGCTGACATTATTTATTTGCGGTTATCATATTAATTAATATAAATAACCACCTTTATGATTAATTGTATTCAACTAAATTAATTATTTCGCATTGGATCACCACAAGATAAGCGCTTTCATAAAATAGCTCGTCCACAACTATCTTCAACTTGGATACATAGTTCAGCTGATCTGTCAGCTGATATTTGTTGATAATAATTCAAAGTAGTAAATCTTTTAAATTTTGAAAAGATGAGTTTCTTTTATTACTTTGGATATGGAAGTAATCTTCTGACAAAGAGAATCAGAGTGCAAAATAAAACTGCTGAGCGAGTAGGTGTTGGAAAACTTGAAAACTTTAGACTTGATTTTGCTGATTCTGCACTTGAGAAAAGATACTATTCACCAACATGGAATGGATCACCAGCAACCATTATTGAGAATGAGGGAAGTTGTGTTTATGGAGCTGTGTGGAAAATTAACAATTGTGATTTAGAAGAACTTGATAGACAAGAAGGTGTGGAATCTAATATATACAAGCCATTAGAGTTGAAAATTTATGTTCAAGAGCTACAAAATGAAGTATTGTGTCGATCTTATCAATTGGTTTGCAATCCAAAAACACCTATTGATCCGCAAAACAGACCATACGAAAGACAACCATCAAAGACTTATTTGACAGTAATTTTGAATGGAGCAATTGAGTCTAATTTACCTAATGACTATTTTGCCTTCCTGAAAAAGTTTCAGCACAATGGAAACAGAGCGCTTGATTTAAATCTTGAGAGTAGCCTCGATTTGAAGGAAATTCTGTAATTTACATGAATATTGTATAAAATTATAAAACTTTACTATTATTTTTGACTAAGAGATGGCGCACGTTGACTACAGCATGTACACTGCTCTTGACTTTCCTACTACAGTTTCATATTAAATTCTACGCTTGTGAGATTCGGTTCATATCAATCAATAAAAAATATTTTTTATTCTTTCTATTTTTTAATAAAAAGAGGATTATCAGAAGTTTATTGTTTAGTGTTGACTGTGATTTTGTTCAAAATTATTGTCTTGATTTTTTAAGGGTATCAAGTACAAAGTTCAAAGCCAAACCTTATCAAAGAGAAATAAGATAAAATATTTTCATTAAGTAATAATTAAGTATTTAAAAATAAAGTAACAATGGCTGACAAAGTGCAATTAAGTGAAGCTGATATGCTCCATAGTAATGCAAAATATGAGGAACTGGTAGAATTTTTGAAAAAACTCGACCAATCAGATGTAGAAGTACAATGGAGATTAACAAGGGCACTATATGATTATTCTAAATTAAGTGCTAATAGTGGGAATAAACCAGATTTAGTACGAGAGGCTTTTGATTTAATTAAGAATTCGCTAGAAAAATATGACAGCCATTATGCAGTTCATCAATGGTACGCAATCATGCTTGATGCTAAAGCTCATCTTGATGGACTTCGAGCGCGCATTTATGTTCTTGAGGAAATTAAACAACACATGGAAAAAGCAGTTGAATTAAATCCTCAAGATTCAATTTCGCATTATATTTTAGGAGAATTTGCCTTCCAAGTTGCTGATTTGTCGTGGATCGAGAAAAAGATCTTGTCATCAGTGTTGACTCATCCGTAAGTTAAAAAAACGGATTTAATTAAAAAACTGAACTTTATGTGTCAATTACTTTCTTCTCAGACCAGCGTGTACTTACGAAGAAGCGTTAGGGCATTTTTTGAAGGCTGAAGAATTAAAAGCCGGGTTTTATAACTTAAATTACCTTATGATCGGAAAATGTTATATTGCAATGAAAGATAACGAAAAGGCTAAAGAATATTTAATTAAAGCGTCACAAGTTGACTTAGTAAGCGAAGATGATAAAAAATGCAAAGAAGAAGGAACAAAGCTGCTTGCGAAGCTTAAATAAATCCCTTCCTTCAACTCACAAAATGATAACTTTCCGAATCACTGGAATTGTGTTTTGTGAAAATAATTGAATTGTACATACGTCATCTTAGGCATAATAATGACAATATTTACATAAATCATTCATTTTTTGTAGTTCATTCATATCAAAATTGACTTGTACTTTTTAACGCTTAATAAAAGCTCACATCGAGCATAACAATAAAGTCAACCTTGATTTTGTGACATTTTATACCAAAAACAAACGATTGTTTGCCACCTTTTGACAATTTTCATCATCATTACAGTGAATGACTTTCAATTAAAGTGAACAGACATGCAAAAATGATGATTATTAGATCACTTCCGTTTACTTATTTCACTCCATTATCGAAGAATGCATTGTTTTGAAACTGAATGTTTTTTACTTTATCACGTTACTCATTCGCATGAAATGATTTTTAGTAGCTTTCTAGATTTTGAGTTGACTTTAATCATATTCAGTGTTGCATTCTTGCCATTTGTCTGGATCAGATAAATTCTGAGACAGAAATTTCTTCATAAAGATCGATTCTATATGAAGATAGAAAATCTAATCTACACAAAGATTATTTCTGCATAAAGATTCTGTCTACATAAAGATTCGATGTAGATGTCTACAATTCCACATTCTTCTCTGATGTAGACCTGGAAAAAATGTAGAATTGTAGACATCTACATCGAATCTTTATGTAGACAGAATCTTTATGTTGAAATAATCTTTGTGTAGATTAGATTTTCTATCTTCATATAGAATCGATCTTTATGAAGAAATTTCTGTCTCAGACAAAAACTATTGAAGAATCTACATTCTTCATCTAGTGTAGACATCTACATTTGCAACACTGTTCATATTTAAATATTATGGATTGTCAAATTTGTTGAATTGTATTTAAATCTTAGTTTTTTTTAACAATTACACTTATTGTTTAAGTGACATAATTTTAATTTTAAAAATAATTTTTTAAGACATAAATAGGCTCTTAAACTATCTATTGACCAATGACATTTTTTTTTGATAGCACAAAATCGACTTATATTTTAAAAAATATTAATTTTGATGAAAATCTTTAAATATTTTTTTTAAAAATATCATAAATTTCTTTTCAGTCAAAAGTCGATAGGCAGCATAGACATGCATAAAGCTTAACTGATTTATAGCAGATGCATTTAAAACTAGAAACTGCTCTTTTTTGCAACCTTGCTCTTAAAACTGTAGTCAGAAAGTTTGACTGCTTTTGATTGATTTGACTTCTAGTCAAAGTCTTTATTTGAAACTTATTAAATTTAAAAATTTACAAACTTAATCGTCTTAAAAGTTTTTAACAATTATTTTAAGTTCTTTGCAGACTTGAAGCTTATTGCCAAATATTTTGCAATAATTTATTAGAGTTCATCAGCAATTTTTTAGATCAGGAAATCCAATACTTCTACGCATTTCTTTCATGAAGATGTAAATCTAAAAGAAATGTTTTGCTATTGATGATTCGAGCAGAGATAAAAAAAAGTATTAAGCTAGTTCACAATATAATATTAAGTATTAAAATGAAAAACTAGCATGCCTTCAAAATATTTACAAATCATATGTTGCTTTATGCGTAGGGTGACTAGCCATATTTCATGAAAACTGAGGTCATCTTACTGAGTCTACATGACTAATTTTATTCATTTTTTGAATGAATTAGAAGTAAACAAAGCAGATGATAACCTTATCTATATTCTGCATTTTACTTACGAAATTTCTAGTTTCAGATTTATTCATGTATATTTGAAATTTATTGGATATTTAATTTAATTTTGTTGCTGAATCATTTAAGCGAAGAAAAAACCCAAAATAGAATACAGTTTTGCGATGATGTGCAAATTAAGCATTGTTTTTAAAAATTATGCCTATCCAAAAATATAAATTTCGAAAACTAAAGTTTTTAAGTAAAGAATCTTGAGATTATGATGCAGTAAAAATTAAGCAGAAAAAAATATTTTGGTTGCAACTTCTAAAACAAAAACATCGGCAGTTCTCAAAACTTCCGATTAATAACCAAAAGGCAAATGACCTGTAACGCTATGAGTTATTAAACAAATCAATCTCTAAGTATAATATAATTCGTCCTTGACTGAAATGGTGCTGAAACTTTATACATTTCTGCTTGTAATTCATTAACATTTTATTCATGCATTTTTAAAAACCAGCTTAATGAGAGGAACTTCAATTAGATTTATAATTGCATTAAGTTTTTTTTTGCTGAAATAAAGTGTTGAATAAACAACGTTCAGCTCAATTTTTGACACGATCTACCTCACGATTTTTCGCAGTGTTATTTTACTAATGAGCTGACTAGTTTATAGCATCAGTAATATTATTAACTGTGATTTATTGTTTAAAAAATTAAATATCCTCAACTGCTTAGGTCATTAAATGATGAGTTATTTCCATATAGATCAATAAATTGATAATGATAATCTTCTAGAATTATATCAAAACTCTTTGTTGCAATTCATATTACTTGACATGATTCAGCTGCGCAAATAAAAATTAATAATTTCAATAAATTATAATGATTATTGCATAATAAATAAAGTTACAAACACGTCATAAATAAATTAGAACTCGATAAATTCGCAACTTATTTTTCTCAGCACGTATCTATGCAACATCAATTATTTTAATCTTAAACTAAGGATTCATAAATGATGTGTAGCTTTTAAGAGTAGAGGTGGATCTGATGCTGATGAAAATAGTTTGAACATTTTATGGAAGAAAAGTCACAAAATAAAATTCTTAACCTTTAAGGAGCATCATTTATTAACCACCCGACCCCTTAGCAATTGTTGTTAATTAAGAAAATGTTTTTGTTTAAAAATTCTCTAAGTAAGACTTTGAAACAATTTGTTATCATAGCTTTGTATATCAGAGATAATTCATAATGTGGAGTTTGTACGTACAATATTCATCATATTAAGCTTGAGTTTACAAAGTCTCACATCCAGATGTCGTGGTTTAAATGTTTTTACTTTAGTTCTTTGTTTTGCTATTCATTTTCTTGACAACTTTTGGATGAAGTTGACGAAAAAAAAATAAATAATAGTTTTTTGACTTAAATATCTCAAAAAAAATAACCTAGTTAATGTACATTAATAACGTGTCATACAGCAACATTATTAATTGAGTCATCATCTGATTTTGTAAGAAGAGATCAAAGTCCAATTAAATACAAGGTAAAAGTTCAAATCAAAAAAATTGAATCAGTTTAATTAGAATTGAAATGGTTCGATTATATCATTTTGCTTTGGTTGTTCGACGATTATTGGTTGAAAATCGTTCATTACTTTATCAGTTCCATAGATTCAAGGTATAAAAAATTTTAAACTCAAAAAATGCGTGCACTTAAAAAAGCTTCGATTTTTCCTGTTTTACTTCATTATAGAAACCAGCTGTTGCATCACGATTACATAAACCTCATATATACCTAGCATTCCTTGGATTTTCATTTGCAAAGAAAGAAGTAGAAGAAGTTAAAAGTATTGAATTTACAATGGTTGACCAAACTAGTTTAGAAAAAGCTGATCAGCTGTTTGATGACAACAAATTTCAAGAGACTGTTGATTTTTTAAATACATTAGATCAATCCAGTGCTGATGTACAATGGAGATTAGGACGTGCTTTATTCAAGTGTTCAGGAATTGATGCAAATAGTTCAAAGAAAAATGAATTGATTCGTGATGCTTACAAGAACGTTCATGAAGCTTTACAAAAGGATGACAACAACTTTGCCATCCATAAGTGGTATGCAATATTGCTTGATGCCAATTCCAATTTGGATGGAATGAAGACTCGAGTTCAAGAACTAGAAAATGTTAAGAAACATATGGTAAGGGCGATTGAGTTGAATCCAGAAGATCCAACTTCGAGATACATTCTTGGTGAATTTGCTTTTGGACTAGCTGATTTGCCTTGGTATCAAAGAAAAATTGTCTCGACTATTTTCGCAACACCGTAAGTAGAGCATTTATCGAATTATTGAATTTGGAATAATTAACACATGCGTACAGACATTTTGGCAGCTAAATGTTAATTATCTAATTGATTTATTTTTTGTCAACTCCAATCCATCCGTAAAATATATATTTTTAGACCAACGGCAACTTATGAAGAAGCCCTAGAACATTTCCTTAAAGCTGAAGACCTAAAAGCCGACTTCTATTCAATGAACAAGTTAATGATTGGCAAATGTTACATGGCAATAAAAGACAATGAGAAGGCACGTGAATACTTAACCAAAGCCACATCTATCACTGTTCAAAATGAAGATGACAGAAAATGCAAAGAAGAAGCTACAAAGCTCTTAAGCAAAGTCAAATAAAAGAGATGTTTTCAATTTTTAACATTTTTTTACTGGATTCAAGGCTATGTGCACATATTTCCATTTATCACAAAACTACTATATCTAATCAATGCAACAGAATTTAAATAAATCAAGTGGTTGTAAGCTTAAACTGACTTTACTTTTATCAATAAAATATTATATATAATTTTAAGAATTCTTATAAGAAAAGTAAGAGAACTGAAGGGAATAAGATTAAGTGTGCGCTTTAGGTTTTCAAGTATTCATGAGCCGTGTAGTCAGGCGTGTAGCCAGGGGGGATTAGGGGTTCAAATCCCCTAACGTAAACATAAATTTCTTTATTTTGCTAGGGGTTTTTTTTTGAAAATTCACAAAAATACCCCCCCCCCCCCCCCCCCCTCTTAAAATTTTCCATACAAAAAAAATTTTTCACCTCTCTTCAAATTCCTGGCTACGCCCCTGCGTGTAGTATTTCTAGTATCAAGCCTTATGTAGACGAAACTACCAATGCGAGAGTAAGGCATCTGTGGTCGAGTGGTTAAGCAACAGACTGAATATTTGGAAACCCTATTTGTAAGGATGTTCGATTCCCAGTTTTGACCAATCTCTCAATAGTTATCATTATTGTATCCGACCTTACAAAATTGAATATTTTATCATACTAACCTTAATCTCTTGATCTTGATTAAATCGCTTTCAAACATTCTTAGCAGGTCAAGGAGTCGTTCCAGCCAATCAAAATGACGATGCAAAACTAGAATTTGCAGCAAAAACATCGCTTTATTACACGAAATTTACCTGCTTAAATCATAAGGAAGGAACGTATAAAAACCTGTTTTAGATCATTTTGTTTGCTCTCCATCTCTTTCCATTGGTCATAAGCGTATTAGTGTCCACGCTAAGTTGCCTCGTACGATTCATCTAATGTGATTTAATTCTCTTGTGAATGAGACAACACATTTCTCAGGTGTATTTGTGTGGTTTGAAGAAAAAAAGACACATATCTTAAGATGTGTTATGCTGCAGAGAAGAATTTTCTGACATTCTTGTATTAAGCATCGTGTGGTTGAGACGGAAAAAAATTCATACCGCGTTTAAAGTAATTAAGAAAAGTTTGGATTGTGCAATAGAAGTGAATTGATAATTTAGTGGATATTGAGCGAATAAATCAATATAAAGAAGAAAGGAATTAGTTCCAATAAATAAAGATTATAATTAAAATCTGACGCTCAACAATTGTGTCCATAATTAATTTTTATAATTCTCCCATTCTCCTTCCACATCGTCTTTCGATATTTCTTTTATTACACTGAAAAAAAGGAATAAAAGAAGCAATAAGTATAATACGAAAAAGAATATGACGAAATGCAACAAAGAGGAAGAAGAGAAATGTTGATGGATTTTAATTAATGATTGCAACATCTCGTCCATATTTATATGAATTCCTCATACATATAGTATTTTTCGTGGTGCAGCAAAATTGACGATAATATTAACTTTTTTACAATAATAAAGTTCATTGAATTTATAATGTACGAATTGTGTGCATAAAAGGGAAGTAATATTTATATTCAAGAATGGGAACAATGCAAAAAATTCATGCACCGGCCGTATGCGATAAAGTTCTTGCCGGCGTTCCGCAATTACTCGATGATTTTCATAAAATGATTGATGATCAGGAGACTGGTAATGAGAAATTTGAATAACAATTAATGCTCATGCTATAAAGAATCAAATTCCTTTTCCCTTTCTCATTTCAAATAGCGGATGTCGTTTTTCTTTTGGGTCGCGAAGAGGAAAGAATTTATGCACATCGATTAATCCTCATGGCTCGATGTAAAAGCTTTCAAGTTACTGCTACAAGTAAGCTATTATTTATATCAATTTGCATTGATGTTTTATTACTTTTCTCATTATCAACAAAGGCAACAAAGCAAGAGGAGACATTTGTAGAATCCCTGGATCAACTGTCTTACCACCGTCGTCTCCTGGCACACCAGCTTTAATTCGATTACCCCATATCCGTGCTGAAGATTTTCGACAATTTATTACTTATGTTTACACTGCAAAAATTATATTGCATGACTCGAAAGTCTTCCAAATTATGATCATTGCTAATGATCTTGGGTTAAATGATTTGAAGACAGCGTGTGAGGATCACGTTATTGCAACAATGTCTGTCGATAATGCATGTTGCTTTTTAACAAATGCATTGGAAATACAAGAAAAGGTCGGCGGTAAATGTACAGACTCGTTTGTTGATCGCTGCATTGCATTCATCGGTGAAAATGCTAACGAGTGTACAAAAACAAACGGATTCTTAAAGCTCTCTAAAGATGCGATTGTTAAGATTATCTCATCGGATTTTGTAAGTCATTAAAATTCTTTAGTGTTCTGTTTGTTCTTAATACTTTGATTGAGTTGAATAATCGAACAGTATTAGATCCCCTTTTCGACCATGCCAACTCCGTACTTATAAAGACTTGTTGCTTTTATTGTTTTTCATGAGCTTTAAGCTAATTCTTTAATTTTTATTTCCTACATTTCTATAGCTGTGCCTTGAAGAAGAGAATGTTTTTCGTGCCGTGCTAGAATGGAGTAAAAATCAAGCCGGTGTGACTCAGGTAGAGCTTTTTAATAAATTTCCAATGTCATAAGATTTAGATGTTTCTTCCATACAGCCACTTCCACATTGGAACGAAGAAGAACGTCAAAGAGTTTGTAAATATCTTTCACCGATCATTCATCACGTTCGACTGTTATTAATTGATAGTCAAGTTTTTGCCGAAGAAATAGAACCAACGGGAGCTATTCCAATGGAGTTGGTGCTTGAAAGATATCGATTTGCAGCTCTACAATCAAATAAACTTCCAGGAATGCCACCAATTCAAAGTGTTTCTACAGAATTTGATAAGCGTTTGCAACCTCGTTTGTCACTTAATTTGTTTCCAGGATCGAATATTCTGAGAAATGACAAGATGCATCTACAGACAACACTGAATAATTGGTATGGAAATCCAAAGCAAACATGGCGTTTAGTTTACAGAGCATCAACCCATGGATATACGGCAGCTGCATTTCATCGCTTGTGTGACGGAATTGCACCACTTATGGTCGTTGTCTTGGTAAGTTCTTCAACTAACTTTATGGTTAAAAATAAATCAATTAAAAATTTATGACACTTTAAAGGGTTATCGAGGTGAAATAAGTGGAGGTTTTACAGACGTAGCATTCACAAAGACTAATCGTAAAGGAGGATATTTGCATGGCGAACGTTGCTTCTTATTTGCTCTTAGTTCGCCTCAAGCCAATTTTCAAGTTGCAAAATACGACATTGTAAAGAAACCGTATTCGATATGCTATTATAAGGAATGCGGACCGATTTTTGGAGCCGGTGAGAATTTTAAATTATTTTTTTTGAAAAAGTTAAGTACATCATGCAAATTTTCTTTTCACAGGAGCTGACTTATTGATTGCCAATAATTGTAACGTAAATACTGACTCATACTCAAACTTGCCACATTCTTATGATGGACCAAGTGCATCATACACATCACTTTTTGGAGATTATAATTTCATGATTAATGATTACGAAGTATTCACTTTAGGATAAGTACTGATTCATTTCATTAAGAACTGTTGCTAATCTGCAATTTTTGAGATTAAAAGTAAAGCTGACAATAAAATATTTTTAACAATGGTCTATTTTGAGCATTTAGTGTTGTTTCAAATTCTTTGTGCTAAACCAGTAGTTAAAGTCTAATCTTAACAAAAGTTGTGAAAGTGGAGCAGAGCACAAGCCAGAGAGCATTTTCAGCAACGAGTCAACAAACGACGAAAAGAGTTCGTCAAAATTATCCAGCGTTATTTTATCCTCACTCGTCATAGGACTTGATGCAATGTATGCAAATGCTGTAAATTGTTCGATGAGATTTAATATTTTGTTTAATATAGTGAGTACGGGATTCTCCATCATGCTGTTACTCATGCTTTTTGATAACGGATCCGACTGAAAAAGAAGCAATTAAAATATTAATGATATGTTGAGAACCACATTTGAAAACTTACATTCTCGAGCAGGAAGCATAAACTCAAGACATTAGCCTGAAAACAGCTATGAGCTCTTAAAATTTGTTCAAAATCTTTCGTTTCCTTAATTTTGTCCATCATGATACTGAATTGACTTTCGAGGACATCAACTTGTAGATAATATTGAAGATTATCGATAAGGAACATCAGCTTGTTTCTAAAGTTTAAAACCTCGCTACTTTTCTCAATTTTCTTCTCTCGATGATAGCACCAAAGGCAGTGAAGTGAAAATTGAATCTTTCTAATTCGAATAAGGAACTGAAATAGCTCATTGTATTTGTCAAGGACTTTTGGTGGAAACATTAGATGTAGTGGCCATTTAATCTTGTAACGAAGTGTAAGGAACTGAAATAATCCTTTATTTTCATAACTGAAACTTTCCATGTCAGTTTTGAGCATTTCAAAATGGAACAAATCAACGTCGTCTTGAACATTAACACTTGCTGCTGATACTTGGAATATTCTGTTTATGTCTCTTACTGCATTTTCTGTCACAACGTTTCCATAAATTGGATCTAGTCCTTTAATAAACTCATAAAACAATTCTCCACGTCCAAGTAAATAAAAATCTTTTATGAGCTTTAATTGCTTCACTAGATCAGCATCTTGAATTGCAATTTCACTCAGATGTTCTGTTACACACATCTTAATCTCATCAATAGTACGCTCAAAATTAATGACTGTAAGTTTATTTGCATCCTGAAAATGATGAAACTTTTGGAAAAACTGATACTCCTTGCCATCATAAATGTTCTGATCAGAATCATTGGATGAAAGCATGAGAACAGTTTGTCCAATGAACAGCACTTTTTCAGCCCATGATTTGGGAAAGTAATGCGGTAACATGTCAAAATTGACTTCATATCGCCACAATTCTGTATTAATGCTCTGTTCTGATGATTGGAATGTACTGATGGATGTTTGTGTGGAAAATGTTGGACGTTTTTCTGGCATATCCAATGGATCAACATGCATAATGAAGAATTCACCATAAATGTCTAAGAACTTTCCATTAAGCCACTGACAAAGTTGCTGGATGAAAATTGAATAAACTGATTTTTGGATTGCCTGCAGCGCTTCTTTGATGCTTTCATTGCCATGCATAGAATTGTCTTCAAGATATTCTAATATTTGACATCCATGAAGCTTTTGTGTTCTCACACCATTAATTAATCGCATTAGAAATTCAAATAAAGGACGAAACTTTTCAACTTCATGGAAAATAAACATTAAACTTGTTGATGGTTTACGTAGGAACTTCTTTTCTAGTTCAACAACTGATTGATGGTACTTTTCAAGGACCTTTTCGATTCCGTCAGCAAATTTTCGAATATAAAATCCATTTTGCGGATTTGGATGTTCATTTTCGAGATCCAGTTGATGTAATTCATTTGAATATATGCTGTATGATGTAATAAATTTCTTAATCTCTCTATATTGTCCTATTATTTTCATGATATCATTTAACGACTTCATTTCCGCTGGATGAATGAAATTTGATGAGATTTCGAGTGTCTAAAATTATTTAAACCGAAAATTATCAACAAATGTTCAAAAATCGTGAGTTTTATGACTTACCAACAGTTCCTTGATGACATGAGATTCTTTTTCAGATATTAGCGATAGAATTACATCGTGTATCATCTTCAAATTACTTTAAATAACTTAATTAACAGTAGATTTCACTAAATTCCGATACAATGATTTGTTTGTAAACATTAAAATATTTCTGAGTACATTCAGTAAATTGAGTGCGTTCAGTAAAGAAACATATTATTAAAAATCAGCAAAACATAAACAAAAGATGTATTCTTTTAGAAATTCTAGTTTAACTAAAGAACAGCTTAATAATTTGGGTGTAACATCAAAGGATTCAAATGCTACACAGTTTACACGTCCGCTATTTCCAATATTAGCATCAAAACCATCAGAAATTGAGAAAAATGTTGGACTTGACTATAAAATGGTTTGGAAGGAAGATTTTCGAAGCAGGTTGTTTGAAATCCACAGTAATCCTACAAATCAAAACTCTGACAGCTATAGTTTCAAGATTGCGGTAAGTTAAGCTGTTTTTTCCTATTTATTTGACTTTAATTCACGATTTATTCAACATCCAGAATGCCTTAGAAAAAGAGCACAAACAGAAATTGCAACTCAAATTTGCATACAGTCAAATGCCGGCAGAATTAAATATCCAAAATCTCAGAAAAAGAGTTAATAAGTCTAAGTCTGCGATACCGAATAAGAAGAGAAAAATGCTTAAAATGGAAGATGTCACAAAAGAGCTGGAAATTCTTGAAAAGAAAGAAAATCTTCACGATGATGAAGGAAGTGAAAAGGCTGCAGATGGAAGTGATGATGAGGGCGAAATTGTAAGTATAAATTACTTATTTTAATTGAATCAATTATGGCAATATCAATATTAACAGGAGGGTGACGTCGAAGATCCAGAGCTGGATGACGAAACTGACTATCATAACAATTATTTCGACAACGGAGAGAATTACTTTGCCGACGAGGATGATGCTTTAGACGATGGTCCTGTTTATTAAATAAAACACATATATCTTCCATTAAAAACTGTACTTTTTGAGAATTATTCTCTTTAATCATATAATTTCAGAATTAATCACTAAGTTTCTAATTTACCAATATATGTTATATGCGCTGCTGCATGCTTGGTGCTTCATCTGAATGAATTGGATCGGCAGATTCTACTGGCAAGTACATGGTATTCTAAATAACGCAAAAGTCAAGTTTAGTTCCAAAAAAAAATTATCAATTGCTCACCAATCTCTTTGCTCTTTGTCCGAGTATGTCGAAAGCATAAGCACTTAATGTGAATCCCGATGGAAGTGCTATGCCTTGAACTCTGTACAAGTTACTGTCTTCCTTTGTTATTTTATGTACGGATGGTATTTTGACTTTACTAATATACTTTGTGGATGAAATCATAGGCCCTTTACTAATATCGATATGATCACCAGCACGATATAAAGTTATGACTCCTTTATTCTGATTTGAAATATTTGGAAGCTGTTCACGTTTGAATGGATTATCCTTAAACATTTCTAAGGCAATTTCATGACTGACTTCAAGTCTTTCTATATTGTGATTCTCTGTAGCAAATTTCATCATTTCAATGGACATTGATTTTAGATCTTGTGCCGATGGATTCCAGTTATCGACATTTAATGAAATATCGTGAACAAAGCTTCCCGATTTTAAACTTGGATAAGGAAAACTGTGCAAATGAAGACCGGTATTTTCCTTTAAAATCCTCTGTAATACACCTCCTAATAAGAAAGAACAAGTTCGCCAGAATGCCTGATTGACTAAATTTGGATCTTGACTCTTAAAATGAAGTAACTGTAGAGTACAGGATTCCTCAAGCGGTCTATGAATATCCCATAATTTCTTTCCATTGATTAATGCTAAGACTGCATTCTCACAAACTGCTTCGCTGAAATCTATAAAAACAAACTTAATACCTAAATATTCAGCAAAAGCTGGTTCTTTGACTTACGTTGTGCGCAATTAAAAGGAGTTGAAAGATTCTTATTCATAATCAATGTCTCATTGCTCGGTAATCCAAGATAACGCACTTCAATCTTTTCTATTCTGCCTACATTATCTTTCTGTCGCTTCTGTTCATTGTTAAAAAGTCTATTTCTGTGCTCAATTACATCTTGTGTCGAAAAACATCCTTAAAAAATATATATATCAAAAATTGGTTAAATTTGCACAAAATTCATTATTTCTTAATTAATACATACTTCTGTATACTGATTTGTATAAAGCATTACTGGAAGTTCTTAATTTCCATAAGCTGTTTTGCAAATGCACTGTCATAGCTGGATTTTCTTAATTATTTGATTTCTTCAATAAAAAATGTTTGATTGAGGAAGTAATAAATTTATGAACAGAACCCAAAAATAATTCTAAACGTATGCAAGATTTTAAAATTAATTTGACAGTTAGAAGATACAAAAAAAGTCATTATATTGTTCAGCATATATATCCTCGAAAACCTTAAAAATGATACATTACATTATACTTCTTAAAAACTTATGATTTGCGAAAAATATTTTTTAAAAGAATTTTTTGCATCTTTTTATAAAACGTTTTTATTTGAATTTTAAAATGACGTTAAATTTTTAAAATACAAAATCTAATTTTAATTAAGTATATTAATAGTTTTTGTAAGCATCTCAGATACACCGGATAAGTATTAAGAAAATATTTTTGAAATCTCGTTTATATTTTATCCATTTTATCCATGACCTAAGTTAATATATAAAGTATTAGGAAAGATACAAGAGCCACGTGCTTGATTTATCATCTATTGTAGTAAACACAATTTACATTTTTTTAGATTCCTTCATATTTTGGACTTGTTCTGATCTATTGTGAAATTCCCAACATCAAAAATATTCTGTGGATCGAGCTCTTTCTTTATGGAATTAAAAACATTTATTCCTACGCTTGAGACAGCTTGTGGATAATATTTCAAGCTTTTTTTTCCGATCCCGTGATGATGAGACAAGCAGCCACCATGATTTAATATCACAACTCGCAAAACGTCTGTTAATTCGTCGAAAACTTCAAATTGATCTCGATCTGTTGTAGGTCCAATGCCATAATAGAAATAGACACAAGCTCCATTGTCGTATACTTGCGATATTCTGAATGCAAGAGCATTTAAAAGCTTTCGCTTGTCCATTTCATCTTTCCATGCTTTCTCAATTGCTTTTATCATTGGCCAACATTTTTCCCAAACAATCGATGGCTCAATGGAATCAAAGAGAAAGCCCAAATCGAAAAATAAGTCTCGTAAATAGCAATTTGTCATTGTTAATTGAAAAGCTCGTTCTGCATATTTAGAACCACCAAAAATTCCTCCGTGCATTGATCCACAACTCTTCATTTGTGATTCTATTTCATCGACTTCATCCTTTTCTCCTTCAATTAAGTAAGTTGTCATTGACAATTTTTTAAAATCCAATCTATAAAGAATTTGACTTCCATAAAGCTTTATAAAATCCACAGCCTTTCCAATAAAATTTCGATTATGTTGAAAAGCAAATCCAAGACGAAAATGAATGTTGTCAACAAGTCTAAGTGAGGTTGGCTTCACAGTAAGTTTGCTTACTTCATACATAAAGTTAACACCCATTTCAAAGTTTGGAAACACCATACTGCCATATCTTTTGCATGCAGGCTTAGGATTAACTTTAACAACAGCTTTTGTAATGACACCAAGAGTGCCTTCTGATCCTAATGCGATAAAGTCAAAGTCTGGTCCGATACTAGCACGTGGAACCAAAAAGTTCTTCTCCAGCACACCAACACTAGTTACAAGCGTTATCTTCTTAACCATGTCTTCAATGTTGCCATACTTTCGTTGCTTCATTCCTGCTGATCTCGTTGCAACCCATCCACCTATTGTAATACAGAATAATTAGAATTATTGCTTCTAAGTAAGGCATAATAATAAATTCTTACCTAACGTAGATAACTCAATCGAATCTGGATCATGTCCAAGTGTTAATCCATGTTTTTGAAGAGCATCTTCTAGATCTTGTCCCGCAATACCTGCTTCCATACATGCTAACATACTTGTTTTATCAAACCACAAAATTCGGTTCATTTGAGTTGTATCAAGTGAAATAAAGAACCTACTGTTATCATCTTTGAGGTAATTTAAACTCATTGTTGTATTCGTACCTCCACCGTATGGAACTATTAGAAAATGACACCAAATTAATTATCCTATGAAGTACATGATCATGTTTGCTTACCCAAAACTGCACAATATTTGTTAGCTAATTCGACAACAGTCACAACATCTTCATGAGACTTTGGAAAGACGACAATATCAGGAACTCTTTTAAATCTTCCATATCTCAAAATGTAGAAATCTTTAAGTGCTTGTCCTCTACAGCGAAGGAACCGATCGTCAAAATTTAAAGAATATTCAATTTTTAATATTTTCAATTCTTCACAAAACACTTTATTTTCAACTTTTGGAGGATAATCGCACTCATTGTGTTCAGGATTTTTAATTGGCTTATAGTTTGTGATATCTGCATTTAAAAGCTCCAAGATTGAAGTCCGTGCATTTTTCAAAGGCTTGTTGCACATTTCATAACTGTTGGTATAATTTTTAAAAAAAACAGTTTTTATTAAAATTATATGGAATGAGAACCTTTAAAAAAATTTTGAAAGTTCTGCAACATTTCATTCCGAATTTAATTATTTTAAAGGATTTGTCAATTTTAGAATCTATCCATTGTAATGTTGATCTGCATCGATTAAATTTGTCTTTCAAAGACATGACTTTGCTTTGAATTTAATACTCACCGTTCACCTTTAAAAACAAGGCAATCCTTATCAAAAGTAAAATAGCAATCACGAAATCCCCATCCATTTTCATTCAACACTTGCTGTCTGTGCTTTGGAAAAACATTTTTCACATTTATTGGAAATTCAGGAGCTTTTCTATTTGCACTTTTCTCGACTTCAGTTATACTTTTCATTCTTAATTTTCGATTAAATTAAGTCAACTTCAATAAATATTTAAAATTTTGATTCACGTCTTTCCTTTTTGAATTCTAATTGCGAACTGAAAAAAGAATGATTTTTTTTTAAATCTGAATGTCAAAATCTCCAATGGTTTTCAATGTGAATGGCAGGTTAAGAAGATTAAATCTGTTTAAATCATGTGAAGATGACCAAAAAGACATCTTTTTTCATAATGCCAGATTAAAAAATACAAAATATTCACGCGATTCGCCGTTAACACGCTTAGCGAAACAACTTTATATAAAACGTATAAAAGAAAGAAACGTCGAAATTTTTCCTATAAGTTAAACAACTTTCCAAAGCTCTTTTAAAAGAAATTCTAGATATTGTTTAATTTAAAGATCTATACGAAGAGTTCTAAAACATTTTTCAGGAAAATAGATGACATCCTTCATATCCTTTATAAATACTTAAACAAATAGAAAAATCTTTCATTAAAAGTCCTCTGAAAAACCTAGAAGATGGTTAGCCTAACTCTGAGTCATTGTAAGCAAGTCTTAGAAGATATTCTAAACCTATATGTAACATCTAAAAAAGTAAGGATGGGCTTTCAACACGTACACAACTGGAAATTCCAAATTACTTATATAGTTATATATATATTTATTTATACAGCCATCCTAAGACATAATTTTATAAATATGCATAATGTCTATTTTAAAACTTGTATTACAAAAATTAATGATCAATCATTTTATGATCCTTTATATATTAAAATTCTGCCTTTTTATATTCACACCATTTTCACGTGTGAATCTATTGGTTTTGTTCAGTTTTTCGCATTTTGTGAAAAGTAGAAAAGTTTGTGCCTGAAATTTTACATCATTTGCAAAAAACAGATTTTAAACTGGTTGCGGCAATGCTGAGAAAATCGCAAAATACGCTTTTTGTAAGCAAACAAACAAGCAAGTTAATCAGCAAGAAATCTCAATAACGAGTCATCGTAGAGACTTCTAGTTTTTTACATTTGATCCGTGCTGCTTTTTAGAAGAGCTGTATTGTTTTTGGGCAAGGTAGGAACAGCCGTTGCTTCAGAAATAGCATAAAACTTTTCTTTCTTATGAATTTTTTAAAACAAAAGTTCACTGTGATTTTTATAAAATTAAACTTTGAATGAAAATTTTTTTTAAAAAACTTTGAAAGAGTGTTTGGCATATTTGTCAAGCTCTAAATCTTTAAACTTATTCTGAGCGAAGCTCAGTTGACTTATCAAACTTTATACCTTCAAACTTATGCTGATTAAATCTTGGTCTATCCATAAGACTTTTAATGGTACGGTGTGAATATGGCCGCATTGGGTTTCTACCCGATACACTAGTTTGTTAAAAGAGTTGTCAAAATTGGGAGATGGATTGTCGAGGAAACCAAATTAAAACTGATTAAAGCACAATTTTGTTAAGCAGCAGGATACCTCAATTATGAGGCTTGTATTTTAAAAAAAAATGTTTTCTGTTATTGAAATTATCTGATTGGATTTTTGGATGCATATAAAATGAACTTGCTGGTTATTAGAATCGGATTGTATCTATAGCTTATTATATCTAAACTAAACATTCTTCAGCTCACATACATATTGGCAGCTTTTTTTGCAAGCTTTTTAACTGTTTCTGGAATCGCAGTTTTTACCTCCTTTGACATTTATACATATACATACATCAAATTAATTGTGGGTTAACGGGGAGGTTTGCTGTTAATCTTAAAACTAATGAATATAAAATTCATTTTCAAAAGTATTGTAAGTAGTACTGAAAATTAAATGGTTTCAACCTGGATTTTAACAAAGCAAAGTAATCAAAAAACGAGAAGCAACTTTTACAGTCTTTTGCTTCTTTTCTTGAATACAAAAGGAATCAAAATTCATTAACTTTTAAATCTCCTTCATTTTATAAAAATTACAATTACGTATCTCAGCTTGTAGAGTTGAAATGTTCATTAAACGTTTGTAAATTACAGCACATCGATCATGATAAAATTTTGACTTGTTGCATTTCACAATCAATAATTTCACACAAAATCAAAATCATAGCAACCAATCGACATAATTATTTTGACAACGGCAATTTTTTCAGTGATTTACAATTTTATTTACTAGCAATGTCATCAGTAGCTGCAGAAATTAATCAAACAATTACTGTAAAGATCCAAATAGCAGATGATACAGAAAATGTCATCGCTCTCAATTTTCCTGATAATTTTAATGTCGAAAATTTGAAAGAAGATGTTTCAAAAAAGTTTCTAATCAAACCTGAAAATCTGCTAGTATTTCAAAACGATGAAGAAATTAAGAACAACCATTTCTTGACTGAATTGAAATTAAATGATTTTGGAATCATTGAAATCTTATTAAAATTAAATGATGTTGCTATTGAAGATGGTATAAAATTGGATAACAGTGTATATTATAGTAGTTTTACATTGCCAGACATTATTACTGTTCATGTTCCATTCGAAGATGAAAATGGATTACAAACCACAAAGGATTTAGTCGTTGAAATTGAGAATAAAACTATAAAGAAGCCATTTTTGGGAGGATTTTTTCATAAGAAAACAAGTAAGGATCAATGTATTATTAACCTTATAAACATTTTAACAGTCTTTTTGATTCTCAGAAATCGAATATCATCATGCATTTACACAAACGGGACCAACAATAGATCAAATTCAAAAAGTCAAGGAAGAAAAATCATCTCGTGATACTCAAACTATCGAATTAAGACAAATATCGATTGTAAGTTAATTGATTCCCTAGCAGAAATTTACTAGTAATTTACTGGATAACTTTCCATTTGCTACTTGCTATTTACTAGTCAAAATCCAAGTTCAAATCTTCGCCAAAGACCCGCATTTTCACTTGCTAATTGACTAGTCAATTTGCTTACAATTTAACTAGTAATTTACTAGCAAATTTTTAAAAAATTTAAATGATTTTAACCGTTGATTTCCACGTGTTCTTTTGATTTTTCTTATTTGTGTAAATTACTGTAAAACATTAGTGTGTTCTTAATTAAAGTACACTAAATCTATGAAAAAAACAAAAGACTTAATTTAATTAAGTCGAACACTGATGAACGCCCATGACTTGCACGCAAACCTGAGGAAGATAAATAATCAATTGAAAGTCACGTACAAATTTAGATCGAACTTATAAAGGTGATTTCTGCGCGCTCTTGTGAAGTATATGGCAAATGCCAAATTTAGAACAAAATTTTTTATGACGCAAAAAATTCTTTTTATGACGCAAAAAATTCTTTTTATGACGCAAAAAATTCTTTTTATGACGCAGAAAAATTCTTTTTATGACGCAAAAAATTCTTTTTATGACGCAAAAAATTCTTTTATTTGACGCAAAAAATTCTTCTTAGCGCATTTTTGAAACTTGTTTCTAAAAGGTAGCTTAATATCTCATTTTGTCTGTTCGTTCGGGCGGAGAAAAACTTTTTAACTAGACATCGTAGAGAGTTCTAGTTTGTTTTATTAGCTCAGGTCCTTTGTTTTATTTTCGGGAAACGCATTTAAAAGTCTTGAAACAGTGTTTTTGTACTATAATTAATGATTTTTATATTTCATATGAAAAAACACGTGATGAGAGCGTTTAGAAATTCGAATTTATTTCTACCGTTGAAAAATTTTGAATCTCAAAGAACAAAATTTGAACTTCAGAAAACCGTTAAATGATAAACAATTTATATAGGAGAATGAAAGATATTAAATTGATAAATATACTTTAATTAATGATTTTTTGTATATCTTTTGGCGGGAAGCTTTCAAAAACTTACTGACCGTTAGAAAATTTGAATCTCAAATAATCGTTAAATGATAAACTTTTTATATTATATGAAAATTCATTGGAACAAATTATTAAGTAAAAATTCAAATTATTTTTGACCGTTAAATAACAAAGCCTTTGTATATTGTTATATATTGTAATTATTTGCTAATTGCACTAAAATTAATGATCTTCTAATCTTCTAATGATCTGTAAATGAACGCAAAATAAATAGATAATCAAATACTGATCGCTAACACAAAAATGTGCTTAAGTCCCTCGATTAATAACACGAGGACTTCTGTAATTTTTTTGATGATTTTTCGTAAGATTCGAACTTAATCAGATTTGATCAAACATTTCACATGGTAATTTGCTATTAAATAGCAAGTGTAATTTACTAACAGTAAGTTGTTTTAATAATAACTAGTAAATTGCAAGTAGTAGAATAGAAAGACTAGCAATTTGCTAGCTAGTCTCGCTTGGGATTAAGGAACAGGCATTTTGTTTGAGAAGCCAAAAGAAGAGTTGATTATCAACAAAAATTCTTTTCAAATTCAAGGACACTAGCAAAGACGAATCTACTCAATACTTTGGAGATGCTAATGAAACTCTTTTTATTACAACAACTACTGATAATGAGCTGATGACTAACAAAGATTTCGAGACATTTGAAGATTTACAGCTGCGCATAAACATGGTTGAAAAAGTCAAACTAATCCAAAGAAACTTTCGTTTGTGTCGCTTGAAAAAATGCATAAGAGAATGTGCATCAGAGTTTCGCAGAATTTCAGCCATTAAGAAGAAGCAGGAGGAAAGAATTAAACAGGATTACATTAATGCAAACCGAAAATCAGAAAATTTTCCTCGTACTAAAAAAGATTTTGACGTTCTGTTTTCTCAAATTGCGACATGGAAAGAAACAGAAACCAAAAGAATTTCTAAGGAATTTACAGGCCCAACTCGAGTCATTGAGATACAGGCTTTATTAGAGAAGGAGATTCAACTGCTGAATGGGATTGAAAAGAGAAGGCTTGAGATACAGGAAGAAATTCAAGCAGCAAGGCAAGATCGAATTTTAAAGCAATGTGGTGAGCCTGTAAAGTGGATTGGATATCGAAGTGAGTATATTAAGTAGAGTATATTAAGTTATCTTTAAATAAAAATGAACATTGTTTGGAATCAAGTGTAAATTTTGAGCCATATTCACAAAGGCTAATAAGACACTTAATATTCAACGCCTGAGAAAATAATAAAAGATTTGCATACTTTCTGTATTTTTATGACAGATACGTTGATTGAAATGGACACAATAAGAACACAGCGAGCTAGAAAATTGACGGAATTATTTGCATTACTTCGACAGCCAATGAAGAACCTAGATGATCGTTTACGGTTATTAAATGACATAAGTGAAGCACTTTGTAATGAAAATACGAGTCGAATAATTGAATTAGAAAATTTATTCGAACGTGAACGGGAATTGCTTAGATGTAAAGTCAGCGACGATACTTTGAAGATTTTAAGAGAACGTCAGCTTGTCGTTTTTCTGGATGTCATTAAGGATGATGAGTATAATAAATCGAAAAAGTCAATTACTCATATTTGCGAGAAATGCAAAGCAGTATTGCCAGTGAAAAACTTTGCTATGCATTCAAAGCAAAAATATTATGATCTATGCCAGAAATGTGCAAGCTTAAAATCATCCAAAACTGACCTAAGTGTATATCGAGCTATTTTGCGAGGCATTCAACGAGATGAACGTAAGCGTGGCGCATTCTCATCGTTTGCATTCATCATTCAAGAGACAGATGTGAGACACATAATTGAGAATATTTGGCATGGAATATCTATATTAAGTCAATGTAATGTAACATCCGACTTGCGACTTTGTCGATGGAATATTGATGAAGAATGGTCACCATGGAATTGCATTTGTCTCACCGATACAGAAGCTCGAATTCATGTTAAGTGCTGCAATCTTGAATCTATTTATGGTGAGAAAATCATGGCTGAATGTCGTTCACGACATTCTCTAGCTAAGTCAACATATAAGCATTTGAAAAAAATAGATAGCTCATTTGTTGAGTCAGGCAACTGGCATGAGTGTGGAATAAACGATAAAATTGTTTAAATGTATATAAATTTATCCAAGGCGTGGACACTCAAAAATATGCTGGGATTATTCAGGATTATTTGGATTATTGGGATTATTTGGGATTATTGAGATTATTGAAAAAAAAAATTATTCAAATATTTTGAATTTTTTGAGGAAATGAACTCTAAGAAATATGTTATTTGAAGCCACTGTGACTTGTAAAGTTTAAACAATTGAAAATATAACATTTTAGAGTGTTTGTCGAGTACCAAAATATAAATTTGATCATATACAGTAATAGAATTTTGACTGATTTATTTAAACAATCGGTTTCTGGAATAGGATTAGACATTTACTCAGAGTTTTTAACTGTATTTACTAGTGTCCTAAGTAATGTCCATATTAAAACATCAGTCTAAGAAAGTTTTTGGCTTTATTACTAGTTTTGTTGGAGTTTGATGGCTACTGTACTAAGTATTTCAAACAAAAACTTCGCTTTGAGGAATCTTAAGGTTATTTTAGTAGATTGCTCGTCTAAAGTATGTAATAAGTTATTATATGATTATTTGTTAAAGTCAGTTAAAGTCTTGTTTTTATTAAAATTCCCAGTATTTTCAGTATTTAGTAAAAAGATTAAAATTTCGATTTTAAGCATTCGAAAAAATATTTAAGCCAGTTCACTTTCTTTTCGTTCTTTCTCTTCCTGAGAAATATATTTTTGAACATAATTTTCTCAATTTTTTCTCTTAATTTCGTTAAGTTGTTCTATTTTTAAGATTATTTTTAAAAAAACAATAGTGTTGTATGGCCAAGTTAATTTTGGATGTTTCATCCTTCACAGTTTAATACAGTAGCGTGCAAAAGTGAGTGGACAGAACAAATTTTTTAATAATTTCGTTCAAAAAGTATCTTCCACTGAACGAAATCACTTCAAATTTTCACAGCATATCTAATTTTTGATGAGATTTCATATGCAAAACAAATTTTGTATTATAATTAAGTAATTTGAAAAAACCGTTAAATATTCAAAATCGATAACGTGCAAAAGTGTGTGGACAATTTTCAATGACAAAAAAATGTGTTAATAAGTATGTTATGGTAACTTTTTAAAATGGAAATCTAAAGTTTTGACGATTTTCTTAATTTACGTTCAAATTATTTTCCACCAAAACCACGTGTTTTCTCGATTTTTCTTAAATTCAAAATGGCTACTATTTTTAATGACTTTTAAGCAAATATGTAACAAGCTGTCAAATAGTATGTCGATTGAGCGTCTCAAATAATGAATAATAAATTTTTTGCAAAATTAACTTTCTGTCTTGAAAACTTTATACGTTTTCATTCGTAACGCATAATTTTGTTAAAAATTTAACATTTAAAAATTACTTTCTGCAACAGATATTCATTTTAAACAAATTTTTCAAAAAGATTGATTGGATCTTTTAATACTATAAAGTTAGGAGACACATATGCTTTCTCAAAATTCCGGTACAGAAAATTTTCACGATCGGGATTGAAATTTTTCGGTCATGGTTTACTGATATAACTACGTTTAAAAATCTGTAAAAAGTTCAGTAAGATTCATTGAGTGTAAAAAAATACAGTCGAAAATGTAAAATTTTAAAATAAGCTCGCCCCTTTTTTGGTGTAGAAGTCCAACGTTATATACCATTTGAAAGATTAAGAAAACTTTAATTTATAAAGTTTTATAGTTTTTGATTATTCTATAAATTGAAGATTTAACAAAGTTAGATTTGGTATTCACTGGATCTTATTATTTCGATTTTTTTGGCTTAACGCAATTTTTGATTTTTTTGGTAGAAAAATCGGCTTACTTGAAATTCTGAGCATACTGTAGCTACATGCTGACAAAATATTACGCAGAATCATAGTAAAGCATGTAAATTTTAATTTAAATACTTGAAATGGGTGTTAAATGGCTTTTTTCTATAAAAAAAAATCAAAAATTGAGTTAAGCCGAAAAATCCAACTTCGATCTCTGGTTTAACCCCATAAAAGCAAAAAAGTCAATAATTTACCAAAAATTTACAAAAACCTAGTTTGAAGATTTTTTTTTGACGAAATATGTAACTTTTGATTGATTTTTCGGCTAATATACGATTATTTTGATTAAAACACATAGTAAATCAATCAATATAGCATTTAAAAGACATTTTAAATTGATTTTTATAAATTTTTGACTGGTGCACTAGATTTTGTTGGTAAAAAAATCACTTTTTGACGTTTTAAGGCTAGTTCATTACTTTAGCTAATTTTTATATTAATATTCTGAACTTAAAATGTATCCAAAGATTTTTGAGGACATTATTCTTTTCAATACTAGTCAAAATTTTAACGTTTAAGAAATTTTAAATTTGAAATTTTGTAAAATTATTTTAATAATCGCAATAATCCCAGGTTTGGGATTATTGGGATTGTTTAGGATTATTGTGATTAATCCCAGTGTCCACGCCTTGAACTAATCGTCGATGCTGAAAGCTACTCGAAAGCTAAAGATGAATAATTGTAGCGTTAGAGGATAAATCTAGTGAAATCAATTAGCATTTTTCTACTTTATTTATTTCCCAGAAATGTTTTATTTTATTAATAACTAATGAATAGTATGCACAAGTAAGGATCGTGCACTAAATGCCTGTTTCTAGGCAACCATTGTAATTGAATATATCAATAACGTTTCCGATTATTTACTTTCTGCACTTAATCAATTTAAGAATAAATACAACTTAGGGCTATAATTTATCGTTCTATTGTAACTTATTAAATGAATTTATTATTATTATCTGTTTTTCTGCATAACTTAAAGAATAGGAGATTAAACGTACAATTTTAAGAATTAATGGTATTATTGATATAACTTGGCATGTTTTGAAATAAAATAAACGATTTAATTTTAAATTTCATAAATATCAATTCGGTTTGTTGAAAGCTAGCTACGCATTTACAAGTGACGATAGTCAAAAAATTTGGTTTCTTACCTTCTTAATTCTAGACGTCAGAAGACTTGATAAATGTGATTCTTATTTTTTTTAATGCGTTACATCAATTCGTGCTGTAATATTACGTAAAACTTCCAAAAATATTTACCAAATTTTCCATACTGATCTCGTGAAGGGAATTTCCATTTAACAAATTAAAATATATTTATTTATTTTACCTTTTTTTTAAACATATTTCACACCTTTTTTTCTATTAGAGGTATTACTCATCTTTGTATCTAACCATTTAAACTGTCTTACTACTCACCGATGTTTATTTTTTTATGAATGAATATGTATTTTCTCATATTTGTTATTTTAAAATTACTCTCATCTCCGTTTTAACGTTTATGAGTCCATTAATGAGCAGAAGCATTCTACAGTAAGTCAAAAATTAATTTAGAATGCTATAATTATGCGCAAATTTTAAGAATCAACAGACGTATCTTCTCCCAAAAATAACAATTTGCATTATTTACTGGGCAAAGTGTTGAGCATTATTCATCATGTTTAAAACTCATCTCAATTTGTAGACTACGTTAAGATAATCAGTTAGTTCACTTAACATAAGTAAGTAAATTGTGGCAACCGTTAATGACAATGTAGATACAACAAACAATAACATTAAGCGAATAAAAAAGAAGACCAAAAAAAAGAATTCTTTAGCACAAAATTAATAAAATATACATTCACATTATTTGTAAGTAGAACGTGCTTTGTATGTCCACACGAGAATGTAAAAAAGAAAACAATAAGAAGTAAGAAATAATCTGATGCTAAAAATTCAGTCAGAAGCCAAAACATTTTTATTGAATGGAAAATATGAGATTGAAAAATTCGTGTCATTTTTCTCATGTTTATTCGTATGCTGTATAAAATATGACAAAAAGCATACAATTAATGATTGTATAATTATTTACTTTTTTATTTTGCACAAATGGATTTAATAAAATTATAATTTTCTATTAACACCTTAGCAGATGTCAGCATGAAAGTAGGCAAACGGATTCACTCGACATATGAAGCTTTTTTCCGTTTGTACAATCCTTGAATTCTACGCCAGCGAATGTATGTCTTCAAAACACGAGTAATGCGAACGATTTATGGATCTGTGATGTAAGGAGAAAAGTATCGAAGCCGATACTATGTCAGCTATTCCAGGATGCTGATATTATTATGATTCTCCAAGCAAATCACTTGAGATGGGCTGGACAAATTTTTAAATGCCTTAGAATTTAGAGTATCAGTTGCAGACTTTATAGATGGCAAGAGATTTTGAGGAAGATCAAATATTACCTGGATTGAATGTGTTGATAAGGACGCTTGAGTCCTCAATATCATAAGTAAGTAATAATTCAATAAGTAATAATTATCATGCAATCATGCAATTGACTTAAGATCCTCACGTACTTTCACTTATACGAGACATGATGACAATGCGTAAAAATGAAAAATTAACGCCGACAATTCATAACATGTGATTTCGTTCATGATCTCGGATTAAACATGTTTTTACAGCTGTTAACACATATACTTTACTCACTCTTTTTATTCTATCATGAGGAACTCTGTTCAGATAAAAAAAATTTTATTGTGTATTGTACTGTCATAAATAGTGTTAAGTTGCGAACTTTCATGCTGTTGATAAATCTAGTTTTATCGTGATTTTAAAATAAAAATGGGATACAAGAATGATACACAAATGACGGACTTGATGACTGAGTTAGTAAATAATGATCCCCTAGCCAAGGGAGGAATTTGGAATTAAAATCTGTTTAAAATTTGGGTCAATGAGTCCTAGTAAACATTTAAAAGTTCCTGTCACCAAAAATTTGTTGCTCCACTCATGCTCGTACAGTATTTCTAAAATTTCTGATTAGAAGCAAGCTACTTAAAAATGCGCTTTCGTCATTCACTTCTTTAAACTTTTGAAAACATTGTCACCAGATAAAAAAGTCCCACAAAGCTTTATAAAGGATTGAATGAAATTTCTCTTGTCATCGTTGCTTACACACAATCATTCATGTCAATTGTAATACTCTTAATAGACCTGAACTTAGCAGAAACCTCAATATGTTTACAAGAAGAAAAAAAAACCCAAGAAGT